AGCCAACTAATTTTCCTTCGCGCGCTTGACGCTGGCTGGCGAAAAGAGAGAGGGAGAGAGAGTCACGGCAGAAAAAGTAAGAGAGGAATAAAAATCCTCCGGCTCGTAAATATCATCCGGCTTGCCGTGAAATTCTAAACACACAAGCTACAAAGACAGCCCCCGGAAATTTATAAACACGTCGGTCGTTACACAAATTAAGAAGACGTACATATCTGTCGGTCTTTCTCTCGCTGCGGGAAAACTCGTGAATTTGTCATCGGGGAATGTCGGGCACGCGCTTGCACGCTCGGCCCTGATACTTTACTTCTCTTGAGAGAGAAAAAAAGACGCACTGCAGTGCGAGAGTCGGAGTCGGAGGGGGACGACGGGGACGACGACGACGACGACGACGACGACGACGACGACGACGACGGTCCAATTACGTTAAAATAGAGTTTCCGCTGGCTGCGCTGCTGCTGCTGTAACTTGCTACTACTCTCTGCAGAGAAGCGTATTTACGAGCTTTCGCGATGTTTATTCTGAGGGACAGTTTTACGATGATTATCACGACTGACGATTTTTTATTAATAAAGGTGCATAGGAGGGCCCCGCCGAGCCTCGAGTGCTATACCGACAAGTCACGCGGAACTTCCTTTTTTGCCCTTTTCATTGGAAAAGTTGTTGCAACAAATTGCGCATTAAACGCCCCGCGCGTGCACCAGAAAGATGCCGTTTTACGAGAATTCTACTATACTTCTTCTTCTTCTTCTTCTTCTTCCTACTTTCAACTACTCTCAGAAGTTTGCACGATTTGCAAAATTGGGTTAAGAACTCGTTGCGCCTTCTTCTTGCTGGCGACAATTTTTTTACTTATTTACTCTTGACGCGGACTTTTTCTTGGCGGCCGTTCGGCGACTCGATTGTCACTTGCGCCGATTAAACCTCCTCATTGTATATCACCGCCAATTGGAATTACCGACACTCGCGCGTGCGAGGGCCTGAGAAGAGAAGTCGTTACGCTGGTGCTCTCTTGCTGGTGAGATGCATCGTTAAAAATTGTCGAACGCTTCTTTTTCATTTCTCGCTGGGCGTCCTCCGAGAAACAGCGATGCAGTCGCTCAGATAAAGAGTCGGTCGCATTGATAATAACGACCGAGGCAAAAACTGCAACACACAGCGAGCAGTCTTCTCTTTGAGCTTGTCTCCTTCGTCGCGTTTTGCCCTTTTATTTGGTCGGACTAACAGAGTGTCCCGAGAGAGTGCGAGAGAGAGAGAGAGAGAGAGAGAGAGAGAGAGAGAGAGAGAGAGAGAGAGAGAGGTTGCTTGTTTATTCAGAAAACGGGAGGCGCGGAAGGGGGCGGCAGCGTCGCTTTACACTGTAAAGTTTCGCGCTTCGAGAGCTTTTTATTGTTCAACACGTCGATGAGGAAAATTAATTTGCCGAGAGTAATGAGGATTTTCATTCGCTGAAAGAGAGCGAGGCCGAACGGACGAAATTAATTTTCAGATGCTGGTTCGCGCGCCTCGTCGAGTTATTATGACTCGCTTGGCGATAGAGTACCTAACAATGGTAAATTTGCTCTAACAAACAAAACAATAATATTTCGCTCAGAACAATGCCTCGAAATGCATAATACTAGGGGCGCGCTGGCGTAGCAAACTTTTGAATAAGCGCCGAAAGAGATTGCATTTGCAATAAGTCCACGCTTGCGCCTTGTATTCGCTAAATGTTTGTCGTAAATATTGCTTCGGCTGTCGAAAATTACACATTGCAGTTGGCGCAGCGACACATTTGCATGTCTCTGCGAGTCACTACCGCTGCGCCACTACCTTCGTGCCGTATGATTCTTCAAATATTGACGTGCGCGACATAGAGACGTCGACGCGATATTGTGTCTGCGTCGTCGTCGCAGGATAATCAAAAAAGGGAAAAAACACACCCCGGTAGATTTTTCAAAAGGATGGTAAGAAAAGGCCGAATCGCGTACATGAAAATCAGTCGCAATGTAAAGCGACAATCGCATCCATTATGAAAATACGAGGCTGCGAGGAAGGAGGAGTTGGGATATTCTCACCTTGCGCGCGAAATTCAAATGGGGAAACCTCATAAGAGGGCGGAGAGGAAAAAAGGTGTAAGGAGGTTGTCGGTGTAGGGTGTAGCCGAGGACGGCAGTGTCTGGCGATATTCACTTAATATAACTCTGGCGATAGTCGTATGGTCGCGAGCAGCACAGCGCATTAACAGATAAAAGCGCTCGCTGCGGCGATGGCTCGCTATGGCAATTTGGCTGCTCTGCTTTTTCCAGACGGGAATTTTTCGTATTGGCGTCACGTGCGCAATATTATTACCCGCACACGTGGTCTCCACCCGTAATATTCTCTCTCTCTCTCTTGGTATAGCGATCGCCAGTGGAGTTTTGCGGTACATTCTTGGAAAGTTGCGCACCGCCCGCTGCTGCCGTCGACAGACGTGACGCTCATATGAGTTTTTCTATCTCTCATATTCGGACGCGCGGCTCTTAATGAACGGACGCCCGGGAATGCGCGCGATTTAGCATTGAGATTTGCTCGCTTTTTCTTAAGAGAGCCGTACTCGGGACATCAAGGCAGACGTGTTATTGTCTTTTCCTCGATGGATGGCTTTAATTGCGACGCCGGCACGTAGACACTGGATTTCTACGGGCTATCGAACGCCAGACAGAGACAGATAGAGACACGAGACGGCAAGTGGGTCGCTGCGCGGCGACGCGCTCGGCTATCCCAGCCCTGTCTTTGTGTTTGCCTGATGCAATACGATTTACTTTTATCGCTTCGCAGCGCCGAGTAAGCAGATAGGTTTAACGTTTTATGGCGCCAGAATTGTCGCCATTTAGACGACCGACCTCACTCTTTGCGCATTATTATGAAAATCGGCGCGAAACAATGTCATTTCATCTGCCGCGTGGAGAGGAAAACTTTTCTAGAAATGCCTGCAATTCAGAGATCAAAACGGGACCGCTCTCATTTTTATCCTCCACTGAACTTGGAGTGCGGCTATTAAAAGGATACTTTGCACTTATTCCTCGTGAGTAATGTATCGGGGCGGAATGAACTATAAGACAAGGCAAAAGATTGACGCCGTTGAAAAAGCCAGCAGCAAGCGGAATATACAGTTCTCTCTCTCTCTCTCGAAAGTTTTAATTTTTGCAGAATTTCAGGCGCGAAGTTCCCTCGCTCTCGTGCGCTCGCTCGTTACTTTTTCAGGCACATCTCTCGCGCACTCGCGCGCAGCGCCAGCCGGCAGCCGGCAGCCGGCAGCCGGCCGGCAAGGCGAGCGACGATTTAATTTCACATGCGCTTACGTTCTCAATTATGCGCAAAGTGAATTGCATTCTCGCACGAGTTTGCAATCTCAAAATACTCTCTCAGCCGACAGACAAAACACACAGCGCCCGACTTTTCCGTACGTAGGTATAAGTGCGCAAGGGCCATTATTGTTCTCGCGTAAATGTGGAGTTTGACCGCACGTCGTCGGCGGAACGCGAGGCGGTTAAAAAATTCTCAGTCGGCCTAAATATATATTTCTTAGCAGCGCGAGGGGAAGGTCGTGGGTGTGCGTGCGCGCGTGTGTGTCTGACTATACACTTGAACGCTTGACGCGGCGACATTTTTTAAAAGTGTCAGCGGCGGTGGCACTGATTCCAGGGCCGTTATTAATCAAGCGAATTATTTCTTCGTGTTGTTTTGCTGTATAATTCTGCCCTCTCTCTCTCTCTCTCTCTCTCTCTCTCTCTCTCTCGCGCGCGCGCGCACGTTTTCTCCCGGCGAGAGTTTGTACGGCTCGAGTAATTTACGAGGTCGACGTTAAGGGCGCGAGGAGTTATTTATGAGTGTATTCTTCGCCAAGACTTTATAATTCGATTGTAATTTACGCTGAGAGAGTGGGAGTTGAGAGTTTGGCGAGATTAGGTTATAGCTGGGCATCGCTCTTTGCGCATTATTATTATTATTATGGTCTCGTTGGCCGTGCGCGCGAGATCGATGGTCGCGGGCGCACGTATTGTTTCCTTTTTCACGGCTATTAGTCGGCCAATGGAAATATGATTAGCGAGAGCGGCACAAGCGCGTACACACCTCGTGATCAGAGATTCTTTTTTAAGCGCATGCATGCACGTGTCTGCGCGCAGGCTGAATCTCCCCTGCCATCCTTGCGCGTTAAAAAAGGGGGTCGAAATGGACGCACTTTGTGCAGCAGGCGCGCGCGGCTAAGCTTATTACTGCCTCATTAGATTGACCGGCCGCTAATGAAGTATTATTTTTAATTATTTATCACGAGGGTTAGAGGCTCGCGCGTGCGTCAATTATTCACGCGGGATCTCTCTAGAACTTATTCAAAGGCTTCAATTCTTAATGAAGCTGTATACGTACGGCTATCGTGCGCTCGGCTCTGATTTACGCCTGCACATGTCTTATATACGTCTCGTTAGTCGTACATCCTGCTTATTAATTCAAAATGCGTCTCGCCAAATTTTCACATACAGACACACCATCAACTATTCAAATAAAGTCAGATATATTTTAAATTCCAGATATGCTTCGGCTATTGGATTTGCGTATTAGGTATGTAGATGCTCTCTCCGGCAATTTCGGACAAGAGACTGTGTCGCGGAATAGGTTAGACGATTTATGAAGTTGCGATAGCATTAAAAATGCATAGCTTGTTCACTCTCCGAACATCTATTTCGAACGGCTGGAGAATTTCAGGTGTGCCATTGCTATGTATAAGGAGCTGAGTAATCAACTACTGAAAAAGCAATTCCACCGAGATAATGCACTCACCTGTGACAAAGGGAAACGAGTCTTTTCTTCCAAAACGCATTATCAATCAGTCGAAAGAATGCGTTTCTACTCTCCTAAAAAAGAGGGATCTTAGCTCATTATCATTCATCTTCTCTCAAAAAAAAAAAAAAAAAAAAGAAGACTCCGTCTCCGTTCCTTTCGTCAAACATCCAATATAAGTCTGTCTTTTATCTTTTCAGGCTGCCACCTCAACAGCAGCAAGTCGGCGTGGGTACCTTGGGTCCAGGCCCGGGTACTATGGCGGGTAACGGCGGTACCAATCCAGTGGTGCAAGGTCAACCAGGTCCACCGGGTTTGGTGATGCCTGGATTCCCGATGAGAGGTGCCGCAGTGCCACATTACTCGCCGTACTCGCCGTCGCGTTTCCACATCGACAAGCGCTGTCAGCATCGCTGCACCTGGAAGTGCTTTAGCATCGCCATGATCCTCGTGGTCGTCGCCCTCAGCGCGATGCTCGCCTACTTTGCTGGTAAGTTCTCCTACCTGGCCGAACACGTGTTGCGACGCTATGAATTATTTATGAGCGCGCGAGGCAAGACAGCGGGGGCCACATAATCTTCAGGTGTGTAAAAACCAGCGCAGAGATAAATGAGGTGGCATGCCCGGAGATAAGGCGAGCGCGAGCTCCGTGGGCGATGAGTCGCTCTCGACAAAAGACCACGCGGCCTTTCGGCAGCGATGAGTCATTTGACGCTTTTGTTTCTGGCGTTGTGCTGCGCGCGCTTTCTCAACGGGCGTCGCTCGACCAGCGCATATTCATCTCTCGAGACGAAGAAAGGTTACGAATGCAAATATCGGCAGCGGGTTGGGATGAATCGCGCGCCCGTCGGCGTACCTGTTGCGCCGTCACCGCGCCCGTCTTTTTCTAATTCGCCGCTATGAGCCGTCTGACTACTTGGCTGCGTTTTCGACGCACGCGAGATTAGCCGCCACGTACATCGACACGCCTGCTGGAAATATCGACGCTCGCGACAGGAAAATCCAATTAGAAATGGCGAAGTCAATATTGAAGAAGGAAAAAAAGGCGGCAGAGAAAAAGGCGTAATTAGCAATGGCGGCGCCGAGTTATTTCTACCGGGCAAACATTCGATTCGATTTCGCGCGCAGCAGACACCATCGCCAGCGCTGGCTTTTTTCCATTTCTCTTTTGTTTACCCTCTCGCGCGAATCGCTTGTTGCACCCAGCAGCTACAGGGCGCCAAGTACTTTTTTTTCATTCTTTTTGCAATAACAGCCGCTGAGCCTATTGTTTGCGAGATCAATTTCACGAGCGCGACGCTTTTTTTTGCTCCTGACGGCAGGCTTCATTAAAGTGATGGGTCAATTGAATATTCAATGTGTTATGTGCAGCCGGAATTGTTAATTAATAAGTCTCATGTACGCCTGTGTGTTCTCTGGAAATGTTGCAGCTGTGAGCTCGATGAAACAAATTGACAACGCTAATTGCATTTTGGCGCAAGACGTCAAGGCTGTCACTCACGAGAATGCAAATGTGCACGACTCGATATCCACGCAAATTCCGACTGAAGGTGAGTTTCAAACAATCGATTCTCTAGCCCCGCTCCCCTTTCTACCTCCTCCTCTCATGTCGCATTTGAATTTCCCGTTTCACCTCGGTCTCTCGATGCATAGATTCGATACTGCAAAATTGTCTTTTGCAAGTTTCGCCAGCCAGAGAAACGAAAGAGATATCCGATTAAAGCGCGAGGTTATCGATAATCGAACTCTCGGGAATATTCATCAAAAAAAGTGCTCGCCTATTGGCTAATCTTAACCATCGCCAAACTGTCAATTAAAGTTTCAGAGCTCCCCTGCGCGGCAATTCCCCTACTAGGTGACAATATTATCAATCGGAAGGTCGGAACTTTACCGTATGATTTAGGTGTTGCAGCGGATCAAAAACAAAAGAGAGAAAAATTGATTGTGGAAGGAGAAAATAAAAAATCACTCTAACCTCCTTAGACGAGAATTTATCTCGGTGTATTTCTCTTTCTTTTACGCGCGTGAGACGGTGATTAATGGGTTGTGAGAAAATTCTTGCTAAAGCACTTTCCTCTATTTAAACACCTTTTCTTCTGATAGGCAAGCAAATTGATACTACTATATGGCTAGATTCAAACGCTTGGCACAGCTAAAATCTCCCATTTTCATCCCTGAGCCAACAGAGAAAGGATGGGAGCGAATAGCATTAATATGCAGATAGCATGCGGCATCACGTACTTTCGGCTCCGCGTAATATTGATAATTAGCGCGGGGACTTATTTTTCGTCGTGCGCGCGCGCGCCACAGGCAGAAAACTCATTTAAATTTAGATTACGCTGCCGTTTATTTTGAATAATTTTGATACCGCGCACGAAAAGTAGAGGCACTCTCGCTCGCCAAAAGAGAGAGAAAAGAGTTATTGTAAACTCACGTACAAATTAGCCTTTTGTGCCCATTCCCTTTCTCCGCGCGCGAATCCACAAAAGAAAGTTCAGGGGAGGAGGTGAAAAAAAGTAGTCTGCTGCGTTTTTCCGTCCTCGCGCTAAAGCGAGGCGCGCCGAGGCGTAATCGTGACAGATTTTACTGCGAGGAGCGGGCTCTTCCGACTCACCCCCGTGGCGTCTCTCTCTCTCTCTCTCGACAATGCCGAGAGCCTCTTTTCCCGCGTATATACGCACTCACCGACAGACAAAAATAAATGCCCGCGCGCGTGAAAGACAAAAGACAATTATGCATATCAACTGAATATACGGCTAAATTCACATTTTATATTATTCCTTATTTATTTGCTTTTATATTTACGAGAGCTGCCAACTCGCGATTGTATGCAATTCATCGTTCTCTTTGAAATACTGCGAATAACCTTTTCAACGTCGTACTTTATTACATCTTCTTCTATTTCGGATGCAAAGTAAAAAAAATGAGATAAATAATAAAGCTACACCAGCTCTAGAGAGATGCGATTTTCTTGGATTTGCTTATCTGAAGCTAAGTAATCGATTAATTCTGAAAATAATAATTCATACGATGAATAATTTTGTACTAGCTAGCGTTTGTAACCAAACTTTTAATCAAAAAGCTTTCAAAGCACATTCGTTTACTATTTTATTCGTTAAAAGTTCGGCGCAAAACCATCTTGCAAAATATTCAAAGCCGCAAAGTGGTTCATTCGAAGAAAGTTTTATTTAGAATATCGCGGAACTGCGAGCAGACTAGGTAAAAGTTGAAATTTTTTCCATAAAACTCAGCATGGTTGGCGCCACCCTCGAAACTCACAACAAACTAAAGCGCGATAACATTCATTCGCGACCCTCGAGCACCTAAAAAAAGACGCGAGTCTGCCACGTGCTCGCAAAGCTTTAGACGAGCCAGCCAAAAAAAAAGCAGCACGTCGACCCTTGTGCTTACACAAAAGACAGTTGCCGAAAAGACAAAAGCTTTGTACTTGCACCGCAGATAACGTCAGTCAAATAAAATAAAAATAAAAATAAAAATAAAAAGAAAGGAGAAAAAAAAATGCCTGATTTCAGCAGAGAGTCTACCAACGAGCACAGCGGAGCACTCGAGTGCGTCAGCGGACTCGTCAGCAACGTCATCCGAACAGCACGCGCAACAGCAGCATCAACAACAGCAACACCAGCATCAGCAACATCCGAGCGACCCGCAGATTCAACAGTCGGCTCAACAATGGCCAGCTGTTCTGGAGCTGCAATCTTACAACGTTGCTCACTCGGCCGTAATACCGCCTTATCATTTCTGGAACACGGAGTTTCGCAACAAGCAGCCCGCTTTCATCCGGCTCAATCTGACTCTGCCTTGGGGCGCTAATTTCGCCGTGTACGGGCGCAGAAACGTGGCGCCAAGTGTCACGCAGTATGACTTTGTGGAGTTCGTCAAAGGCGGCAGGCTGGATCACCGCTTGAAGAGAGACGTGTTCGCGTCGGCCGCCGGCGCCGCACCCGTCAGCTTTACCGCCGATCTGCCCGGCAGTCCGGCCCTGCCGCCGGAGCCGCAGCTCGTGCCTGCCTACGCCGAGGAGGAGGTGTCCACGATGTTTCAGCACCTGCTGGCCAAGCGGTCCAGTTACGAGCCGATGCTGGTGAACGTCAGTCTGCTGCAGTACCTGGACACTGGCCGTTGGTTCCTGTCCGTTTACAACGACGAGCTGCAGCCCTACAAGGTCACGCTGATCATCACCGAGGCCGAAGGGGTTTCCACCACCTGTCCCAACGATTGCTCGGGACGGGGTTCCTGCTACCTCGGAAAGTGCGACTGTATCGACGGCTTTCAGGTCAGTCTTGGTCCCACTTTTCCTTTCTTCTTGCATCTTTCAATGCCTATCCGGATCGACGGTAATCTCGCGCGATACGTGAAGCACGAAAGTGGAAAACAAGAAGCTTCGTTCATTATTCACTTGAGCAGATTCAAAGATATCGTCTATCATTCAATTTGCTCTCGGAGTACATCAATAACGGTTTCATGAGATGAAAAAGCGGAAAATGTCATACTCGCAATAGCGCACCAACTCAATGGAAAAACTATCGATATTAATTACATCTCTTCCATCGCGCTTCATCGTATATTCCTATCGAGCTAAAAAGAAAAATATTGGCTCATCATTATGGATTAATCCGGTGTCTGCCTCGCCTCTCCATAGGCTCCGCGCAAAACTCGATTTATAACCGTCACAGCCAATTCGCGAATATACGTTATTGGGCTGAAGCCCACGCACCCGTCAAAACTAATAACGTGACAGCCAAACTTTGCTGCTCAATTTGTATCGCGTCCTCTTGCTCGATGCGTATATATGCTTATATATCTATACATCCGCGTGCGCGCGTTGCGGCTTTGCAGCCGGAGAGAAATCTCGAGATTGATATTAACAATTCAGGCTATAAAAAATTCACGATTCTCTCTCTTTCTCGTTCTCGCTCTTACGACGTTTTCCCATTTAAAAAAGCAAGCATACAATACGTCTAATAGCTTATCCTCTAAATGTAATGTAGTACGTCGATACGGCTTTCCTGAGCGCGGATAAATTGGTTATTGACACGAGAGCGAGCGAGCGCTCGCAGAGTATAGCCTGCAGTTTCAGGAATAAAACATCAATAATCAAACTCTCGTTGAGAGCGTGCATACAAGCCGGCAGCGAAGAACGCTGAGTATTGTATGCACGGCGATAAAGGACAATTACCTCTAGGGGTGTCGAGAGAGTTTAGCAGCGGCGAATTAATGCAGAGTCACGCTCTCGAATCTCAAAGATACATAAAGGGCGCGACAGAGCGAATTTTTGTCGCCATTCCAGTAAAAAAACCGGCTGGGGGTGTTGCGCGCGGATGACGTATTCGCTGCCAACTTTTAAAATCGACTTACAACTCGTCCCGGTAATCCTTCTTTTCTATTACCCTCAGCGACGAGCGAGCGAGCGAGTCTTCATGGACTGTCGTGTTAGCTGTTTGTCGACCTTTCAACAGCGATTTGTCATTCTTAACCCATTCAGTCAATCGGTATTGCGCGACCAAATCACTTTCTACCGATGTCTTTCGATTTACATTATATTGATTTCTGGCCCACCGCCTTTCGCGTACGTTTCGCATTTTAAACTCTGACTCATGCGTGCGCCTGTATAACGAGTGATATACACGGCCAGCAATGGTTTACGATGCTGGATAGGTTACAAACGAAAGAATTTAATTGATTCGGTAGACAGAAGCTCGTGTTTTTTTCAGCCCAGTGGAGTTTGTTTGGCGTTTTCATCACTTTCGCCGCCTTTTTTTTGCTATCTGCTCGCGACAGTGTGTAACGAAAAGTAACAATTTTTAATTAAATTTCCCTTCCGCAGTGCGATCTGGGCAAAGCGCTATCGACTATTTTACACAACTTGTTAACAAGCCTCGTTGGGAGAACTATTGCTCTCGGAAGATTTTTATTCGTAATACCCGGCACTCGATATCGCCTCGATAAAAATCTCCGATTTCATATAAGAAAAAAGTGGATTTGACGCGCGTCGTCCGTCTACTGCCTCTTACGACGTCGTAACTGATTTTTCACAAATAAAATCTAGCAGTAGAACGACATTCCACCCCCCGAAGGAAGAGAAGACAGAACCGCGGCGTGAAAAAGCGTGTATATATAAGGGGGACGAGACGTCTCGAAGCGAGTCTAATTTGACCCTCGGTGCGTGCGCGTTTCTCTCGAAAATGTGATTTGGACATTTTAATATCGGGAGCCCGCGCGTCCGAAATGCAATTGGCGCGCAAGGACGATTTCTCCGTGACGAATTCGCGCGCGCGCGCCATAAACATTCCCTCAGGTCAATGTATCGTGGCACGTTCTTTTCACGCCACACACGAATAGATCAGAGCAAGGAGAGAGAGAGAGAGTGAGACGGAGATATCCAGAGGGGCGATTATGGAATGGGCCACTGGCTTCCGATTGCCAATTTCACGCGATGATTATATGGATTAATTAATTTAGTCATCTCGTGGAACATATAAAAAAGTAAAGGAAACACAACAAGAAAAAATAACTAGAATGAGCGGAAACTTACGATTGAAAGTTTACATGTATATTTGCCTATCGCGCTCGCAAGCTCGCAAGTTGCGGGGGTGTAAGCGAAGAAAACCGATAAAAAAAAGTTTTGGCGCGTGCGAGTCTGTGTGCTCGGCAGTAGTAGCGCATTCTCGGCAACTCCTAAATTATTAAATTCCCCGGGCCCGCGTCGGCAGAAGTCCGAATGCGTTATATATGCTCGCACTAGCGTTATACAACTGCTGTGTGGAATATATACAAGGGAGTAAGAGAGAAAAGAGCACAAGCCGCCTTAGTTTTAGGCCATTACCCACGCGACCGCAAACGACATAATGCTTTATTCGCGCGGGCCTCCTTATTAAACCATGGAGTTGAGGGTGGTAGGCTCGGTGAGCACACGATTCCTAGATGTAACGTCCCGCCGCACGGGCTTATTAATCGAGAGCGACTTATACATATGTGTATATATGTACATATATATACGGGGGAATAATTGCGCTATATAATTCTCGTCGCGCAGATTTAGGCCTAATCGTCTGCTCTGCAGAGCAGGCTCGTCTTTCTGACCGCGTGATATCGCTTTGGCACGACGACGACGACGACGACGACGACGACGACGACGACGACGACGACGACGACGACGACGACGACGACGACGACGACGACGACGACGACGACGACGACGACGACGACGATTTCCATGGCGACCGCGCCAGCAGTTGGCGGTCGATAAGTCCTGCACTCGCTCGCGCATGCGTATTAGCTCAAGTCCTGTGCCTGTCCGTATTGCAGCCTACTCCCTTTTTCCGCCTCTCGTAATACACATCTATCTATCTCTCCGACCTGCATACACCGTGGAACGAGCGGGAGGGAGAGGCAAATGTAAAACCGATGTCGCCGGCCGATTAATGATGACAAGATTCCGACGTCGAGCGACGACCAGAGCCGGATATAAGTTCTGCGACGCTCTATTGCACCGCCGCCGCCCTGCCAATAGCCCCTCTACTCGCTCTCTCTCGCTCCCTCTCTGCGGTTAATGCTGCGCGTTTCTGTTATCGGCCAGTCATCTGTGATGCATTCTCTATAGTTATATGTAGGGCCGTCATCCTTGAGATATTACTGTCATTTCTTTCTTACTTCGACCTTACTCTATTTTTTTGCGGTATTTCGTGTGCAGCGCGCAGACACGTTCGGCATAATCGGATGGCTTTACGGAATCGCGGTGGCTAGATAATAATAGACCTAATGATTTATTGAAAAATTTCTGTTTCGATTATCGATGTGCTTCGCGCGACTCGTGGCGATACGCGAGCGCTATATATGTTGCCGTCTAAAAACTTATTCATTATTCTCTGGTGGACGATTAATGAGCTCTAAAAAGCGAGCACAGAGCGCTCCGAGTTTCGCTGAAAAATAATAAATTACAGCTTTTCCATTCGGCCGCATAATATAATCTCGCCGCAACGGCAGCACCAGCCGCAGCAGGGAAGACGAAGAAAAACAAGCGGCAGTAGTGGATTGGCGAGTATATGCAAAGTAGCCAGCATCGATAGACCGACTATCCTTTTGCATTAAGCTTCCACAAGTCATAAGCTTGCGCGCGGGGATATAAATGAGCGAGGCACCGATAAAAATTCGTATACAAATCGCCTACAGCGTCTTCTCTTCTTCCACGCGCGCGATAAACTCCCTCGGCAAAACAAGAGAGAGAAACTTGAAAAACCCCTCGACAGTGGCGGCGGCGACGGCAGCGGCGGCGGTGGCGGCAGCCGTCCATCTGGCCTCCGTGCTGCTTGTCAACGAACTCAGAGCGGGGGCGAAACGACGATTGATGACGCGGCTGCCTGCCTTACCCGAGATTTTTCGGAGAAGAGCGAGCCAAAGATAAACCGGATAGTCGACAAATTGATGATTACCCGCCCACCCCCCCCCCCCCCTTTCAATTTTTCACCACCTTGCTCGATTGTACGCGAATTCGCAACGTTGTCCTTGATAACACACACACACACACACACACGCACATTCGCGCGCGCATTTTTATTACTGACATTTTTTTACGCCATGCGAAACGAGAAAGAAGCAGAGAACCATCCTAATTTTCCGAGGTAATGAGCCGGAAGAAATGGGCCGGCTAATCAAGTCTGCGTGAGCCACAGCGGTGGCAGCGAGTAATCCAATATTTATTTATGAGACTGTAACGAGAGAGTCGTCCGCACAGACAGACACACATCGATGCATTTCGAAATTCCTCGGGATGAATAAGTCAGAACTGCGGGAGAGCTGCGCGCGATAAATTTGCTGTGTGTATTGAAGAAACGAAAGGGCTGCCGTACGCTGCCGTACTGAAGTAATTTCCCGACGGATCTTCAGCGTCCCTCGCCTCTTCTAAATTCATCGACCATACGTCTTATCATTTCGACAGCTGTCATACCGCATTCGAACTATATCGTCTTCACGACGACGTGGATGAGACATATGTTCATTTACACCACGCGCCAAAATACTCTTTGTTTCTATTTACTCGGCGTATTCGGCTTTTGTTCACTTTCCGATAGAAATCTCTCTCTCTCTCTCTCTCTCTCTCTCTCTCTCTCTCTCTCTCTCTCACTAACTCTCTGTCGCTTGCACGGGGGTGAAAAAAGCGAGCGGCGACGACGAGAGAAGGGAAAAAAATTAGCGACGCGCGGCGTGAACGTTACGTGTTATAATGGACGCAGGCAAGCGAACGTGAAAAAAAGAAGCGAAGGGTGGCATTTTCCCTTTTTTATTTATTCTCTACTTGTAATACATTTCTCGCGTATACGTGAAGCTTAATTAAAAGAGAGAGAGAGAGAGAGAGAGAGAGAGAGAGAGAGAGAGAATTTCGCGCGCGCAATCTTTCTTTCGAAAAAAAACCAATAAAAAAATATACGTAGAAAAAGATCGCGTTTGTATACGGTATTTAAGTGCTTCCGCTCGAGCTTTCATTATTAATTTCCTGTACGCACGGGGCACTCGTATATACACATAATCGGTTGTTCATCGCGCTCACGCAATATTTCAATGTAGGTGCGCGTTCGTTCTGTCGGTATTTCTTAATAAGATGGATTAAAGCACTTGTTGAGGTCGCAGCGTCGACGAGATAAAAGCGCTCGCTCGCCTCATTTCGTGCTGCAACCGAAATAGACCTATTTCACGGAGTGCGCCGTTAATGCGGTAATGCTCGACTGCGCCAAAAACCAATAACCCTTTACAAGGCCATTCGACGAGCGAGAGGCAGTTTTTCCAGTGGTTTTCAGCGACGCCAAGCGAGTTCGCGAGGGATTTCCGACTCGGCCGAGAAAAAAAGCTCGGCTACTCCTCGCTACCGTGGCGGTTCTCTGATGCTATTGAATTTTCGTGCTCACAGTTGAAATTTTGCGGAGGTAACGTGCTTTTCGATATGATATCGATAATGGAAGTGTTGAGCAAAGAGAGCCCAATATTTACTGGAAAAAGCGGAAGGATTCTCAAAGCCGGTCAACTTTCGTCATCGAAAATTCGAATGACGAAATGGTCGTTCCTTCGAATCGCTGCACTGTCTACCGTTTCAATTAAAATACCACGGAAAACGAAAAACAGGGGATGCTCCGTCGCGTGTAATTAATTAAAGATAGAAACCGCGTTTCCGATCCCCGTATCCCCGTCGCGAGTATAGTGTATCTGAAATCAGTCGGCAAACACAATGGGCCAAGCTCCAGTAGTCAGTTCTCGGCGCGGATAATTCGAGGCATTTAAAGCTGCGCTGGCAGCGAACGTTAATTAAAAGCCAGGCCCTTTTGTCCCTCAGCTCGCGCAGGCAAGCTCTCTTCGAAATCCCTAATTGCCGAAGGAGGAGGAGGAGGAGGAGGAGGAGGTAAAAAAAGAGCGTGACCTAAATATTGAAGCTGTAGAGCAAGCGAGCTAAATCTTGATATACGCATAACTTACGATGGCTATTATCTTAATTATTCGGTATGAGCTTTTGCCCACCCGCCTCTCCCGCCCCTTTTTTCTAACGAGCGTGGCGTAAAATCGATGCGACGACGAAATACCAAAGATTCTCGACCCCATTAGACATCCGGCGATCTTAATCGTAGGGGCTTTTGTTCGAGCGCTCGGCCGGGAAGCTCGAATAAATAATAAACTGTGTAGTCGTCGCTGGCTTAATTGCCTTGGCGCTTTTGCTTTTAGGATTTGCGACGTTAACCCAGAATTCTACATTCGAGCACTTGACGTGCCATATGCCCTCGCCGCGTCGCCGCGTCGCCGCGTCGCGTGCTCTCTAGTCGGGGAACATTGTTACGTAGCTTCGCGCTCGTCCCCCCTGCGTACGTGTGCGCGACGACGAGATCTACACAAGGGCGCGCGCGCGAGAGAAAAAAAGGGCTCTCGCCCGCTGATATCAAAAGTCGCGCACGTGTATGTGCAACACAAAGACAAACGTTTTCGCAGCTAGCTGTTTCTGTGCGAGCGCGCTGCAACTGCACACAATGCAACCGGGGACTCGACAAGGCCGAGGAACAAGAAAAACTCGCCAAAAGTTTGTCACAATGCAGCGCCCCGCGTAGTCTGCTTTTATTAACGACGCGCCGCGCGATTGTTTTCCGTGGGATATATTGATCCGCGGCTGCGGTTTTTCTGCTTTACCTTCGTCGTGCTACCGACTGATAGGCGGTTTGTCAATGATCTTCAAAACAAATAATAAACCTTCACCGCCTCTATACGCATTTTTTAACGATGCATTTCCAATTTGTCCTGTTGCAATTTTTCTCTCCTTTGTGGCGCACCGACGTCCGTTATTATCCGCTCTCGCTATAGAAACTGGAGAGCCGTGTAATATCATCTCCAATACCCCGATTCTTCCTAATTATTTAATTACAATCGATCCGGTCTCTACCATTCTTCGATATAACTCAGTCGTTATTGGCTTCTCTGAGTGATTATTGAGAACCAGAGTTGGTCAAATTTCATGAAATGTTAACGGGTAATACATATTTTTAAACCTTCGATCTTTGGTTCCATTAGAGCGCTAGGAAAAGAAGAGAGAGAGAGAGAGAGAAGCTGACATTTTTAGTGGTGGACAAATCCGGGTCACTCGCGCTCTAGGCTTATTCACAACCAAGGAAGCACCGTTGCGCCACGTGAACAGTATAATCCGTATCAATTTCCAAAAGGTCACGTAGATTTTGTCGACGAGAGCACAGAGACGAAAGTCGATCGATTGGCTCGACGCGTACGCTGCCGAACGCTTAATAAGCTGCGGTCCCCTCGGCCGCGTCTCCATTCGGTGGCAGCGGTGCAGCCAGGACGCGGGCAACCTGCTTTTTGTACGCGCGTCCCCCAGTTGCCGCGGCCGCCGCAAATGTCTAAGCCAAGTGCGTGCACGCGTTGCAGGGCGCAGACTGCGGGAAGAGCGTGTGCCCGGTGCTGTGCTCGAACCACGGCCAGTACGGGGGCGGCATGTGCCACTGCGAGGAGGGATGGAAAGGAGCCGAATGCGACATCCCCTTAGCCGACTGCCAGGTCCCGGACTGCAGCAGGCACGGACAGTGCGTGCGTGGCGCCTGCGTCTGCAACCCCGGATGGAAGGGCGACTTCTGCTCCGAGAGTAAGTATTGGCTGGCGGGCCGCGCCGCTGCAGGCCGCGTTCGGTTGACGCGTGATTTATATCTGGGAGAAAAGGGGCGACGGGCGCGCCAGAGATTCCATGCATAAATTTTAGCGAGGACGCGCGCTCGCGTGCGGCCAATGCATACTGATTCGCCGATTATCGACGCGCAGACGGGCGGCCGACGGCGGCGTCGCCGATGATCCTCTGATTGCCGGCGAGGAGAGAAACAGGGAGCAGCCGCGTCGCCGCCGCCGCCGCGCCGCCGCCCTTTTATCGCGGCGCGGCGGCGAACTGTACAGCCGAACTGGCGCGTGTGTTGCAGCGGACTGCCCGGATCCGGGTTGCGGAGGTCACGGCGCCTGCGTAGCCGGCAAGTGCTACTGCAAGGCTGGCTGGCAAGGGGAGAGGTGCAACCAGGTGGATCAGCAGGTTTACCAATGCTTGCCCGGCTGCTCGGAGCACGGCACTTACGACCTCGAGACGGCCTCGTGCGCCTGCGAGGAGCACTGGACCGGCGTCGACTGCTCGCAGCCCAGCTGCGGCCTGGACTGCGGCTTACACGGCACCTGCGAGAGCGGGCGCTGCAAGTGAGTAGCTTTTTCTGGCCCTGCTCGCGTCGAGCAGCGCTACCCCGCCAACTCAATTATCCTGCGCGTTAACGACAGTTGTAAACTATCGTCGTCAATTTGCGGTTCGCATCGCGCGCCGCCAGTCCCAATTGAGTCTAATTGGATCGATGGAACCCTTGCCGACTATTTCATTTCCATTAGTTGAATTAGCCTCGGTGCACGCGCGCGCCGACCGCTCGAGCCAAATCCCCTCGCGTGCTTCACAAAGAAGGCTCGTTATTCGCAGGTGTCAAGATGGCTGGACGGGGACCAAGTGCGACCAGAAGCCGTGCGATCCGCGCTGCGCCGAGCACGGCCAGTGCAAGAACGGCACCTGCGTCTGCAGCCAGGGCTGGAATGGCAAACACTGCACGCTGCGTGAGTACTCGCTTCTCTCTGTTGCCGCTGAAAACCCGGATAATTCGGATGGCCAGCCTGAAAATTCAATTAAAACCCGCGCGCATTGGCACACTTTCCACGCGTACGCAGGATTGACGTGCGCCAGCTGTTACGCACAAAAAGAGACAGACGGGCAGATCGATTCCCCGCGGGTGAAATAAATAAATGAAAGGCTGCCGGCTCTCTACGCACCGACGCGTCAAAGGATTAAAATTGGAAGTTTAGTTTGAAGCGCGCGCGCATTTGCCAATTGTCCGCTGTAAATTTCTCGCGGACGCGAGCGAACGAATGAAAAACGCCGCTTTCATCGCCAGCCAAAAAGTATCGGTTTTATCAATGCGAGCCACGCTTCCACGACCAATGAATTACGATGCGCGTAATTATAGCGCGCTATTTTTCCCCCATTTTGCGATCAATCGAAGCTTACGTTTGATTGAGATGAGAAAAAAAAATACTAGTGTGCCCGCGAATTGAAAAGTTTAATTGAAAAAAATCCTAACTTTCCATTTTGAAGTAGTAGATGCTCGATTAAATAGAACTTTTTTTTCCAAATGCACAGAAATATATTCATTGAAAAAGTTACTATTGTCACGCGTGTGTTTGGCTGCACTTTGCTAAGCGAGTGAGCGAGTGCGACTTCCTGTACGACTGGACTGACGCGCATTCACCAACTATTTCTCCGGCGAAGCTATTTTTCAAGCTGCGCTTAAAAAATTCAACGAATCATTTCGATTCCAGCTGTATGCAATACTTTTGCAACAGAAAAACGAAAAACCCTAACTTTCTTTCGAAAAATTCAAACTATCCGATGTACGTTTCCTGGCACGCAACGCGCAATTTTTTAACGTACCCTCCGATAAAAATAAATTCTCTTTCCTCCTATTCTAAAAAAAGTCATTGCTCGCAACAAAAATAAAAAGAAATATATGAAGCGTGCCCCACCTCCTATTCAATGCGGAAAGCACGGCAAAAAATTTCGTCAAAAAACCATAATCGAGAGTCTGTCTCTCTCTCTCTCTCTCTCTCTCTCTCTCTCTCTCTCTCTCTCTCTCTCTCTCTCTCTCTGCGTTGAAACGAACAAACGTAACGTTAAAAAAGTGCCCTCGACGGCTACCTTATACAAGGCTCAGGGCGTTATAAATCGTTGGCGGTGTTGCAGCGGGCTGTGAGAATAAATGCAGTGGACATGGATCGTGCACGCCGGTGGGCGGCGAGTCGAGCTGCGAATGCTTGGCTGGCTGGGCTGGTCGTGACTGCAGCATACCTCTTGAAACCATCTGCGACGACGACATCGACAACGACGGCGGTGAGTAATCTTTCTTCGGTATCATTCATTTACACTGCCCTTATCTATTTCGAGGTAGCAATGGGAAGAACATTTTTTTAAATCAGCGTCGATTAGTTTCGTCAACCTGAGACTTTCAGCTGTGCACCTAGTCATTTACCATTGATTGAATCAGCCGAGCTATTACGGTTTATTAACGCTAATAAAGTTACGTAAGGTATAAAAAGTATATACGAGGAAAAAAGGGAGAACCGTTTTGAAAATCGGATTGGTTTTATTTTCGAGCTTTTCTCGGTGTACACGTCAGTCGCAGAGTTTTCGATATTCGCGCATGTCATGATTCATTTTTTATTTTTATGAATTTCATGCCAATTCCAACTCATCTCCGCGCGATGACGCTGATAAGTTTTTAAATGACCTACTTTTTCTCCGCGGAAGAGGCAAACGCCTTAACGACAGGTATTAATGAGGTAGATTGACTTGGAATTTCGCGCGTCATTTGACAAGGCTCAAGCTCTCGCGTAAATTGGATTTTAAAACGTCATTAAGGTGTCGCAGGCGCGCGCAGCAGCAGCAGGGAAAATTAATTTTATTTGCAAACTTGTAATTCCAAGTTTGGGTGGCACGCGAAGATTTCCGCATGCGGCTGCAGCGATACAAATGTCAATTAATCAAGGCAACCGACGAGATAGAGAGAAAGCAAAGCTCGCTCTTGCAGGAAATCACAAATCATCATTGAATCCAATTAAACGTGTAGGGTCGTTAAAGTCCGTTGTCGCAGCGTGTGAGAGATCGTATTTATATGTTATTAGACGGTACTAAGGACTGTTCGGACAGCGAATGTTGTTCCGAGCCGGTATGTTCGGAACATCTAATGTGCATCGCAAGCAAGGATCCGGTGGAGGTATTGCTGCGAAAGCAGCCACCATCCGTAACTGCAACCTTCCATCAACGCGTCAAATTCCTTATCGAGGAGAACAGCGTGCAGAGTTACGCCCGCACCGACGAGTACAGCGAGAGGTACGCTTTCATTGGCCTATGCCTTTTTTCTTTCGTTCTTTTTTTTTTACTTTCTTCTTCTTCTCTTTTATTAAATTAATCCTACTCGGCAGGAGAGCGAACGAAAAAAAAAGAAAATAAGAGACCAACTATGCGGGCTTATTCGCGAGACGAGCCGAGCGCGAGAGATCCGAGGAAAAGAAAAGAAATTTTAATCAAAGTCTTGAGTTTCCGCGCGGCGCTATATACGCCAACGAAGAGGGAAAGAGAGAGACTGAGAATAGAAAGAGAAAGGAGATATGATGGAAAACAAACATCCAGACGCGGAAAGCTACCGTACAGCCTGCCTCCTTTTTACCCCTCCCCTCTCTCTCTCTCTCTCACTCTCTCTCTCTCTCTCTCTCTGTCTCTCTTTACCCCTCACGCTCTCTCTCTCTCTCTCTGATTCTCTCTTGCACAGAAGGCGACGACGACACGATAGCGATGCACTCGACTCGTAATATTGCATGCTGGATAACAAAAAAGAACAGAGTGCACCGCTGCCGCCTTTTTCTTTCGACGATGGCCAACGACGCTGCTCGATTGCTACAAGAGAGCTTTCGCTAAGTTTATTTATGCTCGCATATCAATTTGTTTGTGCTTCTATTTGTTCTCCATAGTCGATGCAAACATTGTGAGATTCCAGAGGGTCCTCATAATGAGCCCATTCCGAAAGCTCTCGCTTAATTTTGCTGCGTGCAAATTGAGAATCGACACGCAACGAAAACATATCTATTTTCATATGCTTGTAATAGCATCAAAAGTATAGCAGAGCCAGTGAAAAATTCAGTTTGAAAACATATTCACCGCGCGGCGCCTATGAATAAATGACACGGACGTGGTTGATCGAGCAGCGTCTAAAAGCTGCGATACATACGCGAAAAGTATGCCGTAGACGCACTTACGTATGCCTTCGCTCTCGTCGAAAGAATCTGTTTCATCAAGTAGAGATTCAGTGGAGGAAAAAAGATGCGCAGTAATATGAAACAGCAAAGAAAATAACATGAATAAGAGACAAAAAAAGAGAAGCCTTCGTCGTCGACCCCGCCAAAAAAGAAAAAAAAAAAAGAAAAAGAAAATAAGTGAGCGGAAAAGGAAGAAGGCGAACGAAGAAAAACCCCCTCTTTGAGAAACCCTCCTCGGCTCCTTGTGTATCACCTCTTCCCCGTCTCTAACCTCCCGCGAATGCCAGAAGCACCGTGAAGATCGGTCGATCAAAGGCCGCACACTCGCACAGACTCGATGTTATTTGCTCCTAGCAACACGAACGACACATAAACCGTTCGAGTTCGACGCGGGAGCAAAAAGCGTTGTGTTGTGTTTGTTTCCGTCGATTGGCGAAAAGCACGCAAAGAGAAATTGAAAGCTTGATAATTTGTTGCAATGCGAAAAGTGCTACTGGTTGTTCGCGGGCTTCGTGTTCGTTGTCTAGTGTTGCTCTTTTGTGTACAACCCACCTGACCTGAAAAACCTCAAGCCCTTTTCATCTGAGCGCCCGAAGTGGCCAACTAGCGGGACTGTTACGAGAATAAAAACACGAAAAAGAATATAATCAAAGCTTTAGTCACGGGGGCCTAACTGCCCTCTTCTCTATCGTGGATAACGACACTTTAACATCGCAGTTGATTATGTCTGATGATAGTTCTATGGCAGCTGACGGCAACTGATTATGTCGCTTAACAAGTCGCGGGACAATCGTTGATCGCTGTCCACATGTAACTTTTTTCAATTTTTTTTTATCAAATGTAACTCGTTCGGTCGCACGAAAAGTTTCTTTGCTCGGAGAGAATTTTCTCTCTTTAATAATTCAGCATTTGTGAGAGTTGCCAAAAAGTTACTAGTTCAAGTTAATGTATAAAGTGACATCAAAAGCGTCGCGCTTTTAGAGTATTAAATTCAGCAGAGCTGCAAACTGCGCGCAAGCGCGAGCCAGAGCAGAACGCCGCCGAACTTTTCGAATAATATTTTTTTGCTCCTCGAGCTTATTAACTAAATTTGCAATATTCATGAATACGTTTGTTTGGCCAAATACAAGAGAAAAGCTGAATTTTCCGGCGGCAGATTAATATACCTTATCGTCGAGTGCTGAGCAGTACGTAACACCAATTAAAAGAAATTTTTCAAAAAGCTCGTTCAGTTTGCCGCTCTGTTTGCACGAAACTAACAAAAGCAAATAACGTAACGTACGAAGAAGAACGACAAAAATACAAGAAGCTTGCCAAACATGCTTATACGATGAACGAAAAAAATAAAACGAAGGAAGCAAATGTTGCCGTAGGCTATACGACGCACGAATCAGGACATTGCTGTCGGGAGGAGGCTATATACTCTGACTGTGTCGTGATTCGCGCGACGACAAGCCTCTTCTCTCCGCCGTATAGACGCTGACACAAGTTTGAAATTCGCTGCTCGGTGCGGTTATTAAGACACCGTTCTATATGTGTGTATCCACCACCAACCATCAGCACCAACCCCCCGCCAGTTCATACAGTTAATTCCTCATTTGTTTTGAGAGAACAAGCATTGACAAGCCCAGCGGGTCATTGTTCCCAAGTTTGTTCGTTAACCGACCCGCGGGCAGATTATTTTTACTACCATTGTGTAGATGTACATGTCTACGCGCAAGAGCAAGCGAATATTAGATGGACCTACCACAAGCGTGCTACCATGCTACTAGTTTGACTTGATGAGTTCTCTCAGTTATGAGATTTCTCTACACTCCCGTAACTTTGATTTTCGAGTTTAGTTCTCTCTCTCTCTCTCTTTCTCTCTCCCTCTCTCTCTTGATCTTTGATATACTCGTGTGCCTCAAGTGTGTTCATTCTTTTCTCTACGATTTTTTCTTTTGTGTTTTGTCTCCTTCTTCTTTACTTTCGAATCTGTTAGAAAACGCCTCGACATTGACTTTCCCTCCGAGCTTTATCTATTATACAATGAACTCGATGCCGAGGTTTTCTTTTCCTTTTCAAAACTGTGCTGATTGTCCCTTAACGTTTTCTTTGTTAGTCCGAGGTTTGTGGAAATAGTTTTAATACCTTATACAACTCTTTACTTTCCTTTTTTCCTGGTTTTTCAAGTAATTACCTACAAAACTTCTAAAGGGTGGAAAATGTCAAAGGTCAGGCAATTCTTTGTTCAAGCGTTCTTTTCATTTTCTCTCACAAACATTTAAGTGTAGCCGAAGTGCTCGTGGAACAACAAAACGAAATTAAAAAGAAAAATAACGAATCAAACAATATAGTCACAAGTATAACAGCAAAAAAAAAAAAAAATAACTCTATATATGTGTAATTTCCAACTTGTGTCCGTCATATACACGTTAAAAACCACTCTTATATGTGTTCAAGTACGAGTCTGCGAGCGAATGCACAATGAAAGGAAGCAAAAAAAGTACAGTTGGTGTGAATGAATATGAACGACTGCAAGTCTCGATTTTTTAGTGTGTACGTGTCTACGTCTAATGTTTCTGTATTTGGACCTCGAGCGAACCTCCGCGAAAAATTTGTTTCTTCCTCTCCTTTTTGCCTTTTTTCCATTCAAAAGCATACAATATGTATGTGCCGTTGAACAATGTAGTGCGCGCAGTCTCCCTTTCTTTTTTTTCTGCACGCGCCTTTATGTTGTCGCCGTCACGGAGAGTCGCTCGGGGTCGCAAAAATACGTGGGTTCTGTGGTACCGTGGTAACGCCCTTTCTTCTCGTTGGTTTTTCTCCTACACGTAGTGCGTTCTGGAGTTCCTTTGAACCGCGGTAAGTTGCAGTTCTCTCGCTAATCATTTAAATATCCAACTGATCAAGCATACATTTTCATTTTTTTTAACCATTTTTCTCATCTATTTGCTCGTCTCTCATTTCTATGTATCATCCACCCTCGTTTTCATTGTCATCACCACTGTGTACAAAATAAACAAGGACCTTTTTTCTTTATTGTTAATGCTTCAATTTTTTTCGATCCTTCTGCTCCCGTACATAGGGGCAAGCAAGCAAGCAATGTGTTTCTCTCCTAGATTATCAATCGTAAACAATCCGCGTCAATCGAGAAGTATTTTCAAGCGGGTATCAAAGGCAATCTTTCAACCTGCTACCTACAACCTAGTTTTTCTTTCTCTTACATGCATTCAATTGATATTACAGTTTGCTGCACACGCGACAATCATTTTTTTTTCTCGCTCCCCCTTGTCTTTTGTTTTACGAATATCAAACGTACTTTTTTCGATTAACGCGCGTTGCTTACGATTCCAACTCACCTGTATTTTTTTCATTTATCGTTCATATCACATTGTGCGTTGTTATGTCATCTCTCTCTTTGCTTGTTTATCGTCATAACCTGTCCACCTTTCTGTTTCTCTATTTCACTGTCTTTCTTTCTCCTCTACCTTCTGTTTTTTTTCTCATTATTTTCACGATACTTGATTCCCGTTGACTTTCCATCTGGCGCAAATCAAATTTTTTTATCTCGGTCTCAGCTTTTCGCAGCAAAACTCCACTTGAAAAATATGCTGGCGCTCATCGCGAATCAAGTATCGGCATTACAATGTCACGTACAAAGTCATGCAAATCACGCTAAGCCTTAAGTTTGAAAAAAAGAAATATACCCTACATCCTACTGTTAATATTATCTGTGGTATGTCGTCAGATTGTTGTCTTTTGTTATGTCTTGTCTTCTTGCCATTTAGTAAATACGTTTTATAAATTAAGTCCTGTTATTATATCACAAGTATGCCTATTTTACATTTGCCATTTACAAACGACGATCTATGCATCCATATACCGTCTTGAAACGCGGGCTTGTGTTCGTTTAATCCATTTGCCAGGCTTGCACTCACCGTATTATTATATTAACTAAATGTCACCTTTTGTCAAACTACAAAACGTGCGTCTCAAGTCCCATTTGTCTGAACAGCATTCACAGTGATGTCGTTCTAAATCATATAATACATTTTACGTTCTCGTTTTTTCTTATTTTTTATATTTTTTTGTTTCTTGTCTCATTCACATGAAAATCGTCTAGTCTGTGTAGAATTCTATATGTATATATCGCGTGACCGCGCTAAATCACGTTCATATACAATCATTGATCAAATAAATCGTCGTAAAATTCGTCAGAACAAAACAAAAATCGAAATCACGATAAAAATAAAAAAATAAAAGCAAACGTTGTGTCAGATTAGTCGGCACACGAAATATGAAAAGTCGGAAGAAAGTCCCGTGAAAGTTAAAAAAAAAATAAAAGAAAAAAAGAAAGGAATCCTAACCCACTTGTCTTCGTCTGAAAAATGTGCCCTCAACTGCCCATCCTATCTGACCATTACAAAGGAAAAAAAACCCTGTGTCTCGTCTATATATCCCGACTTATCCACGAGTCCACCCCCTCTCCCCCCCATAATTGCTCTCCTCGTCCGTTTGCTATATTCTTGTCGAAAGCCGCCGAGAGAAAAATACGTCCGTCATCCCTCCGTTCGACACTTGATTAGAGCGAAAACTTTTCTCGACACCTTCTTGAGAATTGAGAAGAAGGGAAAGGAAAATTGAAAGAGAGAGAACGAGCGACGACGACAAGTAGAGAGCGATACGTCTCTCTTTGACAGATAAGGAAAGATTAAGAGGAGATCAAAATGAAAGGAGACGAGAAAAGTACGGTGTATTGATAGTCGCTACGTTCCGCGAGAAGCCAACCAACCGCTTGCAGAGAACAAAATAAAAAAAAGAAGCTTGTATAGCCGCGCGAAGAGAAGGACCGTTCTCAATCTTTTTTACTTTTATTTTTACTTTGTATGATTTGTCTTTCTTTGCTGGCTGAGAAATGTTAAAGAAGTAAGAGTGCAAAGACTATTGCATGCCGTGGTGTTTTACAAACTCTCGCAAAGAAACATTCGCCACGCTGTGTGTTATACTTTTGAGATTCTCCGATAAAAAGAAAAAGAGCGGGCGGAGTGTGCGAGAAGTGCATCAGGTAGGTCAGTTTTATCTCCATTAACGATTTATCGACAAGCAGCCTTTTACCTTCGTCTCTCTGCTTTTACGTTTTTATTTTCTCCATTTTTATTTTTTCTTTTATGTCATTAGCGTAACTTAACGATATATAAAAGCATTTTGGTAGAGTAATTTTCGTCGCGGACGCACGAGTGCAAATGTTTCTTTTTCACGACCAAGAAAAAAAACAATTTTCAAGCTCTGCACATGCGACATTTGCTGTATTACTTCATTAACATTTCGCTGAGGCGTTTATATTACTTTGTTTTTTATCGTAACTAAAGAACAACGACAGATAACCGCTTAATTTAGCTTACTTTATTCATTTTGTCAACCAAAACATTGAATCTGGCGTATCGGTCCGGAGCATCAACATAATTTTGTTTCACTGAAGAGTTTCATGATCACGATGTGGCTGTCGGTATTAAAAAATTACTCGCCAGTGCGACGATAGCTATCGCGCCTGGCAAAATCTAACAAATTACTTTGAAACTTCCAAAAGCTCATTAGGCTGGATTGAATGTTTTGGGGGATTTGTTATTCATTAGTTTTCTCTTATCGTTAAGGATGAATAATGAACGCTGTTATCTATCCCCTCGGTTCTATATACGATCGAACTTGATCTTTTCTCTCGCGAATAAAAGCAAAATAGCAACGTTTTTTCCTCGGTAAAACAATGCTAAAATGTTCAAACGATGGGATAAACAATGTTCAAAATAAATAAAGAACAAAAATTAACGCAAGAAGAGATTCTCGTATAGACGAGACTCGGTTTTTTATACTAGAGTGCTCGGCATAACGAGTACACTCGACAGCCACGAGTGCCAGGCTTGGATATTACATTGCATTTAATCACTTGTCATTTTTCTCCCTCCAATACACCTACACGAAGACATACACTCTTCCATAAACACACGTGCATACACACAGCAACAATGATATGATTATGAATATGCATGAGTTCTACCTCATTAAATTTTCGCCTCGAAGTAACAATGTAGTACTTTCGTTCTTACATATATATCTACACATATATATAAATATAGGCATACACCGAGGGCGTCGAAAAAAGGTCTTAACCGTCAATTCTCTCGGATGCGTGAGTTCTCTTGTGTACGCGAGTTTCGTAGAGCGCACATCGAATGGTGAAAACAGGCAGTGAGCAGTAACAGCGGCGGCATAGCAGCGGCGACGACGGGCACGGGATACAACGTGTGGATTCCTCGGACGTGGCGCCCCATCGCCAGCGCCGCCGACGCCTCATCGATCGTCTACTACTGCGCACTCCACGACTCTCGTTGCTATACTAGCGAATGTCCCGCATAAGGGAGTAGAGCCGACCTTTTTTCGTCGCTACGAAAGACTTAGTCAACCGAATGAGCGGCAAAGTAAAGAAGATGACGCAAACTTTCTAATTGGTTTTTCCAGTTGTATTACGCGTTGTTCTTGTCGTTGTTGTGTGGAATCGGCGGTTGACTGAGTCTTTGGTGTAGCTACAGGTAGACTCACCATAAGGATATGAGGTCATGTTTGCTATTTGTTGTGACACAGCCGTGTTGCCGTGATGCGCGGGCAAGTCGTTACGGAGCAAGGACTTGGCATCATCGACGTCAGAGTGTCCATCGACAAGGACCAGAAGTTTGGTTTCACTCTCACGCGTTCTGGTGGATGGTAAGTCACGCACACGGAGCTTCCTTGATTGATAATCGAGTTTTCCGGACTTGCGAACAAACTTGAAACGTTAAAATTAAAATATTACAAGATGACCTTTGTTAAATTACACTGTCTGACAATGAAATAACAATGGAGCCAGGGCAATAGGGCAGAGAGGGCAGATTTTCAGAGCTCTCAATTTAATTAACCGAGTCATGCCTTGAAGGCAAGCTTGGAAAAATAATAAAACAGAAGGAAAGAAGATAAATTATCACAGAGTAGTTTCTAAAGAAGAAAGCTTAAATTTGCAGTTTGAGCGCTTTTCAATGAGAGGTTTTTAGAAAGGAACATTCTTGGGAAAAGGTAGCGCGCAACCTTTTCTCTTTCCTATTTTTTGAAATTAGTTTCCCTAGGCTTCTTTTTAAAATGTGAGCTAGCGCAGCTCTCTTCTCTCACGCTTAACGTCTACACGTCGTCCATTGTCCTTGTCTCACGTAGTTTTAATAATCGCGGGTTTGGGATTGGAAAAAATGAAATAGTCAGAAGGAACTGACTTTATGGTTTTCATTAAAAAACATTCCGAGTGCGCGCTCTCGCTTGCTCTCTCGATATTACAGTGATTTCTTTCTCGCGCACACACGTACATACATATGGAAAGTGTTCGCATTTCCAATTAAAAACTCGATTATCGAGGCAAAGCAGGGAGGGGGCTGAGGGCAATTAATATCATCCGAAAGAGCCGACTTTATTAAAGTCGAAGTTGTCGTTTGCCGAGTGAGAGAGACGGTTAATTAAAGCTGGGAAACTAACAGGTTCGACATCCTCGTGAACGGCGGAGGTGCAGTGACGTTGCAGTTCCAGAGGAGTCCCTTCAAACCAATGACTCGCACCGTGTTCGTGCCCTGGAATCAGATTGTCGTGCTGCCACCGGTCGTGCTCACCATCGACGACGAGGCAGACAGCGTCAAGCCGATCAATCAACCGCCCAGTCCACCTATTGGTAAATGATACTTCTACTCCAACTTTTTTCTCTACTTTTAGAGCTCCAGACGACGACGATCCTTTTTCTTCTTCCTCTTCTCTTTCTGCGTCGATCGTTTCGCCATTTCTCAGTAGCACTTCTCCGATTGTCGTTTTAATCAACTTTCTTTTTTTAATTCAAACTACATTGTCTATCCCCCCGATCCAGGTATTGATTCCGCGAATTTTGAAAAATATCTTCCGGAGAGGATGAAGCAGCGAGCTTGCCTCAAATAGAATTCTCAGGCAGATACATGATTAATCTTTATTCGATCATTGTGAGTTTCTTAGAATAAAATCTCAGGTTACTTTCCAGAGTGCAAATGTTAACTTTCAAATATTTAACCGGAATAAATTTTCCAATAATTTGAACGTTGGCAATTCGATTTGCTCGCGCTTTTTGCCGTGCATCGTCGGAACCAGTGTCCGAAAAAGACCGAAATATCAAGTTTCCTTTGCAAACGATTGTCAAAAGGCTGCGCGAACAAATTGTGAAGTTCGTTCGCGAACTTTAGAATCAACACCTGGACCGGAAAATTTACCAATTTACATTTATTTCTTTCGCACATGGTTTCTTTTTCGTTCACATTGATTTATTTTTATTTCATTTTTTTCGATCACGTGCATGCGTTGATATTTGTACAAAAAACCAAACAAAAACAAAACAACAACAACTCCAACTCCAACTACAACAACAACAACGACAACAACAACAACTACAACAAACAAACGAAAAAAGTAGCCAAATCGACGCTGGGCACACCAGGTTTTCCAGGCTTCTCGGCATCGTTATTCGACGAGCATGGTCCATGCATGGAACACGACCACGAGAGTCTTCGGCCGATAATCGTCAGCACGTGGATGCCAGAAAAGCTTGGAGGACTGCCAGGCAAGAGTCTCGTGTTCGCCGAAACTCAGGTTCGTTTCTGCAATAACACCGTTCTCTCCCTGGCCCTCGCGCACGAGATTAATGGCTCGGCTCTCAGCTCGCCGATAAGCTGCACCCGCATTATAATGCGAGCAAGCGAAGCGACAATCTCCCTTCTCTTTTTTTTGTCTCATCCGTGTGGCTGTAGTATAAGCGAGAGCCACCGGCTGCACTAAAGGTCGGCACCGAATGTGTGGACCTTATGTTTCGCGGTCGTTCGCTCGTTACTGGGTTCGCGCGCGGCCAGTATGAATTTAACGGCGAGTAATTAGAGATCAATCGATTTTTAGCCTTTCCTTTCTGCGTCGAGGCGCGACGAATGATTCCTGCAACAATTTGATCGAATGAACTTGGTTGTTTGCCGAGTCGAACTCGATTTTCCAAGAGAACCTCCAGCGCAATTGATTCGGTTAATATTGCAATTAACTACTTTGGACGTGGCAATATAGCACACCTAGGTTACGCAATATCAGTCAGCTTGCGCATAATTACATCTTCGAAAATGAGCGAACCAATTAATCTCGCGGCTAGGGTTGCTATAATGAAAATTGACGCGCGCGATCGCAAGGCGTGCCCACAATATCACTTAACCGCACGCGCACGTTGATCGTTGGTGCAGATCGTTCAAGAAAGCATCGCCATCCCGGGCTCGAACCTGCACCTGATGTATCGCAGCAGCCAAGCGGCCGGTTATCTGTCAACCGTGAAGATGCAGCTCACCGGGCCGTACATCCCGAAAACACTGACTCACGTGCACGTTCACGTGGAGATCGAGGGCTCGGTACACACGAAAACCTACGAAGCCGACCCGCAGCTCACGCACACCTTTGCCTGGAGCAAGCGCAACGTTTACAAGCAGAAGGTCTACGGCGTGGCGCAGGCTCGCGTGTCCGTCGGCTACCAGTACTCGAGCTGCCCGCAAATCATCTGGGAAACGCAGACGGCCACGCTGCAAGGCTTCGACGTGGACATCTCTGACGTTGGTGGCTGGGGTCTGGACATTCATCATCACTACAACTTTCACGAGGGTATACTGCAGAAGGGCGACGGCTCGACGTTACACTTCAAGCAGTACCCGCGCAAAGTGAACGTGGTTATGGGCACCGGCCAGCGGCGAGATCTGTCGGGCCAGAACTTTGATGGCCTGGCCAAGGACGCGAGGCTGCTGACGCCCGTGGCGCTGACCAGCGGACCCGACGGCAGTATTTACGTAGGAGACTTTGATCTCGTCCGACGCATCACCCCCGAGGGCAATGTTTACACGGTTCTCATTCTCAGGTACGTACGCTCGGCCGGCCGTCTCTCGCTTCACCCCTTTTGGCCGTTAGCTGCGGACTTGATCCCCGCGTCCGCGTGCGTGCGACGAGGGCGTGTTTAATATCGCCTTATTTTCGTTTGCCGATCGGACGACTGCCCCGGTATGTTTCTCTAGCTGCTCCGAGCATTCTCACTTTCTACGTGGCGTTTACTTAGGTGCGTAAGCCTTTCTTCGCTTTTATTCTCTCTGCATTTTCGGCAGTCCGGCCACCAAACTGTTTGCCCGTCGCAGCCTGCCAATTTATTAGCGCGAAAGACGACCGTTCAATTAATTATCGCTGATCGCTTGTTCAATCACTCGGCAGTCAATGTTTGCCTGTAATCGGATAAAATTCACTGGCAAGCAATCGCGCGCGCCCATTACAATTTCTTTTTAATATTAGAAACACGTTATCGTTGCTATCTATTGTACGGAATATCTGTAACAACGAATGACACTGCCACGGGCGAAGCCGCGCCGACTGATTCGCATCCATCAATTTTACAAAGCCATTTTCAGTCGTTCATTTCGTTCGGCGAGAAAGAAAAAAAGGAAGCTTCGAGCGTGAAAATTTAAAACATTTTTCCTCGAGCGATCGATAACGTCGCGAAAGCGTAGCTCGCGCTCGCGATCTGCATGTAATACACGTCGCTTCGGCCCCGAAGAAAATGCATCGATCTTCATCGCGCATCGACGAGACTAACGTTATCCCGGCCGTGGCGTGTCCGACATTTTCTTCCTTTTCCGTGGATACGTTGACCCTCTCACACTCACGCACACCCACAGCGCGACGCAAGTTGCCTACCAGTATTATCTGTGCGTGTCGCCGGCGGATGGGCATCTTTACATAAGCGACCCGGAAAAGCATCAGATTCTTCGCACGCTTACCTTAACCGACGTGAAGGACCCGAGGATTAACATCGAGCCCGTGGTTGGCAATGGCGAGAGGTGCATTCCTGGTGACGAAGGACATTGTGGCGACGAAGGACCGGCCGATAAGGCTAAGCTTGCGCATCCTAAAGGTAAGAGAAGCATTCATTGATCTTCTCGCTTCTCTTTTTCCGTCGGCTCGCCGCCACTGGCGCTGGTGAAAAATGAACTGTCGGCATCGTGTATGTTTGAAGTTGCGTCTTTTTTCATACGAGCCGCCGTGTCTAGACAGCTTGATTTGAGTTTTATAGGCCAAAGCGGCCAAACGATTAATGATTTATACGATAGTTTCGTTGATCGGTCGGTGACGATTACTCGCTTTTCTCCAGCATCAGCTCGACGATTTTATGATTCCAAGAGATCAATGGCTTCCCCGAGTTATATTGAATATTTACATTACTAATGATCCATGTCGCTGTGCTCAAGCTTGAAATCACCTTGTCATCAAATTTATGCACGGAGAAATCTTAAAATTTCATTGGACTCGCCAATGACTCTTTTATAGATCGCGAATAATCAGTTTTTATTAAAGATTTCCACTGTGTTTTCGAACAAAAAGTACATCGTCGGGCAAGCGCGGTTTAATTAATGGAGAAGCTCGCGATGGATACATATCTTATTCAAAGTAACGTCGAGCAATGAATAATCGAAGAAACAATGTTTCCACTAAATGGAACTGCAAGCCACGTATGAATTGAAATCCAGCAGTGTTGAGCATTATACGCAATCCCCACATTTCCCAGAGGCGCGACGCTCGGAGCTTATCTCTGAGCACCAACAATCAAACGCGTAGCCACCAGCCCTGCTGCCTACTCACGCGTGTACGTGTGGCCGATCAATAAAACATAATCCTAACCCAGTTTCTGAACGCTCGCGACTCGGCGCTCCATCCCCGTTCCGCGGATGTCGCTAATCTAGCTGTGTGCATCTCCGTCTGTCTCTGTACCTAGGCATCGTCATAGCGGCGGACAAAACGATGTTCATAGCGGACGGCACCAACATCCGGGCGGTCGACCCCAACGGCATTATCCACACGCTGGTGGGTCACCACGGCCACCACAACCGCTGGTCCCCGGCACCCTGCGTCGGCGCCATTCCCGCTCAACAGGCACAACTGCAATGGCCTACGGGGCTCAGCCTGTCGCCGCTCGACGGCTCGTTACATTTCATCGACGATCGACTGGTTCTCAAGCTGACCAGCGACCTGAAAGTTCGAGTGGTCGCCGGCACTCCGCTGCACTGCGCCGGTGGCAGTGGCGGCAGCGGCGGCGGCGGCGGCGGCGGCGTAGGCGGGGGCGGCGGCGCGAGCAACGCCGAGGTGCAGAAGAGCGCTGGCGCCGCGACCAACGCCAGCCTGCTGCTCGGGACTAAGAAGACCGACGAGGTGTTGGGCTCGGTCTTGGCCATCTCGTTCGCGCCCAACGGCGAGCTCTACATTGCCGCCAGAGATTCTCACCGAGTGAACAGCATTCGCGTCGTCGATTCAGCCGGCAAGATGTCGCACTTTGCAGGCCAACAGAAGGAGGACATGAGGGAGCAATGCGAGTGCAACAACACCACTCCGAGCTCCAGTGACTCCGAAGTGAACTGTGGTTGCGCCGACGAGTCAAGTAGCACTGAAACGCTGCTCTCCTCTAACGCCAAGTTCACCTCTATTTCGGCACTGACTGTCTCGCCGGACGGTATTGTTCATGTTGCCGATCAGGGCAGCTTGCATATTTTGGCTCTCATGCCCTATTTACCGAATCACGACGACAACGGAGAGTTTAATATTCCATTTCCGCCGACCAACGAGGTCTACGTCTTCAACAGGTGAATTTCTATTTTTGTGCGTTTGTCGTTGGATTATTCAGGCGTGCACGGCCTTCTGTTTTCTCTCTTGCGCGTGTCGATATTTTTTGCTAGTCAACTTATAAAAAGACAAGGACAGGGAAAAAACTTGCATTTATGCATTAAAGGACACGCGTATTCCGGAATTATCCATGCTTATTAATTTTTTAATGCACGTACTAAAGGAATGATACTCGATATTGGAATTTTCAATGAAATTCGAGCTATGAAAATTTAATTTTGCTAATGAATTTCATTCGATTGGAAATGTTGCCGCGCGAGTTTGCAAAATCGAATAAGGAATTTTCCATCGAAATTGAATTTGCGAGAATACGAGTTTATCTCTCTTGCGAGCGACGAATGTAGTTAACTCGGCATTAGATTTTCCACTGTGAAACACTCGTAAAGAGTCTCGCGGCAAAGTACAGAGAGCATCCAATTAGCAAATATCACTCAAGCGAGAGAGAAGGCAATAAACTAATTATTCCCTTAGCCCACCTTGACCCCTCACTCCCTCCCTCCCGCCCCGCAAATATTCCCCAAAGTCATTAGAATTTCCAAGAACTTTAGGCGTTGGATGCTGTGTTCGCGCATCAAAATTCACCATTCAAATTATTTCCACAGATACGGTCAGCACGCTGCGACCAAGGATTTGACGTCCGGCAAAACGCGCTACTCGTTTCTCTACAGCAAGAACATGAGCCTGGGCAAACTGTCGACGGTGACCGATGCAACGGGCAACAAGATCCAATTCTTACGCGACTACAGCAACGCGGTGAGTTCGATCGAGAACACCCAGGATCACAAGTGGGAGCTGAAAATCAGCGGTGTTGGCTTCCTCGAGAGACTGTCGGAAAAAGGGCGCGCTGACGTGACGCTCGGCTACGACATCGATACTGGACTACTGACCAGTCGATCCGGGGTGAGTACACTTACTCTCTACTTGAAACAAGAGTGTGACGAGAGAAAGAGAGAGAGAGAGAGAGACAGCTACGTCTTGCTCGTTATTTCGAAACGCGAAGCTTAATGCGACAGCGAGAGAGTGTCGTTCGGCAAAAAAGATGACAGAGCCGAATCACTATGATTACTTTATTAGAGGATATCGGATGGAAAGGAGAAAGCAAGAGAGAAAGGACATCAGTACACGCTCGAATTTCGTTAATTAAACAATTCCATTTTTCTCTCTGGTTCTTGAGCACGGCGTAGTATACGGTATTGTTACATCAAAGCGGCCGTTATGGATTTTATCGGGGGCTCGCTCGCGAGTCTACTGAAAATCAATAGCGCCCGGCCAAGCTTGTCATAAAAGTATCGAGTCCGATTATCATTTATCTCAACACTGAAGTCTGGCAGATTGATTAATAAAAATCCTTATAAAAGTTTTATAGTGCCATACGCTTCGACGAACGGCGTGGCGTGGCGTGGCAGTGCAGTATAGCGCGTTCTCAAAATTTACGGCTCAATAAATCGCAATATACGACGCTCGAATTCACGTATTCTTCATTTCTCTTTTCCTCGTTTTTCCTATCTAGGGTCGCGAGACCTACATCTACAACTACGACGATCTGGGACGCGTCACCGACGCTATCCTGCCTACTGGTGAAAAAGTCAAGCTCACTTCGGATCTTACCAATGACGAGGGCCTATTAGTCAAAGTTGCTGCGCCATTGCAAGCCCTGAAACGTGGCGATACTCAGAGATTTATGGAATTCAAGATGAGAAACGAACGATTGAAAATGCTCACCATTACCGATGGTATGATGTTTCTTTATTAATTAGTAGTATTTAATTCGAACATTTAGATGTAGCTCCATTTTCGGAAGTCAATCCGAGCCGATTGGCTTTTACAAGAAACCTAATTACTGAAGCTGAAATTAATTAAAATTCTTGTATTAAAAACATGTCGAGTATTCTTCGAAATTTTCATCAAATTTTGTACGAATGAATAACTGCGAGGATCTATTGGAATTTGGGAAATCGCGCTTTCAATAAAAAAATTCATCCGATACGATACATCGAATTAATAACCGAGATAAAAAGTCGACAAGCTTCCTCTCAGCGAGAGGAGAATTAAACATCCAACAAATGGAGAAGAAAAAAAGGGGAATAAAAAGAGACGAAAAAAAATCCCTTCTAAAACTTCGCTCTCCAGCGCAATACCTCAAATAATCGCTCAAAAGCCCCATCTCGAACGATTAAAAAGAGAGTCTCTTGAGAGTCAGTTCACCGTGAAAAATCATACGCATCCGCCCTAAAAAAAGCTTCTCGTCTCTCTAATCCCAAGCTTCTTTGTTCTCTCTGTCTCTCTGATAAAGGTACAATGGTGAAGAAAGCTACTGCATTCACCAATAGTACGCTGGAAGTGCAGCTTCCCGGCGGCGGTAGGATAGTGAGCGCAGCATTGACGAAGCATCCACTGCTCAAGGCATCGTTGCCCGTTGAGGCGGAAATGTTACCAATGTGGAGTTACCAGGCAATGTCCCTCGGCGAGCTCACCAATCACATGCAAACCAGCTACAATCTCATCGGTGACGTCAGTCACCTGCAGCAAACTCTTAATCGCGAGATCTGGGTGAACGACAGCCGTGTGGTCAGCGTCGAGTTCGAGCAGGCATTCAGTCGTGAAACATTCTACGACAAATCTCGCACCCCATTGTTGACCGTCACCTTCGACCCGGCCGGCTTACCGTTGCTCTGGCAACCGCACGAGAGAGGTTACAGCTTGAGCATCCAGTACGACAGATTCAACAGGATTCAGAGCTGGAAGTGGGGTTCGTCGGACGAGTCGTACGGCTATGACAGGCACGGCCATCTCAGTCAAATATCCAATAGTCAAGATGGCACCAAGACCTTTACATACAACGAGCTCAACACCCTGTCCAACATAACGCTGGCCAGCAACCGTATCTTCAGTCTGGAGTACGACGACGACGGTGGTCTCAGATACATCATTCTACCCTCTGGTACGAAGCACTCATTCTCCTGCCAAGCATCGCTGGGCTTCATGAGAGTCACTTACACACCACCCGGAAGCTCAAGGTCGTATCTCCAGCACTATAGCCACGAGGGTAATCTTTTGCAAACAGTATTCCCCGGCGATGGTGCTCGCATCGTTTATCGTTACCACACTTCCGGTCAACTTGCTGAGATAGTACATGGCGACGGCAAGAGCGAGATGCACTACACTGAAACTGGCTTACCGTCGGAGGTTATTCACTCAGAACGAGACGTCGAGTACAAGTGGGACTACCAATACAGCGGTGGTCTTTTAGTTGAAGAACGCATCGACTTTGGAGCCAAGACTGGTCTCAGCAACGCTAAATTCACCTTCGACTACGACTCCAACTTCCGTCTAGTTGCCGTTCAGGGTCGTATCGGTGGATTGACGCTGCCATCTCACGCCATGGCCTACAGTCTAAAAACCGGAATGCTCGAGCAGATTGGTCAGTTCAAGGTGACTCGACCACAGCCTAACGAAACCACCATCCACGACGGTATGGCGATATTTTCGCGAACCGTTGACTCGAGATTCCTCGAGACGCAGATTACCGTTACCATCCACGGACTCGAAGTATTCAGAATGGAGTTCACTCACGACTCGCGAGGTAGAATCAATCAAACTCGCACTTACACGAGAAATGTTGGTGTCAATACTTACACTAACGTTAAAAATTACACTTGGGATTCTGATGGTCAACTGACCGGTGTCGAAGCGCAAGAACCTTGGGGCTTCAGATACGACGTCAATGGCAACATGCTATCGCTGACATACCGAGGCAACATCATTCCGATGGAGTATAATTCAATGGACCGGATAATCAAGTTTGGCGAGGGTTTGTACAAGTATGACAACCGAGGGTTGGTCATCCAAAATGCCCGGGAAGAGAGGTTCAGTTACAATGCCAAGGGATTGTTAGTAAGAGCATTCAAACGTGGCAGATTCGATGTCAGATACTACTACGATCATCTGGACAGATTAGCGGCGAGAAAGGACAACTACGGCAACGTCACGCAATTCTTCTACAACAATCAGAAGAGGCCGTACGAGGTCAGCCAGATCTACAGTCCCAGAGATGGAAAACTCATGTCGCTGGTTTACGACGACAGAGGACATCTCATCTACGCACAAGTTTACAGGCACAAGTATTATATTGCGACCGACCAATGTGGCACGCCCATCATGATTTTCAATCAGTATGGCGAAGGTATCAGGGAAATCATGAGGTCGCCTTATGGACATATTGTCTATGACTCTAATCCGTACCTGTATCTACCTGTCGACTTCTGTGGTGGTTTGCTTGATCAGGTAAGCTTCGTCAAATATTTTTGCAACATTGTTTAATCGTGTGCCGTAACAGACTTTTTTAATTTCTTGTAAAAAAACAGATCACGTCACTTGTCCATATGCCGAATGGTAAAGTGTATGATCCGTTGATTGGTCAATGGATGTCACCACTTTGGGAGGACGTACTCGACAGGCTAAAGAGGCCGACGCACCTACATCTTTACCGGTTCAACGGCAATGATCCAATCGACGTACGACACTCTACAAAATCCAATCTTCCTACGGGTAAGTTAATTGATATAGAACTGAGTGAAGCTTCATCAGTGGTTTTGCAAGAAGATTAATTATTAATGTAATTATTTCTTAAAGATCACACAAGCTGGCTGGCAAACCTCGGCTACGACTTGAAGAGCATGGCGCCACAACTGTTTCTCGAGAGTCTAGCAAGTAGTTTGGTACCACCGAGTCTCGAGCCACGTACCTCGATATTCGGCAAGAAGCGTGAAACAAATCTCGGCATCCAATCAGGCTTTTTGGCCTACATCAACCAACGACATTCGAGCGATGCAGTTGGACTGTCGGCACCGCCACGATCAGCCTTGAAGAAGGACGTCGCCGATCTGATACCTGACAGATTAGGCGCCGCCTCGGACCCACCATTCGGTGTTGGCATTTTGGTATCGCGAACGAAGACCAATCAGGCTGTGGTGTCGAGTGTTCCAGCGGCCAACTCCATTTACAAGGATGTCTTCACGACGGTCTTCAACGAGTCGTACTTCCTGCCGTTCACCTTCGTCGTTCACAGCTCTCAACAAGATGCCTTCTACTTCGTGAAGGAGGAAACATGGCGTGCTCAAGACGATCAAGGTCAACTGAAACGACTGGGCGGAAAAGTCAACACCACCTTCCACGATAATTCGAACGGTAGTGGTAGCGTGAGCGACGTCAAAATTCACGGACCAAGTTACGTGATAAACCTTCGCTACGGTACCACCGCCGAGAAGGAACGTCAAAGACTGTTGCATCACGCAAAGATGAGCGCCGTGCGTAAAGCATGGCATCGCGAACGCGAAGCACTGAAAGCTAACACACCGACGAGCGTGGAATGGACAGCAGCCGAACAAGACGAAATAGTGAAGCTTGGTTCGGCATCGAATTACGAAGGCGAGTACGTCCACGACGCACAATTATATCCTGAATTGGCGGAAGATCCGTACAATGTGAGATTCGTGAAGAAAGCTGCCGCGGAATCGAGTACCGGTAAGAAACGTAGACGACGGAGAGCCAGTTGTAACATATGGTGGCTCGACAAGTTCTGCTAGAAGTATACCAAAGTGTGTGTGTGCTGTGTGCTGCTGTGCGTGAGTGAGTTTTTTTTTGTCACGAGATGCCAAAATAAAAAGAAAACGCATGGGACTTATCAAATACACACAAACTCGCCACCCGCGCACGCTCGCGCGCGATATATAGATGTATATGTATAACTTATAGACACAAGAGAAAAATGGGAGAGATAAATACGTCCGCGGGCAGAAAAAATATATAAAAGAAAAAAAGGCGCACGATATGAAACCTAGTCAATACGTAGCTTTAAATGCGGGATTTTTAAATGCTCGCGGACGGTGCTGCTAAATTTTGTCTCCTGAACAAGGTGCAAGGCGTATTTTTTTCCGAATGACTAAGGCACTGCCATAGCGTCCACGTGTGATGAGAATGATAACGATAATTTGAGTGTGTGTGATATTACGTGAGAGAAAAAGATACAAGTGAGATTGTAATTGTGCTTACGTATGTATGTGTATATGTATATGTATATGTATATGTATATATACATATATATAATGAGAGAGAATGGCGCTAAGAGCACACTTTCGTCAAAGTTTCTTTTTTATTATTGTAATTGCGTTCGTTGTGTATAACTACCGCGGAGTAAAACATCAAAGAACTTTGTATATCGTCACGTGTAGCACGTAGCAGCGCGTCGTTGTTGATTTTGTTTCTTTTCTACGCTTCAATTCAGTATAGCGCAACGTATAAAAATTACACACACACATACAAACACACGCATACTTATACACACGATAAACGAACGAAAGTCGAATTAAATGTATATGTAATTATAGAGAATATTTAGGAGAAGTGTATATTTTTTATTAGTTATTCGTGTAATATCAATTGATATTTTTTGAGGACAGGCGAGAGAGATTGAGCGAAAAAAAAGAAAATACGATAATATGACGTTTTTTCGATGTTTGCATACGACAATTTATTTTTCAGTTAAATTAATTTTTATGAATGTGACCATCATGAAATATATTGTTTCCTTCTACAAAAACTTGACTGATTGTCAATTACGATTATAAGAACGTCGATGGATCCCTTGGTTCTTCCACGTGCCATATGTATAAAATACCAGCCGCTAAAGTGTCATATTTGTTTTGTAAGAAAGATAAAAACCAAAAATAAAAAGCCTGATGTACATTTATTTCATGTGTTTGTTCACGTGCAGTTGTATATTTAATGATTGGGGAAAACTTTCTTATTGCCAGGATAATTTTTTTATTGTACAATAATAACAAAATTAATTTCACATGTACATGAATTTCAACTTAGCGTCTGCCTTCTCGACCATTCGTTCGCTGTGCAAAAGAATCTATCAAATGAGACCTTTATTTCCAGAGATGATTAGTTTTACGAAAAGCCAGTATGTCTGAAACAAAAAATAAAATTACATAAGAACCGTAACAAAAGATACGAGTGCGTGAGAATAGTTAAAAAATATAAATTACTAACAAAATAATAATAATAATAATAATAATAATAATAATAGTAATAATAATAATAATAATAATAATAGTGACATCTTTACGGCTAGATAGTGAACGACGATGTCACTGTCTGTTTTAGATAATGAAACAAAAAAATTGCTACTAGATGGATAAAAGAGAACAAAAGTGACTCGTTAAAACTAGGAGCGTGAGAGCTTTGAAAAATAAAGATATCTTTTAAAGTAAAGGAGATTTAAATAAAAGGATTAAAAAAAAAAACGCGATGGAGAAAATGAGGAAAAAAATTCGAAAGCGTTTTGAGACTGACACTTATTCCATTCTGTAGCTCAACGGCTGGTTTCTTCCGATTGGGCCACAGTTTCGAGTTGTGATCATCTAAACACGCACCGTCACACTAATTATAATGATAATATCGAACCAAAAGAAAAAGCGTTAACGTAATTTATAACGGGGAGTTAGGTATAAATGTGTTTTACACGTCAAACTGTCAAATTGAATCAACTATTTTTTAATAAAAAAAAAACTGAAAAGAATTAATCAGATTATAAAATAGAATTGAATGCGCGTTTGAAACTCCATTATAATGATAAATCGGTCGCTATTTTCCGTTTGAACGATGAAAAAGAAAGGAAAAATTATTGCTCTTCTGTTCGTTCAGGACGATGACAAGGATCGTATCCTTTTATAGTAAGCAGGGGGTCGGATTCGATCTTTTTTTAGAACAGATGATTTGATTTTCAAGACAGATTACCATTTTTGCATATGTACGACATATGTATCTACATACATTTTATATCTATTGTAAAAAATATTTATAATGCATAAATAATTTATTTGTAATATGAAACACTATTGGATGTAAATTATATTGAGAAATAAATTATCATGTGCATGAGCTTAGCAATGATCGAAGGTGTTTTGAGTTTATCTCGTATAATTCCATTTTTCATGTAAATTAATACGTGTAAAGTAATTATACTACATATGGCTGATAAAATCAGCTTGTAATTTATAAAAAATATACTTTTGAATATAGAGACAGTTTTAAAATGCTTCATATATATTAAAGAAAAAAATATATATACTAATCTTGAAATAATGAACTTCTGTGCAAGTACTGAATTGCCTATATTTCTATGAAGCTACTTTATACAATTGATACTTCTGGAAAGAGCGAATCCATACCCCGAGAGATTTTTCTAAAAGTAAACTTAATAAACGTTGCAAGAATTTCCTACAAATAGAGCACAGAAATCTCATTGAATATTGCAAATTCAAATACACACAGAATACACAATACTCGTATCAAACACACGTATGCTAAAAAACCGCTTTATAGGGGCAAATTAAAATTACGTTCAATTTTTTTACGCCAAGTTTTTTTATCGAATAATAAAAACGTGACGACGAGGTTTAAAAGGTGTAACTTTAAACGCGCATTCGATTAATGAAGCTTAATCAAAGTGTAATTAAGAATTTATAATCTACTAGAAGGGAAGTCAAAGTTCATAGAACTTGTATCAAGAAAAGGCACAAAGTCTCGAGCAATTGAGGCGTATAAAATGAGAAAAAGTGGACAAAACAGAACAATGCGAATTTTGTTTTTCGGGCTCTGACGACGACGACCACTAACTAATCGCTACTTTAAACGTCGCTGATCTAATTGTTTAACTGTCAAGTGTTGCTGTAATGGTTGAAAAGAGAAAAAAAATGAAGAAAAAATAAACGAAAAAGGAAAAATAACCAAAAAAACAAGAAACCTACCGGTATGACCTATTGACATGGACACATATACGTATACATATTATATTTTATTTATATAAATATATAAGCAAATACACCTATAATTGACTGTATTTATTGTACATAGTACACACCGATGTTTGCTATGACGTACTGGATATATCTGTACTTGAATGGTTAATAAGAAGAACACTTATCTATGACACGAGGAAACAAAGGAAAAAAATGATTAAACTAAGATGTATGATTAATGATTTTTTGGGAGAGAGATGAATCGTTTATTAACGTGCCCGCGCCTCAACGGATTCTCGCCTCCCTCTTACCTACCCTTTTTAAAATGCGAACGAATTAAGAAAGGCGGAGACACATACACACTCACACTTATACGTGGAATAAACATATAATTACGGTGTATGAGAGATGAAAGCGCGCAGACCAATTGTCATTCGAAAAGAAAAAAAATATAAAGAAAAATGGGAAAGCTGAATGTAATGTGTTTATTATATGTCGTAAACGTTATAGCTCGGCGAAGAAAATTAAGTAAAAAAGAATAAACACGCATGTATGATTTGTTTGTTTTTACATGTATATCGCTCTGTGCTTCTTGTAGTCCATTAATCACCTTACACTTCGAATTGTATCATTTGAAAAATAAGACGATTCAAAGTGTAGAATAAAGAATGATTTTTCGTGTAATAATTGTATTACATGAATATAAAAGCTGACTGTGTTATATAAACGTTAATTTGCGCTGCGAATAATCTTGCGACGAGACTCGCTGTTTTTTGTGATGTCCTCGCGTTTGTGCTATTTTTATAAAAAATAAGAATTTAAATGACAAAAAAAAAAGAAATAAAAACACGAAAGACTCGTACAAGGGAAACGCGGTAATTTTCCTCGTATTTAAAATTCGTATTTAAAATTAGTTTTGCTAATTTCACGCACACCCGTGAACACTAAACTGCCGATATGTATTTTTACGCTTATTGTCATTGTCCGTTTGAGATCTGCCCAAAAATGAAATTATAAACGAAGAGAAGCATTTCGAATGATAACTACGACGATCATTAAGAAACTTCACTTTATTTTTCGCGAATTGCGAAATTTTGTTAATCACGAGCTCGTCACAAACACAGATGTCAATATTACACTCGTAAAGAAAAAATGAAAAAAAAAAGGAAGAAATAGAAGCGTTTTAGAAGAATTAATCACTTGATTGCTGTAAAGGCGTGGAGTTTAAAAGATGCTTTCGGTATAACGCATAATTGTATACCGCGAAGGTGAGCGATGAAGTTTCCAATCGATCGCGATTTTTCATCTGACCGAATCGACAGAAAATTCAGCGCTCGGGTTTTCGTTTTAATCTGAATCGCGACTACGAGATTTATGTAAAGGAAACGAATTTTCAAATTGCCTCTTTCTATTGTACTCGCGCACCATTTCATGAGCGTAGTCACAATTTGGACAAGGAGGGGATAATGTACTTTAGGACGACTTTTGACTTTCGAATTTTTCATATTTGAAGAAGTTTAAATTTAAATGAACAAACGAAAAATAAAATAAATAAATGAGAGAGAGAGAGAGAGAGAGAGAGAGAGAGAGAGAGAGAGAGAATGAGAGAAAGGATGGGATTGATACTAATGAAAAGCGAACTGGAGAAGCTCCACGTACAGTCGCGACTCTCAACCCAACCAGCATGTCCAACAATTTACGATATAATTATAAGTACATTATATTAAGTGTTTTCAAAAAAATATATGATCTATATATGATAATAAAAACGACAAAAATGTTAATCTTTCTTATTTTCTTTCGATCCTTGAACAAAATTTTTTGTTGAAAGGTAGTTGTATAAAATGTGAAAACTAATTCATAAATTAAATGTCTGTTTTTTTAATAATTCTTTAAGAATAAAAATCTAGTATTTTACAACCGTCTTTATAAGTTAAAATAAAAAGTATTTTACAAGAGTACATTCACAGTGTAGCATATGACAATTCAGTGTTTTTTATCTTTTTTATTTTTACTCTTTGGTGTGGTTGTCTTGGTGGGAGTTGAACCTGGTCCTATCACGATACGTCCTGAAGCAATCTCCTCTTTCTCTGCTGAATTTTCAATCTGCTTTTGGGCTTCCAAGAAGAACATCAGATCACGAATTTGTTCTTGCAAATCGCTCGATTCAGATTCTTTTTTCTCTTTGTACTCGTTCATCTCGTCTTGTAATTTCTTGTGTTTCGCCTGCCAAGAAGCTTGATTGTGTTGAAGGGCCTGCCTCAGCTCTTTTTCTTCGGCCAATTGAGATTGTGCTTGGGATAATTTCGTGCTCGAGTTCTGCAGCTTTTTCTCGAGTGCTTGTTTTTCACGGGTAAGCACTGTTAATTGATTCTACGCAACAAAAAAATTACAATTACATACAGATCATTCTAAATAATTACTAAGTAATTTACCTTTATTCTCGTATTTTCCTCCGTCAGACGTTCGACTTTTTCTCTTAATTCTACTGTCTCTGCGCAAGTTCTTTGCTCAAATTGCGCCAGTTTCTCTTCGAAATACTCTCGTTGGGTTTCCAGTTGTGAAGTTAATAAATATGTGAATTCTAACTGTACAGAATCTACTTTTTCATCAACAGCTGCTCTACCACCTTTAGCAGGTTCTTGACCACCTTCAACCATTTTACCATCTTTGTTTTGTAATAACCTATCGACCCAATGATCACCAACATAATCCCAGACTCTGTTTTGTCCCAACTCCATGGCATAACAATGGTGAGTATCCCTATAGTGCTCAAAAGCATGACTTTGGTCATACCTACCACAGCCAATATGACCACAAATTAAACAAATCCAAAGAGCTTCATTTGTTACTTCTGAATCTAAATTTTAGAGGATACGACATTTTAATCCATATTTTAATTTTTATTAGTGAAATGTGTACGTAAAATGCTTACCACACTCCATGCAATGACTATCTGCAATGGGTTCTGGAGTTTGAACGTAACGACAAACAGGACATGATGTGTCTCCCCATTTTACAAGACAACCAGCATGAAAAGTATGATTACATAAAATTGTTAAGATTCCATCAACACTTTCATCCATTTTCTCAAGACATACAGGACAGGATGGTAATTCAGTGTGGCCAGCTAGAGGTAATCCATTATCAGCAGTTTCAACATTTGAAACAAAAACCAAATGACAAACTACTTCTGGTTCTAAAGAATTGTAAGGAGCTCCATTGTAGGTTTCATAAAATTCACTAGCTGCAGCCTGCAAACACAATAACTGGTTATTAAAAAAAAAATTGAAATATAAATTGTGTACCAAGTTCAAAACTTACTGATGAGCGAAATGTCAACAAAGCCATGTACTGATTAGGATTCCCATCTCTGATGATCCTAAAATACTGGATATCTTGATGACATGCAGCTGTAAAATTCATCAAGTCATGACATGTCATAGTTGCAGGAACAGACAATATGCAGATTGTACTGCTTCGCTCAGCAGCAGAATGCATTTCTGTTAGTGTACTAAAAATGTAGAATAAATTTATAAGATTTGCTGAGAAATTAGGTTAACATTGATAAATATAAGTTTACTTCTCTTTGAAAAGGTGCAAAATACCCTTAGTAACCTCGACGAAAGGATTGCCTGAGATAAAACTAATTTGATCGGGTATATTGCAAGCTGCAGCTCCTTCCATATTATTTAATGACGTAGCTGCGGATAGGCATGACTTTTCTTCTGAGTTTTCTCTTGATGTTGACTGTGATTTACTCGATGTTCGAGAACTCTGAGAGAGAAGTGGCAGAGGTCTTTCTTTGGAGCCTGAATAAGTTTCTATTGTTATGTCTCTAGGTTCGCGAGAACCTCGCATTTTTCTTGTATTTTTATCCATGGCAGCTGAAATCATTTATCAATACGTAAATAATGTCTAAAAACAAAATAGTAGAAGACAAGGAAGTAAGTGAATGTCATGCAATTAAATAATGCATTTTTGTAAAACATAGAAATGACAATAATAAAGGAAACTAAGGTGACACAAAAATAAAACTTACCTTCGCCCTCTAAAAGATCAAAGTCGCTGATCTCGATACGAATCACACAAAGAGATACCAATAAATCAAGAGAAGACATCACATACTAGACTTTGCGTTTGATCATGCGTTAGACTATTAAAAAACATTTCCTGCTGTTTTAATGCGATATTTCTTCATTTCTTAATAAGTCTCTAGCTTCCAGAGCTAGCTTCTTCTTAAGCAAATGCACTGATGCACTGAAACCCGACTGACGTTTTCTTTTTCTTGGCACACAATCACAACGTCAGTTCTTTCTTTGTGTAATGTTGTCAGAGTGTGTTGACGTAATCGCTCACCAGATGTCGACAGTGTCCAAATAGCACTGTACACTCTCGTGTTTACCTCGCTTTCAAGTGCCCGCGACTGCGAGAGATGAGTACAGGTGAAGCGAGAGAACCGGTTTGTCGCTTGGGAATGTAGTAGTTTTGTTGTATTTTCAAGGGCTACTCCTTGCCAAGACTTATTCGAAATAGCGAGTGATGTGATTTAAAGCACACTGGATTGACGGGCTTTTGAGAATTGTAAAGAAAAGGATGCAGGAGAAGTCGGTGAGTTTTTTTAAAAACGCAGAATCAATACTTTTCCTTACGTAACCGCGTGTCCTAGTAAAGTTCAGTTTTCTTATTATTTTTTACTGGAAGGAAGAATAAATAAATGCTTAAAATAATAATTAGGACAATCCCCAAGTTACATAACGTAAACTTCTAACCTCAAATAGCGCAGTTTCTTTTCGTTATCGCGCAAAGATAAGCTTTCTTTATGAGTTTCCTTGGATCACTTTTGTCAGTATCCATTTATCTTTAGTGCGCAACGTAGAGTAATTTTATATTCGTTCAACAGAATGTTTTATCGTGACAATCTAAGCTGTAAATTTGAATTTAGAATTTTTTATATTTTTTGACGAGCTTTTGTTTCATTGTGATTGTTGAAATAAATTCCTACGGTAATTTGAACGTTTTAGTGTTTGATATGATTTAAACTACTCGTCTTTCAGGAATTTATAGTTATGTTACCTAAGAAAATATTTTTATACCAGTTTCTATAATGAAATTAAAATTTATGTAATAAGTATTTAAAACAGTTTAAACTTTATCGCTGTGTTGGGAATTTATATTGGCTTTTAGTTTTCATATATCAGTTGATATTACTAATAATAGAGAATAATGTGAGTAAGACTATCGCAAATATAAGACGAATCTTGTCAGAAAAGTAGTTTATTTATATTTTTAATAAACATTTTATTTCAACATTTTATAAATTACCTAACTTAATTTCCTGAATTAAAGAAAATGTCACAATAAAAATTTAGTGCAAATGTGAGTGAAGTAGGGACAACAAGTAATATTTATATCTTTTATTTTCATTACCAATATCAACATTTTTATTATGAACAGGTTGGCATTAGATAATGAATACCATTTAGATGATACAAAAGAAGCAGAACAATTGACCATGACGTCCTTAGGAAAGCTTGTTTTCTCAGATACATACTCCAGGCACTCACCACCAGCTATTGCAGGCACATCATCATCATCAAATAGTAATGACTCTTTGTCTTTGGCATTTGAAAATCTCTTTCACATGCCTTATGACATCATTGAAAATTATGGCACTAAAATTCAGACACTTGATATAAGTCATAATAAGTTTGGCAGGTACTTGCTTCAATGACATTATCTTATGTCTAATTTTCTATCTTAGAAATTACTAATGGAACATTTTTTCAGGAACTTACATTTCTTAGCTGAATTTGAAAACTTGCATTCCTTAATTTTAGATCATAATAATATTGATGCCCTCTCAGTGTTTCCTTTTATGCCTACATTAGAACTCTTGTGGCTGAATGGCAATAAGATTGAGGAACTTTATCCATTTTTAAAGAATTTATATAAAAGTTTTCCAAATTTAAGATTCTTGAGTTTAATGGGAAACAAGGCTGCTCCAAGTTACTTTAATGGTGGCAGCTTTTATGATTACCTACAGTACAGGTAATCACTTATTTTTTAAACTTAATGTCATTATAAATTTATTACAACAAACGATTTACTTTGAAGATTGTTTGTGATCTCATGGTTTCCGCATTTGGAACACCTCGATGATAGAACCGTAACGCCGGAACAGAGGGTAGAAGCAAAAAGATTATTCAAAAGGCCCGCCTTGGAACAATTTATCGAGAACGCGCCTCTTCCGGAATGTATAAAATATTTACATAGCAAAATAGCATTGTTTTTTGCAAAACCAATTTCACTGTCAGATAAATTCAAATTTGTAAAGGGACGAAACTTCATTATCTAAGTCAGTATTACGAAAGAGAATATTTGGAAATGTATTTTTAAAGTGTATACCTTACCAGTCATCAGTGCAATGCATGTTCAATAAGAAAATAGAGTTACGTAATTTTACTGTCCAATAGATTGTAAGGAAGGCCTTATAACTTGTTATGGCTGCACGTTTTCATTGTGAAAATCTCTCATAATATTAGCACAATCATTTTCACGCTCTAAGCATTTCTATAATCAATTTTAGAAATTTAAAAGTACCCAATATTTTTTATATAGTTCGAAATACATTTTTCACTTTCAAATTGAAGCGCACATTAAACCGGAATTTATTTATACTTTTTATATTTTTTTACATACCATTCAGTCACACAAAAGACAATACATGTTTTGATAAGATAAAACCCGAAAGCTTGAATTATTTTAAGATAATAACGCTAAATTCTCCAAGTACATTTATGGTAATGTAAAGTGTGAGTCAGTAAAATTTATGTCATACCAAAACAAAATAAAATTTTTAAATTGTAACTTAATTTCAGAAAAGAACGATATTTTGTACGTAATGTGTATAATAAAAATTGATCAATAAACCAAACTTGTTAACAATTTTTTTGCTGTATTATTTCGTCATTGTAAATTAAATATTTATTGCACAAATTAGACATAATCTTCGATGATAATAGAAAAAATACACGCCTCGCAAGCATAAATTAATTCATGAGATCAACGTCTATAAAAAAAAAATAAGTATCGAAAAAAAGTCTTGGCAACAATTAAATTTCCGCAAGCTAAGTTGTCAGGCGATGTATGACTAATTGAGTGTAAAAGAGAAAAAAACTAAGTAACGTGAAGTCGTAAAAACCACAGCTAATTGTTTATATTAAAGATAAACACGTAATGTGAAAATTCTCAAACTCTGGAATGATTAGGTATATCGCATATTACATACGCGTACTTATAAAGGCATATACGTAACTGCCTCTCGCGATACAAAACAATAAATTTAATGCGACGTATTACAATGCGACCGCATCTCAGCTATATAACCCACCTAGAAACAGAACAATCGTCTAGAGTGTTTTCCTTTTAAATGTCATCGCGTCTCTCTCACGACTCCCTTCCTAAATCTCCGTTGTGTGTCGTCGTAGTTGCATGTTTTATGCATGCGACGCCGATAAAGAACACTGAAATTGTATTATTCTCCATTATGAAACGGTTCTTTTGCTTTTTATCTTGGCTTTCTTTCGAGCTTGCGTCTCCGCAATTATTGGGTGATTGGAAAATTGTATAGAGTGCTACTTTAAATTGCAACTACCGCAGTAAAGTGCCAGGCAAACGGTAGAAAGTTCAGTCTCGTACACATTCATACATACGCACACACCTTCGTATAATTTCTGTCTATAACCTTACATACATCCATATAGAACACACCTACGTAAAAGATCTTGTATTTCGTCGAGTCAATAACGTCGATGTAGCTAACATTGTCTTATCAACTCGACATGAGCACGTTGACGCTTCAAGAGTGTTTCACACTATTGTTCATCGAATCGATTTGACGTACAAGAGAGCCAAAATTAATTCGAATTTTCATTAAATTTGATCTTTAATCGACTTATTTCAAAAGCCGTGTCAGTATTGATAAATTGCACGCAGAAAGCTTCATCGTATATAAGTCGCCGTCCAAAATATAAAAACTCGTTGGGCGTTAAAATCAGAGCAAGTGGTTATCTAAGCGAATAAACCTATATATAATTGGTTAGTTTGTCAAAGGACGCTTTTATGCATAAAAATGCGATGCTGGTAGAGACGAGAAAGTGGTCGTTGCGAAAGATCCGGAAAGTCGATAAGCGCCTGATTATTGGCATCCGTTCAGCTGGCATTGACAGCGCCCGAAGGAAAATCCGTACGTGTGCGTTGACCGCCTCCCCGGGAATCACTTTCATCTCATTGCTAATTATTTACTCGTTTTTGGCTTGGCGCGATAAAATCAATTTCCGTCGAAGGAAGAGAAGAAAATCAATAAAACGCGGAATGAGATTTTCACAACAGCGGTTATTAAAGCAAACACTTGAATTGGCGTACGTATCGGCTACAAATTTAACGAGCCGCGTATATATGCGGAATTTTCTTCTGCAATTAAACAGAAGCAACGTAGTGTCGAGTGACCGCGATAATGATTGGCACAGTTAATCGCGACAGTATAGCGCATCGAGCCGCGATATCTATCCGCTCGTTAGAGTGCCCGGATTGCAATTAACGAAAACTAGCGATTTGCAAATGAGCCTTAAAACTCTATTTCTTATTCGCTCGTTAATTGTAATTATGCTGTATTCTCTATTTCGGCTTCTATTGTAGGTCTTTTTTTTGTTTTATAATGAACGTCACTCGCTCACGTTAAGATACGATTTCATTGTGCATTTAATTGTCGACCATTAAGCATTTTAATTGTGAATTGTGAAGATCGAAAAAATACTCTCGGTTTTAATGGCGTCTGTTCCTCCTGGAGTGAGAAGTTAATGTTACGTGAAAATATCGAATTGTAAGCGCCATTTGAGTGGAATAACGCGAGCACGATTTTTAGTGTAGAACGTGGTCGTGGCCAATAGAGATAAAATGCTCTAACCAACTAGATTTTATGTATTTTGACCCACTGAATAGAAATTTCAGGGATGGCTTATTGTAAACTTGACAGATGATTTGTTGTTAACAACTTAAATGTTTCAATGACAATAACTAGTTTATTGATAAATTTATGAATATTTTGTCGACAGCCAAACATAACAAATTAGTAAGTTTTTTTAGATTTCAAATAGATATTCAACAGAATACAAGATATTCTAATTTGAATTTGACAGCAGCATTGCGCGCTTGGCGCGCGCCTTTGCGCTCACGCCGCTTGCGCCGTTTTCTTACATAATTTACAATATATCGGGTTCTGCGTAATATTTTACAAATTTGAAAAATGCTACTTCTTCAATGCAAGTTGAGAAATACGTAGTATATTTTTAAATATTGATTAAGCCATAAATGCATTTTTTATTATCACTCAAACAATTGATTTGTTAAAAGCTAATTGACGGTATAGTTGTCGATAAGCTATTTTCGAAATTCGTTTTCATCGGGTGAAAATACGTAAAAGCCACTTGAGTGTAATATTTTGGCGCTAACGGCCACGATACCCTCCGCCCGGCTTCTAGACTATTTTTCGGATTGGAACGTAAGAAGTTAACACTAGCACTTGTCTCAGCTTTAGACAACTTTGTAATAAATCTAATGAAGAGGAGTCGAAGAGAGTAATTGACATGATTTTCAACACTTGTTCTATACATATGTAGCGGCAATCGTATCAGTAAGTTTGGAATCTAATTAAGAAGACATAAAATTTTATTGGGCACAGTCCAAGCTCGCAGGATTATCCAAGTCGGCTGAATCGACTTCATTCATTTTGTAGGATCCGTACTCGTTTGTCTCGTGTCTCCTCTTGGAAGCTCTTTTCTCGGAAAATAAGACTATGTAGGAAGACGTGCCAAGTGCTCCACCGAGCATTGGTCCAACCCAGTAGACCTGATTCGCATTGTAAGATTTGTGTTTGTTGTCAGTTGAGCATAACGCGTGTGTGTAATATGCTGATTTGGTCGATTGTGCAACTCGTGCGTGCTTACCCATTGATTTTCCCAGGCGCTGTTCCACAGTGCTGGCCCGAACGTTCTCGCCGGATTCATGCTGCATCCCGTATACGGGCTCTGCAATATCACAATGCAAATCAATGTAGTTCACGCACGTGTGCTCGCATGGAGGAGATTAAAACGTAACTTTAAACGAATATTTATTTGTACGTGATAAAATTATGGATGCGTAAGCGAAAAAAAAGAGAAACAGAAGCGAAGAAGAAAAGAAAATGTTCAGGCTATGAAACCTGGCGATGCATATTGCATTAAAAGTATGTAAAAGGAAAACAAGCAGCTAGATCGAGAGTAAAAAGTTGGGCAAAAATGGCAAGGAGGAGCTCAAAGGTAAAAAAGGTAAAAGTCGATTTGGCGCTTGCTCTCCGCGCCGCAAAGACGCAAAGGGGAAAGAAGATAAGTAAGTGTAGCGTATAGCTGGCTTGTCGAAAGCCATAGTAAATTAGGCGAGCTGCACAATCTTCCAGTGTAATCTCATTAAAAGTTAGTCCTGGCGGCGCTGCCAGGGCGGGAGGGCAAAACTCACCGCAGCGAAGGAAATAGCAGCGACGGCCATGCCGAACCTTATGGCGGTGGAGTCGGTGGTGTGAGAGCATCGCGAGTCCCAAGTGGCGCAGGCGCCAAGCAGTATAAGCGACGTGCACAGTATCTCGATTAGAATCGCTTGCACTATCGATATGTCGGGATGGATCGCCGTCACGCACAGAGGCACTCCGCTGCTCGGATTGCTGCCGTCGCTCATCAGGAACCCTGGCGTTACTATCTGCGGCACACACGCGCGCGTCCCAACATATATTCGCAAATTGTGCTGCCTCCGCAGCGGGCAATCAATTGCTTTTTACGCTACTGCCCTTTTCCAGATCTATCGGACTTTTCTTTTTTTCCCCTTCGAAGGCGTTGCCCTTCCCCTTCCCACCTTTCTTTCAGATAACGCGATTTTCACTGCTACTGTGTTCTACTGGTTCAAGTAAGATTGCGACACATCTCGAAGCTGCCCGTATCTTACCTTGATTAGTCCGTAGCCTAAAACGGCGCCGATGAATTGGGCTATCATGTAAACAATCGACGTCGGGATGGATTTCATACCGAGCATCAAAGCACCCAACGTCACTGCGGGATTAAAATGTGCCCCGCTTACGTGCCCGTACGTCTGGAACAGCGACACAATAGCACTTCGCACGCATCCGCGGAGAAGGTTCTAGAAACCATGATTATACACACCATGATTAGAAGATTGACAGTGAGACCAAACGTGAGAGCGCTCTGCATTGGCGGTGGTGGTTCCTTTCCCAGAGTACCGATGCATCCCATACAGCCGATAAAAATCAAACTAGCCGTGCCAACCAGCTCACCCATGAACATCGGCCAAACTCCTTTTTCCATTTTCCATGGCTCGACTGCGATCATACAGCACGTGCATGTTATCGCTTCTTTAGTCGAGCGTTCAGTTTAGTACATGTATTCGTTTCGCATTTCATCAGAAATTTACAAAACGAAAAGTACTTACTTCGATTTGTCGACATTATCCCGGGAGTGAAAAAAGTAGTTAAAATTACGACAGGTGAATCGCGACCGAGCAGTTTAGATTGCTAAACTCATAATCGCGAACATCAGCAACAATCAGAGAAAGACTCGGATTGATTGATAAAAGTCACAGCGACACACGGCATTATCGCGCGTGCCTCGACCAATCGCACTACTTCCTTACCTTCATTTTTTTTCGCGCTCGTCGCATCGTCGCATTCTCTTATCGCTCGTAATCTGAAGTGGTGATTTGAGCCTTGACGTTTTTTTGAATTGCTCGCCGTCGACGCCGATGATTTTTACTCGAAAAATAGCGAGCAACTGAGTCAGCTGCAGTGGTGCGCATGTGCACGACGCCACATCTATAATTCATAGCGAAACTTCAGTTCGCCAGCGATTATCCGTAATCATACTATTCATCGAGAAAATGCCAGGAGACTTCATGTTGGCAGTGCTGAAAGTTTGCAACGCACACAACCGCAGCGATGGCCACAAGGGTGAGTCCGAGGCAAAACCAACAGCATTACGTCAATGCGGACTACGTAAAAGACACCGATTATGTTGTTCGCGTCGCTAAAACGCTTCTGTCGCCCATCGGAATTTGGCCACGATCTGGAGACAATAGTCCTGCGAGTCGTTTCCTGTTCACCCTTCGCGTGATTATCATTTTCTGCTTGATGTTGTTCCTCTTGACGCCACATTTCATCTGGACCTGGTTTGTCGCTGACAATCTGCGCAAACTTATGAAGATCATCGCCGCGCAAGTTTTCAGCTCGTTGGCAGTGTTGAAGTTTTGGACCCTCGTCATCAACAGGAAAGATATTCGTCACTGTCTCGAAGTCATGGAAAACGACTACAAAACAGTCGAGACGGAGGAGGACCGCGAGATTATGATGAAAAACGCGAAAATCGGTCGGTTCTTCACCGTCGCTTATCTCGGTCTCTCTTACGGTGGTGCATTGCCATATCACATAATCATGCCACTCTTGGAGCCACGCGTCGTTCGCTCGGACAATACTACCATGATTCCGTTACCCTATCCGAGCGAGTACGTATTTTTCGTGGTAGAATTCTCACCGCTGTACGAAATCGTGTACATCACGCAAATATTCATCAGCGCCACCATTCTATCGATCAACACCGGCGTTTATAGTTTGATCGCTTGCGTGGTTATGCACTCGTGTTGTCTGTTTGAGGTAACGAGTAACAAAATTGACAAGTGGCTTGCCAACTGGACACCTGGTCGTCAACCTTTCAGCGACGCTCTTACGAGGAGACTCGGTCAAATCATTGACTTTCACGTGCAAGCTATCAAGTGAGTTTGTTTCTTTATTATTCGTGCTTCGATCCTCATACGCAGGTGTCAATTTAGGTACGCCGAGACTATGGAGAACGCACTCACACTAGTCATGCTCGCAGAAATGGGCGGATGTACGCTGATTATATGTCTACTGGAGTACGGAATTTTGCTGGTCATTTATCTTTTTCGTTTAAATTGCTTTTATTCGACCGGTCGAGTGCTAGACTTAATTTTTTTCTTTTTAGGATATGGAGGATGGTAATTATCTCGGCTGTGCGACTTACGCCATGCTAATGACATCCATATTCGTTAATGTATTCATTCTGTCTTTCGTCGGTGACAAAATTAAGGAACAGGTAATTTATGAGAACAGGTATTAATTCTCATGAGATTCATCTAAATATATTTTGTTTCTTTCACTTTCGTTGTTTCCCGCATAAAATTTCTAAAAATCATCGTTTTCTTTTTCGAGCCAAACATTTTTTATTCAAGTCCATGAATCTTTTCGATGCGTAAAATGCACGCTATGATCTCAAATTATAGATAGAAAGCATACGCTCTCATGTACAATGTAGAGATTTCATTAACGAATAACGATGGCAATCATGCTGTAAAGATGAAAAGCTAACGCCCATAAAGTAATCAAACGCGCATAAAAGTGAAAGAAGATATTTATTCGTGAAGTGCAAAAAGGAAAAAAAACAGCATTTTTATTGACGAGAGCATAAAAGTCCAGCTAAATAAACCACGAAAAGTACTTAGGTGCAATTAAGCCTCGATAGAGGAGAGAAAAGGAATAAAAAAAGCGAAGGAAATAAAAACGTTGTCACTCGGTTTAATTAGAGCGAGTTAATTGGCTTCTCCGCTTACTCGATCGACTGGCTTGAGCTGCCGAAGGAAGTGATACTGAAGGATCTCAAGTTCATCATGGCGCGAGCTAATCAGCCCACGAGATTAACGGCCGGCAAGCTCTTTGATCTCTCGCTTCAGGGATTCTGCGATGTAAGACTCTCTCTCTCTCTCTCTCTCCTCCCTTGCCTTGTCTGCGTGCATAAATTAATCCTTTTCTCTCGATGCTTGCAGGTCGCTAAGACTTCGATGGCTTATTTGAACTTCCTGCGCACCCTCGACATCACATAATTTATTTTTATTCTCTTTGTAGCTGCCGTTCTTATATTCATGTGATGTATTTCCTTCATAAGTTGACAAATCGATATTATACTTAATCTTGTACGGTAATTTTTATTTCAATATTATATTACATACGTGATATTGATTGTCATGCGTGTATTGCGGGTTGGTGGGGAGGTTGGTGCGCTTCGCGTGCTACGGGAAAAAACTTTGAGAAGGTTGTTGATATTGATTGATACTAAACATCGGTTTACTCTTTTCTCTGTACCTATTTTTCTTTTAATACGAGAAAAGATTCGATGGTGTATAATCTATCGTAAACGGTGTTTCTTTCGAGCTTGATGGAGCGAGTTGCGCTTTTGTAGAAATACAGTAATCAAAAGTATTATTATTTGTTACCCGCAAAACATAAGATAATTTCGAAAGATCGATAGGAAACTTATATTTTCAGAAAACCAAGTCGGAAATTTTTATCGAATTATAACTTTACTCTATCTTTTTTCTTTACCTTTGTATAGTATGATGGAGACAAGTTATATAAAATTTTTAATAATGAAAATTCGAAGGAAAAATCGTTGTTTGTATTTGATTTGTGATTATCTCTTTGAAATAGATTGAAATGCTTAAATTATATACCGGAAGTAGAAAATCATAAGCTTGCATAAAGAAGGAAATACCTGGGCTGATTATCAGTGCTGTTTTTCGATTCTGATTTGATAGAATCCGTTAGCGCAAACCATATTTTTCTGGTGGCAGTACCCAAATTTTTAGTCGAGTGATTGATATTTTATGTTGATAATGTTACCAAATAAAAAATACAAATAATTGTCGTGTGGAAAAACCATTTTAGACACTTCATCGTCTCATATTGATATCGTCCAATTTTTCTCGATCAACAATTATTGATACACGCAATATCAATTGAAAAGAAAAACAGTTCTCTCTACTAATTTTCAAACGTCTTATCATTAAAAAAAGAGAAGAGGCAACTCGTCCCGCAGGCAGCAATTACTGTCATTTCTCTCACTACATCGACGTAAACATAGTCGCTCTCGCAGGCGTTGATTAAACTTGCGAGCATCTATTGAACTCGACTGTCGGTAATTAATGCCGTCCCTAGCTCTTGCACTCTCTTGAGAGGGGTAGATCCGCCGATTCCACACAGTACGTCACGCAACATGGAGGCCGACAAGCTACAGGGGGACGAGTTCTCCTACTTCAATGATAAGGATAAACGAGTGAGACAAATTAATTATCCCAATTTCTAAGAGGATGTTAATTATGCTATGGATTTGAATCGAAGGATCGCCAGTATTATTGATACGTATTTGGCCACATGGGATCGATAGTGACGTAGTTAGATAGAGATTCGATATGTTGGTCAAGAGATGCCAAAACATGTTTTTGTACTTTTTATCGGATTTTCTTCTCGGGTTCGAAATTTAATATATCGTTTCGGAGAAGCGCACACTCAAGCACAAAATGTTGAAGGTCTGTATGATTTCACTTGCTTCACTTTGACGGTAAATTTGTTGCTATTTTCAAACAGGTCCGATAATTCTTAACACAATGGCTTTACTGAAATAAAGTATACATAGTTATTTTATTTTACACCTAGTTACGCTGTGGTACTTGTAAAGCACGCCTACGGTTATGATTTGATATTGTCGCGTATTTGCTGAAGAAAATTGAAGCTCATCGTACGGTTACATATTAGGATTTCACCGTGAGTAATTACGCGTCTTGTCTTGCATCCATATATTTACGTTCTTACGCAATACTCATTTCTTTTGAGGCAGTTTCGTTCAGAACGTAGAGCATTTACTGCGCGAAATATGCGTGGTGAAATTTTTTGGCGGCAATGTGATTTTATTGTGATACTACTTAATACTGGCAAGCCTCTTAAAATATACAAAAATGCGGCTTCGACTGATCGATTGAGATATGCTAGCTATCAAAGGATTCAGAAAAAAGCGATGCCATGGCGATACCGACGTACTTGTTTATGATAACTTTGCTAATCGCCCTACTGTTCACCTATTGTTACATCAGCGAGCTGGTCACCGACAAGGCTAATTGACAAGTCTACCGCGAAAAACTATTAAAAAGTCGACTACTTATATGTTTCATAATGTTACACTTGCTACACTCGCATGCCTGTGCTCTGTCGTATGATATACTTGCACTCTTGTAAGTGAAAAAAATAGAAACGAACTCTTACATGATCGACTGGTGCAAACTGCCGCCCAAGAAAGAACTCTGTATTGGCTCGATCATTTCCATCTCTTATTGCCCAATTCAACTTACCGCTGATAAAATGCTCAAACTCTTAATGTACAACTTCGATAGTGTAATGCATTCGAGGAATAGCCAAGGGAACATGTTTTGGTCGAATTAGTTCTTTGTGTGTGTTTTGCAGATAATGAGGTCGTGATGGCTACCTGAAGTTGTTGCGTACGATATGATTGATTGAACAAAGGAACAATATACATTGACAATAGTGCAGTTTTAATGTGCGTGATTTGTGATACAAATTTCGTAGGTTTTCTTTTCGAACAATCATGACGTAATGTGCGAAATTGCATTGTATTATTTTTATTTACTATAAGATCTAATCTACAATTTATTTTACTTTCACGAACAGCTATAAATAATAATAATTATATGTACATTTACGACCGAACATAGGCATTCACTCTGTTTCAATTAATTCCCTCCATAGCTCCAAATTTATTCTCGGCAAATGGGAACAAGACTCTGTATTCTTATAGATAGGTATTTTGAATGGATTCATTTGTATTTCCGTCAAAGCTTGTCCGAGATCGCATATCATCACAGCTAGAGTGGCCTTTTTTATTTCCTTGAATTGTTCTGCAAAACAAACAATAAAGAATGCATTGATTTGCCGTTTACAAACGATCGAAAAGGTCAAATTGATGTTATTATACCAGGCGTGAAAGAATGCGGGAAATTGGCATTGTCATAGAAATACTTATCGCCGTATCTCGATCTATAAAACTGTTCTCCAATGAGACATCTACCTGTCGGTCCAACCAAACTGCCAGGCATTCGGTTCTCCATCGTGATACCAACTAACAGATCGATATCATTGACGTGCTTGTAGACAGTATGCAACCTCTCGATATTCTGAAAAGAAAAACGAAACCGTGACCGATAAATCGACGAAGACAAAAAAGGCGAGAATATTGTGACAGAATTGAACGCCTTACATTCAACGAGATTTCATTGATAAGTCCGTGAAAGTCCTTGGCAGTCTCGAGGCCACAGATTTGTCGGTAGGCATTGTAGCCGGGAATACCGTGGTCTCTCGAGCGTTGTATGTCAAGTGCCAGGAGATCCATACCGAATTCATCGACCAAGCGGAACAAGTACTCGGATATCTGTGAAATTTCATCATATTATACAGCAAAACTTCATTTTCTCCATTGTTCGCCTATACACGCATAACACACGCACTTCTGGATGGAAATTAGAATCAGCTTTTTGCGCCCGCTGAAGTACAAGGCCCCGCAAGAGAGACTCGAAGTTAAAGTCAGTCTCGACGATAGAGGGCCGGAAGTAATAGTCGCTCAGCCGTAAAGTCTGAAAGATACTGTTGTTCTTCGTGACTAGACTGAAAAAGAAAAAAGGATGATTTATTAGATTTTTTAACAGACATCAGAGAGATATGCCGTACCTTATGTTTCCGTCGACTAGAGAGTGCAGAAATCTAAATGCACCGGTTGTGAAGCCATTCATCGTGCTCGGGTTGATTTTTTCATTATAGTTGTGCGATAACTCCTCGCTGACAGGGCAGATCTTGTGGTCTTTACAGTATCTTTTTCCTGAATCATTTGGATATTGAAATGAAATTTAATAAAATTTAAAAGTTTCGTCATCGATTACTCAAGCTATCGATTTGATTCACGTTTTCTCACTATGGACTGAAATATAGCCTTCCACTGCAATGAAACTCCGAATCGATGTAACTGTTCTCAGCTTATCATTTGAGAAACATAACGTACAGGACTACGCAACAATATCGCGTCTAATATATGTCTACATGGTACAAGGGCATAATCTCACCAATGACAAGGGGCAGCCAATATTGATAAGTGATATGCTGATACTCGGCGATAACGATGCGTCTGCTCTCCTGGAACAATCTCTCGTCATTCCAGTGGGGATTAATCGCTGCCAGGTCGTAAGCCAACCTCGTGTGCTCTCTGATTAGCAGCGTCAGCATTACTGCCAATTGGGGATCTTGATTGCCACGCGTGTCACCTTTAAACAGCGCCCATATCCCCGTACATTCAGCGCCAGAAAAACATCAAGAATGCCGAGCAGAACAAGGAGAAAAAGAAAGAAAACCTGTTTGGTAACAAACGCCTTGATTGTCGCACGATCCAGATCTCACGTAGGTAGGTGGCATCAAGCGATTCGCTCGCACCTCGTAGTTTAACAGACCACCGTGGTATGTGCGTAGTCGTGTACTCGTTGCTTCGTCGGAGCCGTACAGCGGTGATAGATCCAAGAAACTCGAGGCTGCGTTCAGCTGTGCAAAGTGTAAATTAGGGCAAAGGATTTTTACGTCTGTTTGTTTACTATTTTTTTCTCTTTTTTTTTTTTTTTTTCGTGAAGCATGCCAATTTTATTACAGTTTGGCTGATTATCGAACAGTCATTACGAAAAAATAATGCGACTATTGAATTACTTAAATAAACATCAAACGAAAAGAATTGAATTAAAGCACGTTATTCGCGTCGCTCGGACAGCACTGGTAAACTTTAAAAATGACATTATCCGCCTGTATTCCCGCGCAGTCGACGCGCTTTTTAGTCGTACGGCGGACGGCGCAGTAGTATAATGAGATACCGAACAAAGTTAGAAACTCGAGGGCGACGGTGGTGGAATCGGATCCAAGTCTCTTTGACGTAGCTGTGGCTTTAACTCATTTCGCGGTTGAAACGTCAAAGCCGACGATGGCATTTCGTTATCTTTTACTTGATTAGCCGCTCCGATAGAGCAGTCCTCCCTTGCGATAGTCATACTTCGTACGAAGTTGGTGCACTTGCCCCCGTTGACGATTGGCGCACACGAGTGATGCTGCTCGACATTCGCCAGTGGCTCGGTTCTGTTAACACCGCAACACTCGATCCCGCCGTCGGCTGCATAGTATATTGGAGTGTATTGCAGATAGAAAAGCCTGGCGCACTTGGGCATCCGCATTACTCGAGCTTACCTCCTTGATCGGTAACTTGGCGGCTCATGTCGTGAGCAACAATCTGCCCCCATTGCACAAAGGCGAGCGTGAGTTGCGATTCCAAAGCATCCGTACGTCTGGCGAATAACTGACTGCTCACCTGTCGCGCGTTTGGCAGAGGTTGCTGTCCGCCGGATGCGCTTAGCGCTAGTGCGTGGATATCTACAATTGTTATTGCAAATAATCTCTCTTTCTCGACTTTCTCACCATAAAAGGCACTGTAACCGAGTAAGTACACACCGTCGGAATAACGCGCTGGCAAGATGCGAAGTAGAGCAATGTTCGTACGTCCCCAAGACGGATTAGCGAAGTTGTTACATGAGCCATCGAAGCTGCGAAATTTGGCCAAGCTGTTGCAGATATGCTGACGAGGTCGGCAAGTCTCGCTTCCGGTCAAGCGGAAGCCGTGATGCCGCATGAATTCCAGAAAATCGCTCGAATTCACTTTGTACCTTGTTATTTTTTATTTTTATTTTTTAGTTTTAATCAGAATCGCCATCGTGCGTGTAAAAGTCACGATGACACAGCATTTTTTTTCTTTTTGTACACAACAATTACATCAATTTTGTTATTTATTTTAATCGTAAGCTGAGATTTGCTCGGGAAAGAAATTGTGCATCTGGGTATTAAATTGTATAAGGAGCTTTTAAACGAACATGGGCGTGTAGAAATCAGTGCACTCGTGGGTGTACAGTAGTAATTTTGTTAGCAGTTTACGGGAGTATTCAAACTTAAATTTATCAAGTCACTTTCGAAAGTTATACACGGATGTTGCAATGTATTATTTGTAGACTCATTAATGAGAACCTGAACTTTGAGAAAGTTGGCATATTCGCAAGCTACGAGATTTGCCACTTAAAAATACTACTATGTATTTACTTGAACGCGCTAATTTGAACGTATCAATAAATCAATAAAACCTCTATAAACTTACTCAGTTGACAACATCTCCCTTAGCACCTTGGTAGCCAACAGCAATCGTTGGCTCTCTTTGTTAAGCTGTTGTACGAACTTGGGCACCCGATTAGCCAAGTAGTGCAGCATGGATGCCGAGTGTTCTTTGGGCCGTTGCAGTTTGGCGGCTCGCTCATGCATATCGGCCGCGAGTGCTAGACCCTGACTCAGTTTGTCCCGCACGAATCGGAGTGGCACCGGATCGGCCCCTAGAAAAAAGATCACAAGGAAAGTGGAAACCTAATCGAAGCAAAGAATCGCGATGTGGTCAGGGAGATATTTATGTTCGCTGCTTACCTTTGGGCACGACTAAGTCCAAGTTCAAACGCTGGCAGTTTAGGTTCCCCGGATCGCGAGTACAATTTAAGTTCAAGTCGATGAATTTCTCGTTCTCGAAGTCATCGAAATTGTAGAGCTTGTTAGTGTCTTCCCATACACCGTCCGATTTGTATCTCTGATAAATGTTCCACGATTTATTCCGGCAATTCATCATTTCTTTTATCACGACATTTCTAATCAACCCTCTCAATCACGACTCGATACTTTAATATACAGCAACAAACAAAAAATTGTTTCTATATTCGTACTGTTCGAATGACGCAAAATGAAGCAAAAATTCACAACGATCAACGTGAATGAAAGGGTCAATTAACAAAATACGTGTACCAAAACACCAATATTTATTAAACTGCAGTATACATTGACGCAATCATATAAAAATATAAAATTCATTAAAAAACTTTGTTAATTATTGACCTTTCTCTGGACCTGAGACAGCTGGTCGAGATGATAAATTTTGCCTTTATCAGCCTGCGGTATATTCCTCTTGATGCGTCCTTGGAATATATGCCCACTCCTCTTGCAGAGCGGACATCTATTACCGAGTGTTATATCGTATTTAGCGCAAGAATCGCATAATTCTCTGGAGTAAGGACCTGCATGACCGACATAATCGCCGATATCATCCGCAAGATCATACAAGTGTCTACCGGTAGAAACGTAGTCGAAGCCAGCGTTGGATAAATAGTCGGGCTCAAATTCATGTTCGGCGAAAGCCGTTTTAAGGTAATGGTCGACGTCGTGATAACGGAAATTACCGAATATATCGAGTCTCTGACCCGTAGCTCCCGCGGTGACTTTATTCACGAGATCGATGGCTAAGCCAAGAATATGCCGTTCAACATCTGGGTTCTCTCTATGTGCCAATCCAGCTCTCGTTTCATAGGCGAGCTTGCGAATCATCCCGGCAGCTTCATCGATCGCAAGATCCATAATCATTTTTCTCTCGTAATCGTCGCACGTACTGATCTGACTCCAAAGGCCGGCGTTACTGCCGATATTCAACTGACTGTCGGTCGAGATTCCAGTGCTTATACCAGTTCCCCCTAGACTTGAACCGACATGAACGTCCGAAGAGACTGCCGAAGCAGTATTGATCGACACTCCGCCCAGTCCAGTACCGATGTTAGTAGAGCTTGCAGCGTTACTCGCCGAGGCTGTATCGACGCTCACTCCGCCTACGCCGATACTTGTTTCGACTTCGGTCGCTGTCGACGAGGCCGCGGCCACCTCGACGTCCCTTCTTTTCGACGGCTCCATGACCGCGACTACCGGTGCTACTTCCGCCACGACAACTGGCTCCGGCTCCGGGATGATTACCGGATTTGCGAATTTGTTGCGACCGCATCCGCATGCAGAATGCAAGCAGTTCATCAGTTGGCCCCTTTTCTTTGCCAGGTGTATTGCCGCCTCGGCGATCCGGTCGGCTATCTTTCGGCTTCTTTCCAGATACCTCGCACGGCTTGACGTTATACGCCCTAATTTTCTTGCCACATAGTCCTCGCTGCCGCAGTGACGAGACGGACGATCTCCCGGCGCTGATGCGTCGTCGAGGTAACGTTTGTTGTACGAGTGATAGAGATTCTGGTGGCGAAGTAAAGATTTGTAGTATGCTTCGTCCTTCTCGAAATCGCTCAGTTGAGTTTCCGAGGTTGCTGCGAGGTTTCGGTTTTTTGTCTGGAAGAGTCAGTATAACAAGACGGTTTGGTCAGACATCAACTCGATCTCGTTATCATCCTCCAAATTAATTTAATAATTTTTATTCTTTCCTTCTTTTATTTCAAGAATGCACGTAATGTGGATTAAGCGAAAGTTTACTTTGACGCACAAGTGAAAATTGCTTAATTGAAAATGCGCGTGTAAGTCACATACGTGGCACGCGTCACTTTGCATATTCGTAGTACAAAAAAGTAAATCGCGATGAAAAAGAAAAAGTATAAGTTTGGTGAAGATAAGCTTAAAAACTTAACACTCGCGGTAGAATAATTGAATTGATAAAAATACAAACCTCCCTGACTAGACTAAGCGTCTGGGATTTAGCTTTCCTCTTGTCTCTCCAGTCTTCATTCAGCTCCTTATCATCATCATCCCCGGCCGTTAGTTTGATCGGCCCTTGAACGGGTACGTCGATTATCTGTTGCTGCTGACCCTCGACGCCTCCTAAATCCCGCTTATACTCATTCAAGCCGTCCGTGACTATAACCCCGCCGGCAGACGCTTGGTTAGCTTTCATGCGCTCCTCCAGTGTCTTTATCAGATCATCGAACTCCACTTCTCTGCTCAAGTTGCTTTCCTCGCCGCTTGCCAACGAACCATACGCGACAGCAATGACAATAATACTCCATTGTTTCAGCAACATTTTCGAAAAATTCTTTTCACTCACATTTGTATTAAGAAAACGTTGCATTTGATCGCGATGAAACTTTCGCATTGAATGGAAAAAGTATCAATCGCGAGCGAAGCGTGCGTCGCGAGTTTTATTTGCGACGCAGCAAATTTCTTCTTGTGCTTTTGTTTGTGAATTGAGCAAAACTAACGAATGCGCTGATTTAGTGATTTTCACATCGGGATCGAGGATTTTCAAAAATTGCATTGTTTCGTAATAAAGGTGAGTGTTTTACGAGGCAGATAAAAGAAAAATCAACGGAGGTTTATTCATTTTTGATTATTTTTATTTATAACCATATTACTATCTTACAAAATAAAGATTAAAATGACAATAGATTAACAGCCTAAACTCAATAATACAAATTACTAATCGTTATACAATTTAAAAGAAGATCAACTTGTTATAATAATAATATTATTTATCTACAATGCGTACTCTCCGAGTGCTGCTTGATATTTAGGAATCAATCAACGCTGAGCAAGCTCGAGTACATATTTAACATAAGAAAATCTAAGTAAATAAGACACTCAACATAAAATCTCGTTCAATGTACAATAATTACAAAATATTTTTTTTTTGACATTGGTGAAAGAGGGATGACATAAGTTAGACGATACATATTATGTGAATTTTCTTAGGTTCGTTTGCGATCAAAAAAATTGTCCTACTTCTTGAACCATTGGAACGAGTGAGCCGACGGTTGCGCCCAACTTGCTCCGGGTTGTTGAATATCCTTCCAGAGTGAAAGGTCAATGGCCGGAATTTGCGAGCAGCTTACCAACGGATTTCTAAAGAGTATTCGAACATTGCACGCATAAGTCGTTGCCATGATCATGCAGAGATGAGAGCTGTGCGAATTAATTATAATACTCACGTTGCAGAAACCTGCTCGAAACCTCTCATCTGCATAAGCTGAATGTTGTCGCCATTGTCACAGAATAACCTGGCGATACTGGCCTTACGTATCTCAGCGAGTTGCTCTGCAAAGAACAGAGCGATGTCATCCCGATTGGCTCTTGGAACTGACGCGAGTTAAATTGGTAATTAGCGCTTACCGATTGTGAAAGCGATTTCCGGATCACCAGTCTCGTACCAATAGCGATCGCCAACCCTCGACCTCCAAAATTGCTCGGTCATGATTGCGATAAACGTTGGACCAGCCAATGTGCCTTGTACGTGGCGCTCGAGAGAAGCACCTACTGTCAGATCCACGTCATCCGGAGTTTCGTAGAGCTGGGCCAGCTTTTGTATGTTCTAAACGAGAAGGGAGACGACAAGTTAGACACGGCTTATAATTAGAAATGCCCATTCGAGTACGGAACTATCAATTGTCTATAACGCACCCGTTGGGCGAATCGATTGTTTTCTTAATTAAATTATCAATGACTATGCTATTTACAGACATTTCTTCATTTCAGAAATTTACTGCCTACAACGTGTCTCGTGTTATTTACGCATAACTTCGATGCATATTCGTTATTTTCTCAATAGACCTTAATACTTCATTGGCACGCGTGTTTCAGAAAGCAAATTAACAATATGCTGGTATATTATATAAATTTATCTTGATTGCATCAAAAATGCAAATATGCAAAATCAATCTAAATATATTTAACGAGCATTGCTGCCGTAATTGTACCGAAAGTTTATCTCAGAAAATAACCAACTTACATGCATCCTTATGTCACATCTTTCGAAGTAAAAAGAAAATTACGGTCGCCAATAGATTGTTGAATAATCGAACACGCTCATACAACGACGCCAATGCCCATTGCATATATCGTTGCGCACACTTCACATATGAGTTAACAAGAATTAATAAATAACTAAAAATTAAAAGAGAACTCACCGCAGGCGAGATAAGGTCTTGGAAGTCTGCCCACTCGGTAGCTTTGGGTAGACCAGCCCATACACGGAAATTGTTATAAGTGTTGAGACCGTGGTCACGGTTACGTTGCACGTCGATGGCGCGCAAATCGTCACCAAGTTTGTGATGATTCCTGAACAAATAGTTCGTGATCTACAAACAAGCAAATGTCAGAATTATTCGCAGCCGCGCACTACTCAATTTCCAATTGTCGTTTACAGCATTCAAATTACCTCACGATCGAACCACTGATCGCTAGCCTCCTGCGGTTGGAAGGCCATACCTCTTGTGAGTTTGTCCAAGTTACCATCTTCTTCGATTACTCCAGGCCGATTGAAATGGTCGCTCAAACGCAGAGCGTTGTACGAGTAAGAGTAACGCTGTTCGTCGACCAATCTATGCCCAGAAAAAAAAAACAGGTGATTTGACGGAATACGTTACGTAAATAGTATTTATATGTAGCAACGCGGCGAAAAGTTGTCAATTGAAGAACTACTGCTAGAATTAATTGGCTGCTCTATTAAATTGATTAGTGGAATACAATTTTGTGAAAGTCACGTATTCACTTACAAAAGTCGGCCAGCGATGAGGGAGTGGAAGTAACGGAAAGCAGCGTTGGAATGCTCGTTGATAGTGCTGGGATCTACGTTGGGGTCGTAATCGTTAATCCAACCACTAGTTTTGTAAAGGATCTTGCGGTTGATTGAATTTTCAAGACCAATGAAAATCGGTAGCCACTCGTAGTAAGAGATGTGTTGATGAAGGGCAATGTTGATCCTTCTGGCTTCTTGGAAGATAGTTTCGTCGCTCCAGTGAGGATTCAGACGATACAATTCGTTGGCCAAACGGTTATGCTCACGGTGAAGCAGAATGTGGAGAATTGTCAGTTGCGGGTTCTGATTAACACGGGCGTCACCTATACACGAGTTTCAACATGTCAAACACGATCGTTAATTTTTTACTCATACAGATTTCAAAAGTAATTGACAAATATTGCCGACGACGACTTTAAACAAGTTAGCTATTCCTTCACACAACATATAATGAAGTCGGTAACATTTGAGTAAATTCGATAAATGAACGTTGATGATCATTATTACATGATTTATAGTTTTGTTTTTGTGTAAAACAGCTAAAAAAATTCGTATCAACGATTGCACATTCAATTTCAAAGTAGTTTATAAATTATGACAACTATTAGAAACTCATAGTGACCAGACTACTTTCGATCATAATTACCTTGAATATCATTAATGCCATTTCAGCGAGCCACGTAAGTAAAAGTGCGATTGCGCATAAATAAAATATAAGTTTGAAGGAAACAAAAAGCAAAAGCAATATTGCGTTTAAAGCTTTAACTCTAATAATTTTTGCCACTTTCTATATTTTACTAGGTTCGTTCGACGTGTCAAATGCATCTAATAAGAAATGCCGACTTTTCCAATCTACTAAGATATATCCACGGTATTATGAAATCTCAAAGTATTCCATCCTAATCTTTTACGCATTTCCGAAAGGGTCCCATTGCGTGCGCGCGCGTAGAAAGAATAGATCAACATTCACCACGAGCATAATAACCGTTACATGCCCGCGAGTGAGTCGTTTCGACTTGTACAAGTAGCAGCGATTTTTCGCAAACGACGTCTTAAGGATAACAAGGGGCTGGCTTTACGAACGCCATTGAAACGAAAGAGGACCGTCGCCGGAGGATAAAGGAAAAAGAAAAGAAATCGCAGAGCCTTTTTAGCTGTAATTTATAGCTATGTCCTTATACCAACGTCGATGTCGTGTCGCGAGGTAACTTTTTTTACACGCAGTGCGTATAGATTTCAATGAAAGGATTGTTGCGATTTTACTATGGAACTCGGTTGAAATATTAAGTGTAGGAGCTGAATTACGACTGTCATAAAACTAATTCCGCGTACTAATTGGCGTCAGTTAGAACGTCAAAAGGTAAGCGCGCGTCGAGCACTGGATCGCGGATTATTATAATTTCATGCAGAATCTCACAGAGATAAAAATATAAAATGTTGTTTAACGAGCGTAATGAGCCACGGTACAATATATATAACGCGAAGCAGGAAGCTACAACGCTATGATAACATACATCTCGATGAATAAAGATGTTTCCCATAAGTGTAATGTTTGCTAATGCGGCTAATTATGATATAATATTATAGAATTTATAGCGAGGGCAATTGGCGCGTGCGAGCGAATTTCATAACTATATACTAGACGACAATTCAATTTGCGCAAGGGGAAATGTATAACGCGCAAACTCTTAAAATTGTAATTTACAAAGCAGTTGAGTCATTCTACTCAAGTAGACGCTACATAAGTGCGAATAGTGATACACTTTCAACGATTTTTTCAGCGCATTACTCTTTTTTTTCTCAAACTGGCGTTTGTTGCGAGCTCGTTCCTATATGTACATATAAAGCGCGTGATTCGTGACTGGAGATCGATCGATATGCTTTGGAACGGCCAAGGCGCGCTCTCGGCAAACGAATGAAAGAAACGTCAAAAGTACGTGTCGCTGGCTCGTTGTTATTTACGTTAAGCTCGCACGAATTGTTGCGGCGGCCAAGTATAATTTGTCACGTTGTCATGTCATAAAGCATAAATCTGGCACTTACCAGCTGCGTAGCACACGTCGCCGGTGTGTCCGTAAACATCGCAAGCCATACTCTTGTTGCGAGCAGTTGGCAACCACTCCCGATTGCTTCTCACGTCGACGACCAATCGACCACCTATGCCGGCGCGTAATCCGGCTGCCGTCCTGTCGTCCGAGCCGTAGATGATGGACAGATCCAAGAAGTGAGACACAACTGTCAACTGATAAGTAATGCGTACGTAGGCCGTTGATTGTTGCAAATAATTTGTTTTGAATTTTAATTAAAATTTACAAAGTACGATTTGAGAGGTTGCGAGAGGCCTTCTACTGTAATTTTTAATTACTTTCAGTCGACTGTCGAGGCCAAATATAGCGACGCTTAATACATTCATGTAGCACGGATAATCAGCGTCAAGCTGTCTCGCAGAAATAATGGACAGTCTCTCGTAGCAAATGAAAAACACGCGTGCATTTCACAATGAAATTGTCCACTAACCTGCTCAGCAGGTTGATAACCAGATGAGCAGCCACGATCAAGATCAGTTGTACTACGCACGAAATTACGACACTGTTGCCGCTCGTACGAGTAGACTGGATCGTTTGGCGGAATGATGATGGGGAAACATAGTGGACTGCTCAGTGCTGACTGAATCAATTGGCCCTGATCCGAGCAACACATCGTCGCGTGAGCCTCTATGGAAGAAATCACAGTCATATGGGTTACATCATAAGAAACAGGATGAACGAGTTTGCTGTGCAAAGGTTGCGTGATGTAAAGTTGCGTGGTAGGTGTGTGCGGAAGTGACGTAGGCTAATCGCACGCTATTAGCACGAGATTTACAGAATGCTGCGCCTTTATCATTTGGGTATCGCTTCTTTTCTTATAGCTTCCGTGACTTTTTTTATCATTTATATTTATGGTCTTTCTACTGATTTTAGATTCATGGTATTTATTTTTATGTTGGAGATACACTTTATAAAATGATCCTAGTTGCGGGGTATAAGAAAGGCAAGCATGTACCACGATAGTTAACAAATTCCCATACATTCCACTTTATTTCCACAGAGGCAGTAAACTCCATTCTTCCCTCACACAACTACAACGTCAGCAAGAAATAACAGAAAACGCAGAGAGTCGAAAATATAGTAATAAAAAACAACTCACTTGACTGAGTAGTTCCGTCAATCATAGCCATGTCATGGGTTATGATCTGTCCCCACTGCATAGCCACGAGTGTCCACAATGGATCTTGGATGTCAACATCGGGGAAAAGCATGAAGCTTACTTCTCTGGCATTCGGCAGTGGGTTACCACTTTGCGATACTGGTGGCACGTGGATATCTGCGACATTGAGTGAGAATTGTTGTTATATTATAGAAGCGTACAAGCTGAGTAGATTTACATACATGATAGCGATCGCTCACACTTCAATTGAGACACGCGATGTAAGCTATGCGTTTCTTTATTACACTCGTTATTTGTTGAAGAATTATCTCGTGAGCGTTTCAAGCGAAAAATTACAGCGATTGGCAAAGAGAAAGACGAAAAAAAGAAAACAATTGTCTTGCAGCGCAATTCAATGGAAGACACGTATGCATGACATAAGAAGTGTACCACGGAAAAAAGCCAGAAAATTAGAGAACTCGCGTGGCGTCGAATTGTGGTAAACGCAAATGCACGAATGTCGCGTGAGGTGTCTCGCGTACACACGAGCTCTCTCAAAGCAGCCGCACTCTCATTTATAATTTAAGAGCGCCGAAGAGCCATCGCGCGCAAGTTTTCTATTTTAATGAACCACCATTTACTTGGACGTGCTTGAACGCCGTTTTGCAAAATGCTTCGCTGACAAATCGCTCTCCGGCGAGCAATGAAAACTAAAGACAGGGCGATAAAGGTGAATCGAGGAAATACTCACTGTCGGCGTAATAAGCGGGTAACAGACGTGCGTATTTGGTATTGGCCATTCCCCACGACGGAAATTGCAAGTTGTTGCAGGAGCCGTCGTAAGTCCGGTAACGTGACCTGGTGCATGCTGGACCGCGATATTTGCCACACGTACCTTTTGCTGATGGCGGTGGTGGTGGTGGTGGTGGTGGTGGTGGTGGTGGTGCTGCTGCTGCTGCTGCTGCTGCCTGCGGCTGTTCGAAGCTGTTAAGAAATTGACGTGTTAACGAAGCCGTTACTTTGACGGACACGATCTGTTGCAATGGCCAATTTGCGGGGTGTCGGAGAGGGTTGAGATTAAGTCGTAAATTAGGTTGATGGGATTTATTTGGGCCAGAGGAAAAGAAAATAACGTGTGACGTTGGTTAAATTGCCCGTTGAGTCGCTTTCCTCAGACCGAAGGCTTAAGGTCGTCGAGATTTTATTTAAGGAAATACGGGAAAAGCAGCTTTGAGTTAAGAAGCACGACGCGCCGCGTGTGTCGCTGCGCGTGTCGCTGCGTGTGGCATTTTTCTTATAACGGTCGTCAGATCAATTTGAGTTTGTTCGTTCTCGTCCAGTGATACCAGTGAAAATTCTGGAGTTTGAAGTGTGATTTCCGAATAAGAATTTAATTAGGCAGCTCGTGTGCCCGAGTTGTTTAAAAAGGAAATCGTGAACTAGAGATATGAATGGGCAATAAGTATTATTCCTCGACTTGGTGAGCAAGATGTTTGATAGAACGAGAAAGGTAAAGTAAACAAAACGTCAAACCCAGTAAAACTAGAACAATTATGTAAGATTATTATCTCACTTGTGTCAATGGTTATTGCTTCGGTAATCTTTCAGGAATATATGTTACGGGAGCTCGTATTGAATCACTTAAGGTTTATTGCTCGTACAAACATTACTTAAATAAGAATGACTCAATGTGACAGACGGAAATATAGTCTGCAATTATAATGGTCGAATAGAGAAATGAAAACATCAAATGAAAAAGAGGCATGACAGGCGTAGAAATGTACAATTGGCATGAAAGAAATTGCGATGGTAATTCAGGAGAGAGGGAGAGCAGACGTAAGGATGTCGCAAGAAATACCAATTTATTTAATGCCAATTTCTGCAGCTGTCGCCGCACGATTAAGTTGTAAAATTAAGTAGTGACGCTTAAAAGTGAAAATTAGGATATATCTCTTTCTTAACGCTCGCCACCGCAAACTGTCAATATAATTGTAACAAATTTTCCTTCGTGAAAATTTACAGGATCACGCGTTGCAATGAATTTGTGTATTTGAAATTGCACAATTGATAATTCGCAGAGAATTCTCTATTAATCAGTCGCACGCGCATAGCCAGGAAATGACAATTAGCCGCGAAGAATTTCTCCGACAAATACGTTAATTAGAGCTATAACGTGAATTCATAAGTCGGACTGTCTCGCGAGAGCCGAAGGGGAAAAAACGTGTTCGGTAACAAGAGAGAGAGAGAGAAAGAAATTTCTCAACGTGCATCTCGTGACGCGGCCGTCGGCAAAATGGCTATATATGTATGTCTCCGCCTAATAATTCTTACATTCGACGATGTTATTATACACTACTTCCGTTATATAATTCCCGCGGGAACTCCCTACGACTTTTTTCTCCTGTAAAGGCATTGTTTCTGATTTATGATTTGGAGTAACGGAGAGAAAAACAACTTCAATTTCCGTTTGCCATACCGTTACTCATATGGGCTGCCGAAATTTCACATAAAACGCTAGAGATCAATTTACGAGACTTTACCTGCTATCAGCTTGAGAGTAGAGCAGCTGGTACGAAGGTAATTGTTCGACTGACGTATGAGGGTAGAGTAGCGATATGAAAGGATTCGCCGCTGAGCTGTAGCTCGATGCAAAGTCGAAACGTGTCTCGTCCACAGCCAAGTCATCTGAAATGCAAAACGAGGTATGCCCTGAGCGAGACACATACTATCGGGACTTGACGCAATGCAACAATAGCTCTGAGAGTGCTGTTATCTCTATATTGCCTCTTAATTGAATTTGCCCGATAGAATTGCACTATGACGGCGTTGATTTATTTTTGTTGTCCAGTAGAGTGGAAAATTGTTTGTGGTTTGTATAAAACGCGCGTCCGTATTTTTATGCTTTTCTTGCGCCTTTATGATTTATGTTAAACGCCGTGCGTTGGTAAAAGGCAATCGCGTTGACGATGATGTTGGGCAACGCTTTTAAATATGTATTCAATGGCATTTGGCAACGTTACACTTACTTTACAAATGGGTTATCGATGAATGCCACTCGAATTTCCATCGAAAGGCAGGCGTATGAAAGAGCTTCACTGGCAAACGCTGCGATTCGATTTTTCGTAAGCAAAAATTGTTTCTCCGCGGCCGACGCTAGTTTCTTGAAGATTTATCACGCGAGATAGCTCTGAGAAGTATTATTGGTTTTCTCACATCGTAAAAACGCGCGGCACAGGCAGCCAGCGTATTTCCTCGATGCCGCGCGAGGATATTAACCACGCCGCCGAACGCCGTCGGAATGTTACTTAGAAATTCAGCTCAGAGCGCCGAAGAAATACGGTGCGCGATCAGCGAGCGTGTGCTTGCGCTTCCTCGCAAATTGCAAAGATAAGCGCGTCAATGGCGCCAACGGTATAGCATAAACACGATTGACGGCTGATGTGGAATTTCATTTTTCTTTTCCGCACGCGCAATTATAAATATTTCAGATAGAGCAGGAAAGTTATGCATCTCATCGGCGTTTCCACGGCAAGGAAATAACACGTTTTCTAATCGCGGATTTAATTAGCTGATCCGCTTTTAATTCGCGGTTAATGCAGGCGCGCAAGCCGGCTTTCGCAACTCAACTTCGGCAGACACTCGTCGTTATCTAAAATTGCCGACTGATCGATTCTCGCGTCCTCCCTCTCGGAAGAATTCACGTGCATAATTAGCGCCTCTTTTGCCGAAACGTCGAGGGCGCTGGGCGTATCGGGCTGTGACATAACGCGCGCCGATATCGGCGCCGCATCCGGTTTTATAGCCCGCGCTGCCTGTATAAATAACGCTCGGCGAAGCGTGTGCCACCGATAAACCTGCGCCCGTGCAAAACGCCTTTCACCGCATTATACGACAGATCTCCCGCGTAGCGCGCCCATTGTTTTTTCCGAATGCTCGAAAGTCGATATGGATGCAAATGCCGCCTATACGTAGAGCCTTTATTGAAACTTTTATTTTAACAGTTTTTGCCGAATGCTCGTGATTTACGATGCTTTTCTAGACCAGTTAAAACGTCATATTGGCCTCGATTGCTCGCGGAAAGTCACCTGCGTGTATGCGTGCGCGTGTCGGTGCGCTTCTAACATTCATGTGTCACGGGAGGCCATATTTTGCCCGTTGGAAGAAAGTGCTTTTGAAATTCGGGTTGAGTAATTGCCCGCAAGGTCTTTTTTATTTTTAGCGGCTTGCATCGGTGTCTCAATTTTTACGTAAGCACGCTGGCGAAAATAAGGAAAATCCGCTTTTTGTTTGACAGCACTCATGAATTGTATGAAATTGAATGATAAGATCTGCGAAAATAGCTAAAGCAGCGGAAATATGAGCGACACCGTTGAATTTGTCACCTGCACGTGAGAAATATATTTTTCGCAAGGTGTCGGCTTGTTTTTGCGCAAAGTGATATTGTCCCCCCGTGAGATATCTACATCTTAACCTCGTTGCCCCTTGTATTTTTTTTGACGCACGCGTCATAAATATGACGACTAGAGCGGGACGTAATTGAAAAAAAAACCGTTGTTGCGCAACGTGTTTCGCTCAAAAAAAGTTAGCGATAACTGCCGATGGTTGGGCTGAATAGAAAACAAGTGAGAATTTTGAATCGCTTTCAAGTCGCAAGGGAAGCGAAGGCGTCGATGCTCGTAGAATGAGAAAGGGCGAAGCGCGCGTGCGAATGAACACGACAGCACGTAATGTAAAAATAAGGTGTACGTATATTGGTAAGAAATTGGTTTGCGCCCCGCCATGCAATATTGTAATACTGCACTTGGCGCTGAGAGTTGAAGTTTTCGTAATGCCACGTGGCATTGTTATTTTTTCTTTATTTGTTTTGTTGTTCTCTTCTGTGTCGATCGATCGCTATCGTTTTCTTGGCACTTTTCACAATGCTATTGACTTTCATGCGGTGCGCCCAAGTTTCAAGGTTGCTTTATGCGAGTATACCTTTCCCATCGCAGCCAACGATTTCACCCATCACCGAGCAGAGCAAATTGTACCGGACGTACGTTTGTAATATCAAGCGGAAGAAGGAAAACTACCTCGACTCGATCGTTCAATCACCGATGATAATTTTTCCGGGCAACACCTTCGTTAATAGATCGTTGCCCGCGTATACCACTGTGAACAGTTCTGGTTGTCTGCTTGTATGTACGTTCTTTCCCTTCACGCTGTAACATTGTAGATGAGGAGCATTGATTTTCTTTGTCCATTTTATCGATCGTATTTTGCATTTACTTTATGAGGCGATAACCGGTTTCGAAAAATTTCGACGTATGGAACTGTTTTTACGAGTGCAATATTCGAAACAATTCATAAAGTCATCCTTTACGATCTTCCATCGCTATATCGCATGTGTTAGAGAGGTATTAAATTTGATCTCAGCTGCAGTCAGAGAAATTAACTTTTGAGCAGCTTCATTCAATTGGACGATGCTTTCAGTCAGGCAAACTTAGCAATAAATCGAGATGTGAAAGTTCACGTTGCTTATAAAATATCATTTACATCGCCGATATATTCATGCCCATATAAACTAACAAAATTAGTCTCACTGACGGATATGATAAATGACCAAAACAATAAAAAAAATACACTGTGAGTGTCGTCAAAGAAAAATTGTTTCTTTCCCACAAGGGAGATTAGACGACAGAGCAAACAAAACGCCTGCTAAGAACCGATAAAAAGTGTATACCCGACCGCGCAATTACTCCGAAAACAACATCGACTCCCCCATTTTCTTTCATCATCATCAACCTAAATTACAACGTACAGCGGCGCACCTGTAAAGCTGAGCCCCCGCGCAATTAGAAAAAGAACTAGGGAGCCCTATAACGAAACAAAACAACAATCAATGTCCCTCTGTTGCGCGACGATCATCTATTACACAAGCGAGCGAAAAAAAATTCAGAAGGTAAAGGGTATCCCTACCTCGTGCGGGGCAATGGAAAGGAACCGAGTTTCGCAGGGCCGCGCACTCATTTGCAAAAGCCTGCAGCGAACCTATTGTCTTATAATCATCCGTTTGCGCAGAGAAAGCCGATCTTGTCAGATTTATATGATGGCGCCAATTTACATCGATTTCTCGAACTTGCCGATCAATTGTTCAATTTGCGAAAGCAAACGCGAATTACGAGCGTAAGTGCGTACACGCCGCCGTAAGTTCTTATATGGAAAGAGGCTGTGGAACCCAACTTAAAGAAACATCCACACACGGATCGGAAATATCCAGAATCCTCTTCATCAGGGTTCACGTTTTAAAGCAAAAAATTTAGTTGCTTACAATAATTTGATCAAATATATCCATTTATGTTTTCTCGCAGAATGTGAATGATTTTTTCAAGTATCATGGTCAAACTGTATCTTAACACAATTACTGTAGACAAGAGTAACGTTGTTGGAAAATTTCTAAAAAACAACTCTAACTTCTATATTATCGAAAAATTTTGATTTGTTTATAATTGTTGGCCACAAAATTACACACACTTTGCAGAAAAAATATAAATGCAAATATTTTGTCAAATCATTATATTCAACTAAATTTTTTGCTTTACATGAATCCTGCTGCGGGGGATTCTAGATGTCCCCGAGGCGTTGACCAAAAATAAAAATTCAACTGCTAAGTCGCGTGTGGACATTTTAAAAATTTCAAACAATTATTAGCAATCCGAGAGGCAGCAGTCTCCTAGCTGTGTATTATAAAGATCAATTGAGTGCTTTTCCTTATCAAAACGAGAGCGTGCTTTTATAGCCACGTTTCACTGGCTACTTTCTTGTCAGTTTACTTACACTGTGTCGCTTATGGAAAAAAAATTATTTATGACTTTTCTCATAGCCATTTATAGGCCCACGTTCTCTCTTTTTCTCTTTTTATGCAAACATAACGGAAGTTTTATGAATCTTTGGTTAATTATTAACAGGGGACCAACTGCAAAAAACGATCACATAACTTTATCAAATCGCAATTACTTTTTATTCAATTTTCAGTTAAGATTTTACATATAAATTTTATCGTAAGCCATAAAGCTATTAATAGGGGGATTTATGGTCAATGCGAAAATTACAATATTTTATAGAACTTGTGTAGATAAAATATACAGTAATAGCACGTAATCACAAAACAATTACCATTGCGAAATGAAAATAAAGTAACGATCGTGTGAATGCAATGTAAACCTTCTGCCGAAGAGAAAGAAAGAGAGAGAGAGAGAGAGAGAGAGAGAGAGAGAGAGAGAGAGAGAGAGAGAGAGAGAGAGAGAGAGAGAGAGAGAGAGAGAGAGAGAGAGAGAGAGAGAGAGAGAGAGAGAGAGAGAGAGAGAGAGAAAGGAGTCAGCTAACGAGATCAAAATTGGTCAACGCGAAAATATCAGGTGGCCAGGCGACTTTGCGTAATTGCCAGGCAAATCGGCGCAATTTTACACCTGCCGGCAATTGTTAGGTAATTAAGGAGCTGGCCCGGCGTAATGGAGGCGTACGCAAGATGAAAAGTGCAAAATTACCGATGCCCGACTTGCTTTAGGAATGCCCTTAGCTTGCCGATTGTTAACATGCTTTTGATAATACGATAATATGCGACACAATCGAACAATAATTCCACTCGACCGAGCGGAAAATCGTCGATACTCCTACGATTCAGAGAAATCGTTAAAAAACAGATGCACGCTCGAAAGACTAAACAAACAGTTAACGGTTAATTTTTTTTTTTCGGTGTACACGTGCTCGCAAGCGATCTTTCATTATAGCATGCATTACGCAGCAACGATTAGTTCCGCTAATTACTTACGTTAACGCGACGTCAGATTCGCGCGGCGGTTGACGATGTGCGATCTCAAAATTGTAATTCACTTTTAATTACCCGATTTCTTCTGTTTAGCCAACACTGTCGCCACCAATGAACTCAACAGCAAGCACTTGACGGCGTAGTTTCGTCGCGCCATCCTGTAAGAAAAAGAAGCCTTTGTTAATTTAAACTGTGAACTCGTGGAAAGAAGAAAAAAATATGTTGTGATATGTTGTGATTTGTTGTGATACATGCCGTTCGATGAAATAGATATGGGCGCTCGATGAAAAGTGAATTAGGCGATATCTTTTTTTTTCTATCTAACGAAACGATTCATAAATAACTAATTGTATCCTGGAGCGGTGCAGAGAAACAAGGAAAGTCAGCGACTCGAGACGCGTACGCGTCGATGAAAGCTATATAGCGTAATATCAGCGAAATAAAAAAAGGCGTTCCACGCAGTAGACGCATGTGTGCTTACGAGAAAGTAGTGGAGCCCGAGAGGAAAAAACGAGTAAAAATTGAGTAGAAGGCGCACCGTGGCCTGCGTAGATAATTTGACGTGTAACAATGCGTTGAGTTCTTGCCGGACGAAATTTCCAAAGCCCATGACATGTGGAAAAGCCAGACTTCCGTCGCCTTTTTCCTTCGTCGAGCGAGCATGTGCAATATCGCCGAGATCGATAATTTTCGAAAGGCTCGCGCGACGATGAATTCTTTATAATAAACTAACGGCTACTTTCGAGCGCGAGCCCGTCAAGGACGTATTTATGCGCGGCGATCTGAAAAAAGGGAGTAGCGAGAACAACATTGTGTAAATGCGCGAGCAGCAGCTAAACGAATGCGTGAGCAAATTGCTATCTGGACATTCCAATGACTCGACTGAGCTTGACGACCGTACACCATCAAGGAGGTTACAAGCTTACGAAATCGCAACTACTGGCAAAAACGAGTGTTATATCGATTGTTGTGTGTGCGCGCACAGTTATGCTTGGCTAATGGAACATAATGCGCGCAACTTGAATGTCGGTTTGTTGAGATCGTGAATTTCTAATGATTGCAATAAAGCATAACGCGGCAAATGAAAAAACAAACAATTGAAAGGCATGCTGGGAAAAACTATTTGATAAAAATAAAATACCGGCTGCAGTGGAGCAAAATTTAGCAACGATGTGTGTGTGTGTGTGTGTGTGTGTCGATGAAATGCAAGTTGAGACAAATAATATAAGAGCTTTCGAAAGAATTGGACAAAGGTTATTTATGCTCGTAAAAATCTTTATACGATTGCGAAAGCAAAAGCTCTTAGCTCATGGGAGTAACAGACACAAGATCGATAGCAGTTACGAGGTGTGTGGGCAATTAAAGCTGAAATGTATACTACCTTCATAAAGATCACGCTGTCGCGGCTGATCAAATCGCTCTTTTCCTCTCTCGATTTCGCTATTATGTGTATGTGTGAGAGAGAGAGAGAGAGAGAGAGAGAGAGAGAAGATAGATTTCGTGTCGCAGCTTTTAACTATATATCTATATAGCAGGACTTCATTTCCGCGCCATTTGCGAAACTTCCTTGCTGCGCGTGCTACTACACTTCCCGTTAAAGCTCGTTGGCTTTCACGGCCAAGAATGGAGTATACTCGTATAGCGTAACGTTGGATCTTTTACACACACACTCCTCTCTTCGAATATTCGTGACTATGGAATAATCTCTATGATTTTCTGTTATGAAAATTCCAAGTGTATGCCAAGTTCCTAATTGGATGTTATTAAAAAATATACTTGTTTTATTTTTTTTATTGATGCTTAAAAATGCAGTGTTGAAAATCAGTGTCACTTTGGCAAGATTAATAAAATCAAAGATATAATTTACGGGCACTTTTTTAATGAAATCCAGAAAAAGATGAAAGTCACAGAACATATTAAAATGCTTGTGAATCACAGTGGATCATCGAAAAAAACAGCTAATGAAATGGAAAAGGTACCCTGACCAAAGTTACTATGTAACGATGTATTACTTACTTCTCGAGAGGGGGAGGAAAAGAAGAAAAAAAGCTCCAGCCGCAATCCAGGATGCGGACGAAACTCAACTGCAAGCCTATTCTTTCGTCTTTTTCCTCTTCAATGCTTTACAAGAAGGTGCTGCAATGAGCCCAAAATGTCGCTTGATAATCACACGTTTACGTGCTCGCGCATCTCTTTATCCGTAGCCGTACCTCGGCATTCGCATGCTCGCACGAAAATTTGTAAATTTTTTACATGTATAGACATCGAATTGTCAAAATACGCGATTGCAGAATCATTTCGTGCTTCGATGTAATGAATGAAGTAATTTTCCTGAGAAAACAAATGACTATACATGCCGTTGTTTTCTGTTGCTTGTTTTTGCTTTCAAATATCGCGCACTTTCTTTTATTGCCGCGACGGCGCATTATAATTGCTGATGTTTCGACAGTACAATTGTGGAGAAGCAAAACAACGAAAAAGAATTGTTTTCAAAGTGATACGGGCATAAATTATATTATGAATTCTGACGTTTCATCTTGAAGACCACGATATATCTTTATCTTATATGTTCTCGATGACAAAAAAGCAGTTCTGTACGAGAATGATTTTTCACGTGTTTGCACGAAAGAGAAAGGATAAAGCGTCGTGCGAGAACGAAATTGCCTAATGAATTCGTCTGCCAAAACAACAGCAGTGTCGCGAGCGCGAAAAAACAAAGGCACGCGACAGTGTGGAAGCAAAATCGCGATAAATGAGGACAATCCCGGCGTCGCGCACAATACCGCACACAACGATGGCTAATCACTCGGAGAACCGGCGGATTTGCGCAATGTGAAAAAATGAAGGGCCGCGTATAGTTGCGTCGCACGTTTCGTTGGTTGCAAGGCCGCGCACGGTTGATAAGCAATTACATAGCGTAAGCCGTGGTAAAAATAAACTTTGGGAACTGCAACGGCGCCTGCGCGATTGGCGCAACACATATCGCGGATAACGATCTTTTCATCGACTCTCCCATGGCTGCACTAATTGATTGTACAAGCCAAGGAAAATTGATAAAGTTCTTCTCTGCCCGTCAATTCGCAAATGCAAGGGAATAATAAAACTTTAACTGAGAGCGACAAATAACAATCACGATTGCCGACTTTAAAGTTCGTGCCTCGTGCCAAGATTAACATATTATCCAAATTGCTTTTAATCGCGCAGTCGCTCGTGTCTGTCTGTGCCAATAATTATGCCGCTTGGATTTTCATCGCACCATACTCTCCAATGGATTTGTAAATGATATATTTAAACAGTCTAGTCGATCTTAATAGCACTGCACTCATTAATTTTCACCGCCACATTTTTTAGCCCAAAGATTAAAGCTCGCGTAAATTGCTCAATTTCGCCTGCTCGCGGACGAGGAATGCTATTAGACATATCACGTGGAAAATTTTCAGGGGCGATGACATGCGTGTAACGAGCTCTCGTCATTTGGTTCGGGTATATATATACGTTGTGCAAATGATTTGGCAAAGCGTTGTTGGCACCGCGCGTGTATTAATGTTTTCACAACTTTTCTCTCGATCTTGTTAATAATTTATAAAATATGCGTTCGCGGTAGTAGCGACTTTGTGTGTGCCGTGACAATTAAACTGACACTAATTGGGCTGATTCGATAGTTGTCCGAAGTACATAATGAAGGCATTCATGTACGAAACCACTAGACCAACATTCCTTCCAGGTAGAGTCCTCTTGTTTAAATCAATAATTTACTTGCGAAACCAAGAAGGAAAATTACAATTGAGTTGCGCCATGAGATTTTCAAAATTTGCCATACGTGTAAAACCTTATCGAAGCTTGTGTGTACTCATTAAATTAGACAACATAATTAAGCAGGTGTTCTGGATCACACGCGTATACTTTACATATAATGCCAAGAATTTGTTGTGTGCACGTGCGTTGGAAGGCTGCAAAATTGAAAATCGGCTCAAGTCTAGTGTAGGGTTTCTACACGTAAGTAAGCATATTCTTTATTTAGGCTAATTAATCTAGTTCGACATGCGTCTAGTCCGTTTCGTCATACGCGCAAAGACAAGAAAAGAAAAAAAGAAATCATTCATTGACCCATATTTATTAATGGTATTCTCACGTGTAATTGCAATTTTTCAGTCAATTCGAAGGCGATTAATCAGAAAAAGTATATATATTCTTGAGCAAGTTGTGCCAAGTAAACAGAGCAATAAAAACCATGCCAGTTTTATTTAAAAATTGACAGATTTGTAAGGTAGTAGCGCCAAATTGCAAAGAGTTACGTTACACACACACACGACTGCTTTACGACGGTGAAGGTTAGCGCCGCCGCCGCCGCCTTAAACAAGTATTTTATTCGAAAAAAGAAATGCACTTGTCTTGGAACGTTTTTCCCATGAAATCGACTTACGAAATGGATATAGTCTGTGCACTGCAGGGAGGAGAAAATGGCGCGCGATACGTGCACCCGGCACCTTTTTTTCATGAATGACTTGTGAACCCTTTTTTTAGAAAGTGCAAGTAAGCCGACTGATTATAGATTAATTTTTTTTTTTTTTTGGAGCACGGATGATTCATTTTCTGATTTCAAATGCCGACACAAACTTTTTTACAGTAGCGACATTTTGTATTACGTCATGTGTACATACGCTCGTTAAGAAATCCAATTCTTTTTCGAAAGGAAGTATTATCTTCGCACGCTCGTTGAAGTGCATGATGAATGGTAAAATATTTCTCGAAAGGATAGAAAGTCGATAAGGTTTCAAACGTACAAGTATGCGAACGATCAAAAGATCCGATAAGAATTGCGCGTGATCGCATAAATTATAATGTCCATCAAAAAGTAGTCACGCAATTGCAAATTCGCGTAGCTTCTCAATTCACGTGTATCGCACCTTTCATTCTTGTGTTTACGTCGATTGATGCGTTAATGAAAGTCGCCTAAACGCTACTACTTCTGTTGCGGCATGACAAATATGCGTTCATACTTTACACTAAAGCCTTTTCTCTGCGTGTGAAAGGTTCGCGCGATTGCGTAATAAAATGGACGAAGAAATGCACCGATAACCTGCCGCATAGCTGTATCCAAATAGAAGTTATATATAATTACTATAATGTTATAATGCAATTATCTTTGGTCCGTTAGAGTATAATTGTCTGGACATTGACAAAAATCTGTTATTATTATTGTTTTTTGTTTGTAAAAAGTGAAACATACATTTTTCGACTGTTGCAACGTTGACCTTCAAAGTTTGACATTCCCCCACAATTGTCGATAAAGTACTAGTTACTTAATCAGCATTTGCAACAGATTGCTACTTAAGTAGCCGATCAAGCGAGTCGTCAAGTTTAAAGACACGCGTTCGCGTGGGGGCTGTTGCGTTGACAAGGCCCACCGTTTTCACTAAAGGCAGCTGCGATCAACATCATTTTCTATAATTTACGATGTAGCTGATTTTGAAGTGACCACGACGGATTTTATCTGGTGGAACTAGTTTGTTTACGCAGACCGCAAAAATTCTTGTGATTCCGCGCACATAGCCATTGTCCAGTGCGTAAGCGCAAGCGAATTCTTACGTTAATTTAGCGACCGCAATTATTGATTTTACTGCGGTTACTCGCCTTTTTTATCCTCTTACAGAGTTATTCGAATTTTTCGGTAGTCTACGTATGCTTTTTACGACGCGATTATAATAATTTTAGTGCGAAAACCTTGTTTGGCCACTGCACCTTGTTAGCTCGTAAAAATAACTGACTATTTTCAATTCCATGACTCGGCTGACTACCGCATCATAGACTTTGCTGACTGCTACATCATAGATCGAGAAAGCTATGACGGCCTATAAATAATCAGGGTGAATTACCTGTCAGAAAGAATGAATGCATGAAAAAAACTTTTGGTGGGAAATGTAAAACGAATACAAGATGCAGAAAAAAGTGAATGCAACTGGATAATACGATCCACACGCGTTGGCGGAGATTCAACGTCTATTTTCACTTTCATTATCACTGTTACTTTCCCCATTTCCTAGTCATACCATACGGTGTATATGTATCCGTGAAATGGGTTAGTTCGTTCATGCGCGGCAAATAAAACCAGCCCGGCCTTTGGTATACGTGACTACACGTACGTGAGATCTATGGAATTATTAGGTTTTCCATCTCATTTGCAATTTGCAAAAATTCTAATAAGTATTTCAGTGCGTTCACTGCAAGTTCTATTTATGACTGGACCAATTGTTTCCTCAATAATGCAAATAAAAACCAAAACATTTGAAAATAATCGCTTACAAAGAAAAACAATACACGCAGTTTATCGTCGAAGAAATTGTTAAAAAAATACGATTGATAAAATAAAATGAAAAATAAAAAAACATTGCTGAATATAAAAAAAAATGTTTTGGCATTCCATGGTATAATTAAAATAATAATATTGACATACCTTGTTAATACTTAGTCGTGATAAATACTTTAAAGCGTTCAACACCACTTTGGCACGTATCTAAGCAACAACATGTACCGCCAATAGTCACAAAATGTCAAATGAAAAAAATCAACAAGAGCGTAACACAAGCGCGTTATTCTATGTAAACGAACTTTCAGAAAATTGATTTATGTGGACGAGAGGGAGGGGCGCGCTCCCTTGCTCGTGCCAATTGTTGCTGCGACTGACTGAACGACAAGATTGTTAGAAGCAAGTTTATAAACTCCGCGGGAGAAAGTAAAGGGAGCTTATAGTGTATGAATGGTAGTGGCGGTGGCACCCCACGCCAACATCGCTGCCACGCCGTTCAAAAAGAGAGAGAGAGAGAGAGAGAGAGAGAGAGAGAGAGAGAGAGAGAGAGAAAGAGAGTGTGCCAGAGAAAGAGCTTCCAGATTCAGGGACCAGGGACGAGGGTCGAGTGAGATTTCTTAGGCTCGACCGCACGAATGACGAATAAACTGGAATTTGAATTACTCTTTACGCGAAATCGGCATTTTTCGACAGTCACTGCTATTTTCTCATGACTGTTATTTACGCAAATTTATTGGCGTTACGAAATATGTAATGCAAGCATTTTTAAAGCCGAAAAGATGTACTGTTATCATGAAATTACGATTATCTTGTCTTATCTCACCATGCCGCGATGTGCTGCTTTGATAACTCATGAATTGATAAATTAGAAATATTCTAAGATACGATCACATTTACAAACGGAAGTACGATAAGAAACACAATGAGGTGATTAATCAAATAAAACATTTGAAATTTGTGTATAACGGTAAAGGTACAAACATTTAGTAGAAGGATAAAAACTTATTTTTCAGTACTTTTGGGTGGCAACAAGGACGATCAGCTACTTGATCACTGGTTTCTTTTCACCTTGGAACATTTTGATAATAACAATCTCTCACTCGTTCTGTTTGGATGTGAAAAGAAGCAGTGGTTATTTACGATGGTGCATATCTTTACCTCAGCTATATATATTTAAATAAACTTGGATTAACTTGAACAATCGGTATCCGGAATGCATGGATTTACGCGGAAGTAGTAGGAGTTTTGAAATGTTCAACATTTTCTGCATCTATTAATTCGAAATTTTATGAGTTTATTGATCAGTGAATTCCTATCGAACATTCAAAGAAGCACAATTTTCTTGAGAAACAGACGAAAAATCGCAGTGTGGAATAGATTAAGTATTTTTTATTTTATTTTATTGAAAAATGAGTAACAGTGAATGATTAAAAAGTGTATCATTAGCCAATTCAAAACGATCAAGGCTGTGCAATTTTTCGTAGCAAGTAAAATACATTATGGGCGGGGCGAGGAGTAAAACATCTGCATACCAAGCAAACTGAGACTCCAACATAATCATGCAATTAGTCACCGTATCTTTCCCGTAGTTGTATGGTAGAGTTTATTGTTGAAACACTGGCGGTAAAAATATTTCCACGCACTATTGGTTAGGAGAACGTATATAAGAACGTGCGTATATATAACGCGGGCACGAAAGCAAGATTACCGTGAGAATTAGCTATTTCAGCATTTCAATAATAATCAGTGCGCGCGTCGCGTAACCAGCGCGCCTCAAGAGAGATGTTAACTTTATAATTTTGTCATTATATGTAAAAAGCCAAAGGCGCCGCTGTGTACTAGATCGTGAGAGAGAGAGAGAGAGAGAGAGAGAGAGAGACGATTTATATTATTCACGTAATGTGAACCGCGGCGTTGGCCCCGCTTGGATTTTCCGCATGTAAATCTAATGCTCTTAAGAGAGCCTCGTAGTAGTACCGATTCTTTCTGGTGGGTTGATTACCACTGAACTGGTGCGCGAAATTGAAAGTTATGTGGCAGCAGGCAGCGGGCTTTGCCGATAGTACATAGTTATACTTTCGTCAATAATCATACTTGTACCAACGCCGACGTTTAAGGTGTCAAGCTCAACTTTTATTCGGCCACTTTCACTCCCTGCCGCGTGTTCGTACACGTATACGCGACGTCCGTTTCTTTTTTCGACGGCCGGCTTTTTTTATTCTTTTCCTTTTTGCCAAACAAGTCATTTAGAGCGCACAGTGGGCGTGCGCTCGCGTCTCTGCACACGAAATTGAAACAAGTCAGTGAGTGAAAGGCGTTGATCGTCGCCTTTTCTTACGGCAGAACATACAAAAGAATGGTTTTCACGTCAAGTTATGTATGTGTGTACGTATGTATATGCACTTTTTATATCATTTCTATTCACTGATGTAATGGAATTGTGTTACAATTGTCGACTAGTCTACAAAAAAAGGGATTCTATCCTGGATTTCGAATGCAGTCAAAATAATTGTACATTCTTCAGCATTAAAATCTGCCTCTGCGTCGTTGTGTAATGTGCCGGTCGTAAAACTTTTTGGGCGATTCCCTTGGGCGCTATACTCGTACGCACGTAAAGTCTGGAAAAGAAACTTAATTAATTTGGTTAAAAAGGAGCCTGAAATAGATTAATTAGTTCACAAGGGGAAACCACGCCCGTGCGGTAGCAAAGCTCTGTAAATCAATGTGATAATTAGCGGAAGGGCACTTTTTCTTCTTTTGCTCTAGTTGATAAACAACCGTCGTCAAAGCTTATGTGTCAACTGCGTGACAAGTTGCAATTCCTCATATACGATTTTTCCTCGAAGTTCCATCCAGTTATGACGACAGTGTGGCGACAAAAGCAAAGCCCGTGCTGGTTATATTACATCCGCGCACTACTGGCAGAGACTACGCGCTCTCTAGTTATTTACCTTCTAATTGACATGTTGTAATCCGATCATTGCTGCCCTCGATTTTTCTCCACTCACACTCTCCTGCCTCAAAAAACTTTCGATGTAGACAAGTTATTGTATTCGCACGCGGACATCCGAGTGTAAAGTACCTCCAAGGTCGAAGTTTGGTAAATTACCGCATTTCTAATCTGATCTCTTTCACAAATCTCGTCTGACGTGTACACCATTGTGTTGCCTAAAAGCTCCATTGCGTCATTATCAAAAAAATTTAGTTGTTCTAAATCTTATATAGCTTTAAAATCATATAGTCTCTTCCTTCCTGTTGAATTAGACTCACGTAGGCAATCCACCTTCCCAATCATTCGTATAACTGCGTTAGTATCAAATCTTTTTACAGCTTGTGCGTGCACTTGAACGTGCCGTTGATCGTCGACTTTCTCGCCCCACAGGAATGCCGGTCGAAAATAAGAAAACTATAAAAATTTACACACACGCGCGCGCGCGCGCATATGAACAACATTCAAGTTCTCTAACACGCCATGCTCGCGCATGATTTTGAATTTTTTTCGTGTACGTATTTTTCGGTCTAATCAAGGTTGCGTTCGTGTATTCGTTTTTCGCGCGGCAAGAAAATTAGAACAAATTACACGTAGAAAAGTAAAATGATTAGCGAACCATGCACTACCATGGACTATTTAAGAAAATACAGTTTTTGTTTCACAAGTTAGCATGTAATATTATAGATAAATCCTGAACTTTTTGAAAGTCTGTAATCTGATTTATAAATATATAATGGTTTGTAATGGCTAATAATAACATTATTGATTAGTTAAGTTTTACATAATTTATTTTTACTTTTGATCAGCGCCGAAAACAACAAAGTTGCCTGTTGCTTTTCATTAATAAAACAAAGAAAGAATCTACAGATCTACATTTCTTAAAATTAGTCAGTCGCACTTCATGTACTGAGCAAAGCAGTACCTAAAAAATAAAGTCATCAAATCTAATTTAGCAGATTTAAACGTAGATGTTAATTTTTATATATAAATAAATACAGTCATACATCAACTACATTCGACACGCATTTGAGTTCTTACTTTTTTTCCAATAACTACATTGGAACTACAAACTATAGGATTGACAAGTCACTTTCGAGCGAATCTGAATTCGTTCACCATTCGTATGTTTTACATGTATATATAGTTATATATACATATATAGTTTATTTTCTTTTTGTATTTGCTTATTTGGAATGCGTTTATGTTGATTGCTTAGTCAAATTATTGTTTCATTTGTTTTTGGCAGACAGTTAATACAAATTTGATTGACATTATTGCAATCAGAAAATTTAACTATGTATTTTGGCAGTGCCTAATAGACAGTGAATAATACAATCGAATTTCAGAATTGACAAGTGGCAGAAGTAGAAAAGTATATTAAAAAGGTAAGTTAATTTATTAATGAGTGAAATAAATTTCAGAAATTAAAGAAACCATAAATTCATAGATATTCGAAAGCTTTTTCAATCAATAATTCTGGTTGTCATTGTCAAGTTTTTCATTCCGTTTTCCATCGAAGTAAAAAGCAAATAAAAATAAGTTTTTAAACGTGTTGTAATCATATCGATTATCCATTCAGTTAACAGAAAACTTCGCATTACGTGTTGGTATTCATTTCTCCAGTTCCTGTTTTGGCTCCTAGAATCAACAAGTGATTCAATCAATGGCCAAAAAATACACTATCTTCCATCACGTTGATCTCGGTCCGTGTCATACGTTCACCGAGATATTCGATGCGAAGAGTGACCAGTCAATCATGTTAATATTCAACGATAAGCTTTAGCCTTTTCTGCCCAGGCAAATAAATCTAAACTCGGTATCTTTTCGAAATTTTTACAGTGTGTCAATTCATTTCTGCAAATAAAAATGTTTGTATTATTATTCATATTCCTTTTAATTTATTTTAATAAAGTAAAATAAAATAATTTACCCAGCCTGAGGCTTAAGAAGAACATTAGGCTGCATCTTCATGATGCTATCACCGTTATCACAGAAAATTCGAGCAAGGGATACTTTTTTCAAAGTATTTAATTGATCTATAAAGTAATATTAAATTAAATTAGTAAAAAGAACCCAAATTCAAAATTTATTTTGGATCTAAAATGAAACTTAAACAGTTTTTCAAATCTTACCGATCGTGAATGGCTTTGGTTGATCAGCGGCGTCATAAAAATATCTATCTGTACGACGGCTTTTAAGGAATTGCATAGAAATGAGACAGCGGAAAGTTGGTCCTAAAATGGCGTCTTCAATCGGTCTCTCAGCCATACCTCCAATCACAAGATCCACATCATCCGAACGCTTGTATAAAACTCGCAAATTTTTCACCATCTACAAATATAAAGTATAGTGTTCGTATTTCCAACAATTTTATATGTCATGTCCATTTCTCAAATATATATTGTACCTCGACAGGAATATAATCCAAAAAGTCATCAAATGATTTGGCAGCACGTAGACCACAAAGTTTTCGGTACTCATTGTATCCCGGAAGACCATGATCGCGTCCTCGTTGAATGTCGAGGCTAATTTGATCTAAGCCCACCTCGCCTTTGGTCTTATAAAGCTGGTGCGTTATCTATCGAAAACAGAATAAATTTTAATAAATGTTTCTCATTGGTGATCTTTTTTTTGTTAAAAAGCAAGGTAAGACCTACATCGGAGACCAAGTGTATATCCATTTTTTGAGCAGTCTGAGTAGCAAGGCCTCGTATGAGGCCATCGAATAGGCCACTCTTTTCGATTGTCCGTGGCTTGTAGAAGTAATCCGAAAGACGTAGACTATCGTTGATCAACCTGTCATTATCAGTTACACTGCAATGAAAATGATCGATAAGCAATTGTATTCAAAATTTAGTTATAAATTGATTCTATTGTTAACTAACACATACCTAAGTTTCCCTTGCTTCAGGGATTGAAGGAAACGCAGAGCAGCTGTGGCTACATCATTGCTCACAGATGGGTCGTTTGGACTGTATGGAATGTTGCTGTAGTTGGTTGGTACAGTGAGACCGACTGAACGTGCGAAACGTTTGCCAATGACAAGAGGTAGCCACTCGCTGTAAGTAATGTGTTGGATTTCGGCGATAACGATTCGCCGTGCTTCTTGATACAAAGTCTCGTCTGACCATTCGGGATTGATTACCGCAAGTTTATGAGCTATACGATTGTGTTCGCGAACCCAAAGGGTATGCATCACAGCCGTTTGCGGTTCGGCATTGGAACGATCATCACCTGAAATGCATAATTAAATAAATTACTTTTTCGTAAATGAATTTTTCATTTAGTTTTGTAATTAGCGACTCATTTGTTATATATTTTTTCACCCGCTATCTTATCGGAAAAATCGTGAAGGCATGATTTTTTTATTCGATTTATTTCATATCACGTCTATCTTATCGCGAGATTAACAAATCAACGAGAGGAATGACGATTTAGTTAAAAGTAGTGGTATTATTTTCTCAATACCTTCTAATGTTTTTTTTATCATTACTCGTAAGTATGCACTTTGAGAAAATATGAAGAAACGAGTTAGCTTACCAGATAAGTAACAGTTTTTCGAATTGCACAACGATGCCGGTGCTACGTGTGCGACCGGCATAAAACTCTGGTTATTTCTAGTATTTACTCGCAATAAACCACCTTCGTAAGCACGTATCTCACTGGATTTTGTTAAGACTGAGCCGTAAATAGTCGAGCCATCTAAAAAGTGGCTTACTTGATTCATCTGTAAACACAGAAAGAAAATTTTTAATCGAATTATGCACTGATTAAACGTATTGCGCATGAATTTATGATATTTACTTGTTCAGCTGGGCCGAACGAGCAATCAGACTTAAGTACTGGCATGGATCTGACATAATTAAGGCAGCGAACGCGATGTTCACCATAGTCTGGATCATTTTCGGCGACTGGAATCGCAGCGCAGTTTGGATGAACGTGGCGCGGCAAGGGCCATTGACCGTCATCCCCACAGCACGATATTGGTTTTCCTGTCCATACTAAAATACAAACATAATAATGGTTAGATTTGTAATACTCAATCGTTACTTGTACTTCTGCACTTTGCAACTTACTCATTTTCCGAACTGGAGTATAAGATATATCGTGCGAGGCAAATTGCGACCACTCCATCACGGCAAGCGTCTTGGATACTTCGGTTCTATCACTTTGACTGGCTAAGGCGACGCTAACAGCTCGTGGATTTGGCAGTCCATGCACGCCTCGTTCCTTCTTTGGCATGTGGATGCCTGGACACAGAATAAAAATTAGTTTCCATTCACCATAATAATTTTTCGTTGATCAGCAAAACGGAGTAATATTGAGTCTACGTATAGTTTGTATCAACTAGTACACAAACTTTCATCAATAACAAATCAAGCTAAGAAGCCAAATAAATATTTAATTAAATCACTTTCAATTAAAATTTCATATTACTCCGGTTTGGATGATTATAAAAACTAGGTGATATCATGCAGCGCGAGAGTGAATATATGGCGGCGCACGATGATCTGATTTTGATGGGTATTTGTAATTAATTATTAAACCCTAAACATGAAACCTAACGCTAAAACGCTCTTCCATATCCTAAGAATCCTCTTATCCTCGTCAATCTTCCATCCACACACGGGCCTCCTGATCTGCATAAAGCTAATCAAAAAGTCAGATCATTTAAAACTACAAAGCTGTCATCGTCTAGTTCGTCGCTCAAATTTGAAAACTTCATCAAAATATTTTACTGTACATGTATTCAACTTTACAATAAATTGGCAATATTTTTCATTTTTTAGTATAATTACGACACTTGCTTCGTAGTTTTCGTTAAATAGTGCGTATATCATAGTAGTCATCAGCTCTCGCGCTGCAATCAGCAACATTACAAATAATATCTTGTACTGAGCAAATTACTGACGCCTCGAAGATTCTGAAAATTCGCACAACACTGTCATTTCAAAGTTGCGATCTTTGTTCAAATTGTATAATTATGTAAAGCAGATCAAATCTTCGAGTGTCAATTTGCTCGTTCTAAAATGATAAACCGCGACCCGCGTACCGCTAAAAATATGTGAACAACGGTTCCAAAATCGATATCGTTATATTGTGTATATAAATATATATGATACTTATATACTTTAGATAATTAAAGGTATATCCGAATTAGGTTACATACACGTGTCTACTCCTGGATAATCTCCCGATCGGGTACCACCCAATCGAATAGGCAGTATTTTTATTTTTTCACTGCTATCACTCGGGACATTTTATGCACTATGTGCCTTTTAGCGCACAACAACTGTAATGCAAACCACATGAAAATAATATAATTTGTTGAGCCAATTGATGAACGTTTCAATATCTCACTTGGCGTTACGTAGGATTGAAAGGAAAAAATGATTCGGACAAATCACGAGTCTATTTTGAAGCTATAATTCCACTTCAGTTTTCGCATTTACATACAGGAAGTATTTTAAATATTTTTACCGTAGTTAGCATGGTACAATAAGGAAGTTACTATTTTTAAATAATTTATTATGAACAAAAATTACATCATATGTTTTATTTGTTCACAATATCTTTTGGTTCAAGTGACTTTTTAGAAATGCTTTAATAGCTTCGTTGAAATCGTAAACTGAAAGAGAAATTTTTGATAATGGTTTTGTATGAAAATAAAGGAAAGTGGAAACAAGGATACGCCAAACGTTCAGAGGCTGGAAATAATGATTCGATTATTAAGTCTTTGCACAAACAATTATAAACATAACATAGTTAACAAAATTGAATTACTAATAATCTTTTTTACTATACCATTAACGTTTATACTTTGATTTCATTCAAAAAGTTTTTAACATTAAAATTGAGCATATTTTTATCAAAAATATAATAAAAAAAAATAAGTAAATAAATAGCACAAAGAAAATGATTCGCAATGCTAATCATAACATATTTTTTACTTGAAAAACATCAAAAGATCTGATACATATAAAAAATAGATATTTCTATATAAAAACCAAAAATTACATTAAAAAACATAAAAGGCAATTGCCTTATTGTTTGAAATTTCTGCTCTACCAAGAACTGTAAAGTAAATTTGGATTATGTTGCATTATATAATCAGCTGACGTTCGCTGCTCCTTTTTTTTGTGACGTGGGCTTATAAACTCGAGTAAAATTAGTAACAGTAGATAAAATTAATCTAGATTGTTTCATAATCTTATCTAGAAAGATCTAAATCCAACAAAATGTGGATACCGTCATGTTTGTCTGCTGTTACTTTACAAAAATATCACCTATCCGCATATGATAACGTCAAAACATGAATTAATACTTACTGCAAAATTATTTACCAGTTATCTCGTAAAGCAGATATTAGAGTTTTTGTCGAAATTATTGATTAATATTATGCAAATATTATTAAAAACAAGATCATAAGAAAGGTAATTTGAACTATGCAATACGAGCCTTTTCTGATTGAAACTGGTAATTACGAAAATGTGATTTTAATGTTATGTAGATGGATGTGTCATATGCGTTCACAATTAAAAAATGAATTAAGAATATAATAAATAAGCCATCCCTCTTACAATTGGAATCTTTTCTCAGTAAAAATAATGTTCTGCGATTAATATAAAACTAACAAAACGAGAATTTTTCCGAAAAAAGATTATACTACTTTGTTTGATTTTCAGGTCCTGATCTTGAGTATATGAGTATGAAGCGTCGATTAAAATGTAGATTGGATTGTAATGTATATATTTATTTGTAATAAATATATTTAACTAAATGAAACTTACGTCTTAAGTAAGTCAAGTTGGTGAATGATGTAATCAAAATCTATAGGATATAACCCATATTTAGTTGATTAAAATTATTTTTTTTTAATTATTATAAAGATTACTTCAACTCCAATCCAATCTATTACAATCTGTTATTCTCAAAATAGAAGAATTTAATGATAAGCGTTATAATTGATGGTATCCGTTTTCAGCTGTGAAAAAAAATGTTATAATAGAAAAGTGGATATTTTTATTTTACTTAAACGTTTTCTCGCAATATTGTCTTGTTATTGATCGAGATTTTTTATAAGAATTATCATTGTAGCCAATAAAAAATCCACAGTGTTACTATATTAGTTTAGTTCTTGAAAATTCTCCAAGGGTATGAAAACAAGGAAAATGCATTTCCAAGGAACTCCATCGAAAATCTCCAAATCAAAAATTATGGAAACAGAATTGCTTACCGTCAGCATAATTGGGAAAGAGAAGCCTGCCATACGCGGTGAATGCACTGCCCCACTTGGGATTTTGTGGGTTGTTGCAACTACCGTCAAGGGTGCGGTATTTTGACCCAATATCACAGTCGATATTCTGATCAGAGGCACACGATGCTCCCAATGATGTGCCCTGAAGTTTGACCGTCGAAATGTAACGGGCGCATTCAACAGCATCCAAACCGTATCTAAAATTATAAATAGTTAGGATAAATTAATATAAAACATATTTTACTCAACAAGTTATTGATGTTTGTTGAGAAATAACTCGATAACATCGGTATATTACATTTTTTCTTCCTTGTTGATATGGAGTTCAATCAAGGTCAATATTTTATACCATTGATATGATATCTCGTTAATATAATTCAGACTTATGGATCTTATCATTGATTACACATGAATAAAATTGCTTAATTGAATATTACATTTTTCACGATAACGAAAACTATTGCATGAGTCATACGAAATTTTGAAATATTCTGTTAAAGAATTCATTGAAAATGTTTCAAAAATTATTAACAAAAAACAAATAAATAAATAAATAAAACAAACCTAAGACAGTGCGCCTGAGAAAGCTGTAAGGAAGCGCCAATAGCGATCATTGCATCAAGACCCTTCTCGAGAGCCGCGTCATTCGGATAGTAGTACACAAATTGACTATGTGCTGGACTATCTTCTGCAGGTGTAATTTCGGAGTTGACAAGATTCGCTTCGATTCTCTCCATACGATTGATATTTTCATTAGCGAAGGCAATCGAAGCGTTAATACTTCCTTCATCGATGGCAGGTAATGTCTTTCCAATGAAAGCGCCTGAGTCGATAACTAACGGTTGACCGGTTTGCCATGGTAAGTCTGCGATAATGAATCGAAAGAATTAGTATAAATTTATTAAAAGTAATGCGAACGGAATGGAATTGAAAGTGAGATTACGTTTACTGCCAGAATAGTAGTTCTCAAGGGTGAAGGGCAACCTGAAGGCACCTATATAAGTTTGTGGACCCATTGCTTGCAGGAACACCCATAACATTGCTAACGTTGCTACCGATCCTGCCATTACTCCTCCAGCTGCAAAAAAATACGAATAAACGATCGTTAATTTATGGATGAAATATGTTGAGACACTGATGAATTTTAATTTTTTTTAGTCACTTCAACCGACGGGTTTCATTTAATTTTTCTTAAGTTGTTTTAATTGCTGGTTCGCAATTCAAATGATAGCGAGCTCATGTACTATTTCCTCGTTGCGCGAACGCTCATATCAAACTGACGACGACTCTCGATATTTAAGTACGAAAGAAGTAAAGCGTCGCACAGCCGTGTGCAACAAATCTATCTGTTGCTCGTGAAATATAGTCGTCACAGATATTGTATAGTGTGTCAGCGGTACCTATCTGTGACTAAGTCAAGTAATAAATCTGGGGAGTGAAAGAGAAGAAAAAATATGGAAGAGGTATATGTACACACGTGTTATACGACCTCGCTTACACGTGTTGTACTCAACGTTTCTGGACAAAAATAAGCATTTCGTAAATCAATAACAAGTAGCAGCTTCTTTTATCTTTGCTAAATATAGTGTGGATACTTGTGCGAAACAAGTTCGAGAGGTATACTATTGTTGCAGGTTTTTCATTAATTTGTATTCCTTATTTGGATGCTTATATTCGTAAGAAAAACGATAAATGAAAGGTTAAATAAATAATGTTATTATCCAAACATTAAGGTCAAATTTATTTCGTTCCTAAGTACTTTTCCATTTGCTAATTTTTGAGGTTTCGGCAACTTATAGAATTTCGTTCCTCATTAGCATTCCGCAGGAGTTGTCGCACACTGCATATTTACATTCAGTAAAACTTGTATATGTAAGCGACGTCTATTTTTAACATGGCTAATGAAAAATACATACATTTGTCATTTAACATTGTGTTTTTGCAAACTCGAGTCTAGACGCTGGACACACTTTAATGCGCATCACACTTGCCGACGTAAGCTCTCGGCTGTGATTATTTTTCTATTTTTAAATTACTCAGATAATACGATTTTTTTTCGTAAAGACACTTATACGAATAGAATGGTCAAGCTAATTTAATGTATTACGATTGACTAATTTCTTCATATAGGTTGTATATATGGTTACGTTACACAAGATGGTAGATTCGCAACTTGTATGTATATAAAGCAGTTTATTTATTCAGTTTTACATTGTACGACGGTTTTTTGAATTGATAATCAAATGAATTAATGAAAAATAATATCTACGTGGATAAGTTTCCGCAGATATTTTATGATTTCTTGTAGAAAGACTCAACTATAATGTGATGTTAACGGACAATTTTTACACTTGAAACACCGCAATTAATTTTATACGTATCTTAACAGCTATACCACTATTAGTATTACTACAACTGCCAATAAGCCAAACAAGTTGATAAATCAACGTTTATTGATCGTATAATAACGGTATAAACGACAACGACCTGTAATAACCATTCCCGACTAGTGATTTTTCTATCGACAAAGGTCACTCACACTCTCGTTGGCAGCAACCAATGGTGCGCCGTCTTAGCGGAAACTTATGGTATTAGCAACAGTGGAAAATTACTGGAACGATGCAGTGGTTATATTTCCGAAAAAGGAAGACGCACAATAACTGATGGTCCAAGGACATCAACACGCGACAACAGTATAGACAATGATAATGTGGATCAAGGTTAAGTTTTCGATCGATTGTCCATGCCGAATATGCACGAGACTTTATTATTATCCGATTGTAAGTGACATTTTTCGTTTGAAAATATAAGAACTTTTACACAACAAAGTTGCATTACCGGAAAGATGATCCATCGGTTTCTCTAAGCCGTGCATTGTGTACATCCAGCGATTACTATTTAGCGACACAATAAAAATCATTATTCTTTTCGTAATCCTTCAGATCCACCACCTCTCCGGTGGAATATCAAGGCACTTTCACCCAAATATTTCTGCACAGCACGCACTAAGCCAGTGTCTTTCTAAAACCTTTTGTATCTACGCAACTTGTGTAAACAGAGGCTACACAAATCACAAGTTCAATGACTTTTTGGCAAAATTTCACTCGCATACGTGCCACTTATAAATTTGCCAATTTTTGTTTGCACATTGAGAAAATAGAGGTACAGACGCAGCTCCGAAAAGCAATGTATAAACAGTTAAAGACTCCAAGTCGGACTGACTGTGTTTGTGTATGTATCAAGCCAACGATCCTCCCTTTCGTCCATCCGCTGCTACCGGGCCCCCGCAGGCCATCCCCACCACCTGCCGCTCTCTCGACGGAGAATAAAGAAAAGAAGTTCTATCACTCACCGAGCACGTGTTCGCTCTCTCTTTAGCTTGTGTTGTGCATTTAGATTTCTTGGATTTGCAGTTGAGGTTAAGTTCAACTTATTCACGATGTAATTGACGTGTGAGTTGCTTGATAATTATTAAGTGCTCAAGTATTTTTAAAGGTGATATTTAATGCGGTAAGTCATTCTTGGTTATGTGACGTGTTGGAAGCGATGTTTGAATTTGTAGTTTATGTTTCATTTTAGAATGCGCCTGCGCATAGGCTGACACGAAGAGTTCAATCAAAACAAACGCAAGCAAAACAACACCGAACATACTGTATATTATATATTTTATCGTAGTTCAGTTTTGTTTTTGGGGAAACAGCAGGAATGTTAATATTTTTAAATAAAGTTTTATTTTAGAAGAATGTATAATCGTAGAGTTTCCAGTTAATCTATGAAGTGATCAATTGAATATTATTCTCGCAAAATAATAAAACATCAGTTAACATTAAATCTTTTCATCCTCTCCTCGACTTTTACACACAAATCCGTATATTCCTCCAACAGAATATTATAAAGCAGCCTTTGTAATGGACCGCGTATCATATAAAAATCAATAAATCAACCTCTCTCGTCCCGTTCTGCCTCTGATCCACTGTTATTATCAATATTCAATCACCCACAGTATAACAATGAAAAATTCTCACCCAGGTATGATTTTTTGACCTTGTCAATCCTCTGTAGATTGCCGCAGATGAGTCCGAGTGTGTCGTCCTCGCTCATATCTGCTGAGCTTTCCATTGGGAACATTCACACTCTCCTTGCCTCTATATATACTCGCCTTGCTAATTCTATACCTCTTTGTTATTTGGTGTGTTTAAATTGATTGCGAATATAAATCGCGCGTCTCGTCTTTGCTCAGACGTCGATAAATGGACAACTTTTTGCTCTTTTTTCTTTGAGATAAGACAGAATGGGTATATAAGTATGTATATACTTATATATATATATATTATATATATATATGAATGTTCCAGAAGCTTAGCTTGGTCGCTCGACGCTCGACACCAACTCGACACAGAATCAGCACAGGCATAGCCCCTCGGTAACGTTACGCTACCGAGACAGAACGGGAAAAAAAGTATTGATGTACGCATGCGCCTCCGGGCAACATTTCTCGTGTAGTCCGCGCGCATTATTGACCTTATTTGAATTTTTCGTGATTATTGTTAGGAAAATTGGATTGTGATCAGTGATATGACAATCGTTATGCTCTACCGTAGCATGACCGAGTCTATTTTGAAAAGCAATCTGTTTCTTTTTCTACGAATGTTTATATTTATAAGGACGTTCACACTTGACACATTCTGTGCCATCCATATTTCTGTTTGAATCTGTTTCATTCGCAAGTTTATTTTTAGCGCGACCAGTAAAATAAAAATAATTTGTAACTTGTCTCGGTAATGATATCACTTTGTAGTTCAACAAAGAATTTTTAAATATATCGACACGCATTGGATGCCATTGGGCGTGAATATCCACATTAATCATGTTGCAGAGCGTGCACAATTCACAAAAGAACGTAGATATCGAGAATACAGCGAAACTGTGCGTGCAACTGGTCAGACGAGCACGTGATAGGCACGTGAACAAGTATATAAATGCTGCAGGCGCACGTACACACTTACATATTTCCCGTTACCCCACTGTTACGCGCGCTTGTAATTTGCCATGCTGCGGAAACCAACTAATTATTGTTCTTGTAGAATTTAGGATGGTTTATAAGAACATTTTAGTTTAATATAAATATTACAGGCAAACACATTGAGATTCCAATAATGTTTGTACACTTTAGTTTTCGAAAATCAAGCTGCGATTATACTTTTGTAGTCATTTTTAACGAAAATGTTATTAATTGATAAAATTTCAACTTCACAATTTGTTAAGTTGAAAAAATGATAAATTAGTTAAAAAGTTTGAAAATCAGGACATCTGTGATCTGAAGAAAATATTAGTTGAAAGCTGCCTTTTATACCATTGGCTGATAAAGTTGTTCTCTTTGCTAAGAAGATATATATAATTATTTGTACTGCACGAATTGTTGCCGAAGTCCATAAATAAGTTTAATTTCTTTTTTTGCTTCACTACATGTAACGTTTCATAAAGTATAATTTTTATTATTAGAAGTTATAAAAAAAGTATGAATATATTACGAAGTTGCATATGAAAAAATCACACACGTGAGCTGTATAAAATAATATATCGACGAATATAGCTATTAGGATAAGCATCTGTACTCATTGATATTATTTGCAGTGTAAGTGAGGCTATAATAATGAGAAATAATTTTGAATAATTTATAATTATTAGTGTAAAGGCATATAGGACGAAATCGGATAAAAAAGCGAGATAATTCAAATAATTGATTCTGGTTGCTCTCCGAAAATCTATAATTCTATCCAGCTTGCTTGAAGGTGTTAAAAACTTGAAAAATGTTTGTATTTGGACTTTTGTCTTTGTACCGAATTGTTGCCAAGGGACATGTGGTCGAGACCCAGCAATGATGTTTTAAACGAAAATCGCTTGATGCTTTCGTTGAGAAATAGGTACAAACACTTTTTTACGGCAGTGGAAACTATTTAATTATCATCCATCGAGTCGTTTGCACTTGAATGTTTCAAGCTGAAAAATCTTAAACGGATAAACTTACTTTTACAGCAGCTGTCGATGCATTTACGTGTCCGCAAAGATGAAAACAATTGGACAGGATGGAAAAAATTGAAAGAGATGAATTTTCTTTCGAGACAGATAGTTTTAGCTGGGACAATGAGGAATCTACTGAGAGCGGTCAGCAGCAGCAAGATGCTTTTATATCAAGTAGTGAATGATCATTGTTATCTTATAGGCCTTCTGCTTCTGCTCGTGATTTGTAAGCAGTGGTAACAGCGCGTACACTTTCAATACCCAATGAAACTTCTCTATCTTGTTGACTGTACATCTCTAAATGATTCAGTGGTTTCCCCTTTGACCTCCGCCTGTCATTCATTTAGCAATTGCATCAGGGCGTGCTTTGCTTTTGCTGCGTTAGAAATATTTAAAAACGTGATCGCGCGATCGATTTTAATGCATGAACTGCTCGGCCGATCAAGTATCAGAATAATGAGATCACGAACTTCAGCGCACAAACACTAACGGTTTAAAAAAAATAATGTGGTAATTTGTAAGCACGATAAATTCTTGGTATATATTGCAACGCCGGGAATACACGTTAAGCATTAAACGTACAAAATATTAAAGGCTCAAAAGATAGATTGAGTGATTGCTCGGTTGTGTTATAAATAAATAAAGGCACAGTCTTGATACGTATAAAAATTATATTTATATTAAATCTCAACAATACTGTTATCATCGAGGTCGATGTTTAAACAATCTAGAGATTCGTATGAAAAATCTAATAGGATGGGCACATAATTACAAAATGAACTGTAGAATTGATTGATACGTCTTCTAACTATCGATCTATGTAATATTTACAATGAATGAGTCTCACTTTTGAGAACACATATTTAAAAAAGTTTCTAAGGTATCGTTTATCACAATCAGGTCTATAACGTAATGTGGGAGACCGTGACGCAAGTTTTAAGCTATAGTTAAGAGTTCGCGACGCTGTTTTCTTATACGATAATAGTTTTCGTATAAATAACTTATGAAGCTTAAAAATCTAAAAGGTTGCTCTTTGGCGGTTTTCCATTAGCAGGCCTTTTTCCTTGGTAGAACTATAACTAGTGTCGAACATACTGAAACAGACCAAAGCGATCAATAATTCATTTTTTTCTTAATTGCATGGTCCAGTCATATTAATAATTGCTTTGAAATAAATACCTAAACAGACAGACCCTATCATAATAAAAGGTCCTAAGCAGTCCAATTCGAACAGAACTGGGAATAATAAGTTTCCTATAACTGCTCCCATACGGCCAACGACCATCGTCACACTGAGGGCCATAGTTCTGTAAAATTACCATCAGAAGCTCGGTTAATGAATGGTTTTTTCTATGAAGGCGAAATATCATATCCGTCAAAGAGATACTTACCTCAGAGCAGTGGGGAATATATCCACGACAATGTTATTTACAATTGAGCCTCCAATACTTGATAACGCCACGAACACAGCAGACGTATAAAGGATTCCTTTTGAATTTTCTGCCCAATAAAGGGCACCGCAGCAAACGCCAGCTCCGGCGAAACAGATCACTGCAAACATGCCATTATCATGTGAAAATAACGAATAATTTGCAAGCGATTTTAAAAATTTACCACTTACCCATCAAGATCCTCTTGCTAATAATGTTGACTAGACTCTTTGCGATCATGTAGCCGATAACCGACGCAACTGATATAACGATAGCGTTGATATACACTTTCGAGTTGACTACGTTCTGGAAAAACGATTCGCAAATTTAAACAAAGTAATCGTAACTTTATTAATTTTCAAAAAAAAAACGTACTTCGATACAGTGGGGTTCGGTGGTTGTAGTATTAGATACCGTTGAATTCTGATAAATCGCGCTGCCGATTTTGGTGCACATCGTCGTGGCTGGTCCATTAGCATGGTTTTGATCGTAGGTTTCGATCATGGAAAACAGCATAGGCATCCATAGCCTTAAAGTGTTAGACCTGTTTTGGAAAATGTCAATCGATTAGGAAGCATATATGGCACAATTAAGGTTCGGGGTTCGACAAATACGATTAATATCTTACCCTATCGTGGCGCCGCATTGGATGAAGGCAGTTAGAACAAGTGTTATGACGTTAGGTGGAAGGAAAATTGGCTGTATTTGCTTCAAACTACCGATGAGAGTTTGCTTAAAGCTAACACCTGTTATCTTTATTGACTCTTCTTCCTCGAGATATTTAACCTGTGAACGTTCAAATATAATTAATTAATCCAAAAGTTTGTCAAATGAAATCGCATAGTTTTCATGCGTACTTACGGGATAGGTTTCAGGATCTTTTCCAGTGTTGATGGAGTAGATTTTCTTAAAAACGGCAAGTGCATCGTCATGACGTTTTTGGGCAATGAGATAACGTGGACTTTCGGGGAAAAAGCACAAAGCTAAGCTTGCGGTTAAACCAGGTAGCGTGCAGAGAGCGAGGAACAATCTCCAAGATGTTATCGTCAGCGATCCATCACCGGAACCCAATTCCCATTTGTGAGGTATGATTAGCCATGCTAAACCTAAAATTTCAACACAGACGATTAAACCGCGATATTAACAACGTAACTATTTGGACCTTGAGAAAATAGTTTTTGTACAGCATAAAATTTCAACTATACACAATTTATGTAATAATGCTTTATAAAGCTAATTGCTCGTTATCGAAATACGAGGAACCACGTTGAAGATAATAATAATGATGATTTAAAAAATGTTGATATCGGTAAATTTCTTCAACGAGTAATAAACGCGTTAACAGCATTATTGAAAAACGCGAAAACAAGTGCATTTTGAATCAAGAGAAGTGCGTGTTTGCCGAAATATTTTCCACGTCACCACGTGTTATCCTGAGAAACGTGCCAGTTACTTACACGACAATGAGATATTGCCAAGAGCGAATAACACTCCCAGCCACATGTACATTTGAGCTCGGAGTTGTGTGCCGTGAATTTCCGCCAAGTAAGATTGCAAGGCGGCGTATGGTCCCGAGATGCTACATTGGCAAACAATCAATTGTTAGTTTCTTCATTGTTGATGTACTTGACAATCGATCGGAAACTGTAAAATACTTACACAATGCCATCGATCAATTTGAAGAGAACTAGTTGCCAAGATGCCTGACTAAAACTACTTGTGAAGTTGCACATGGCAGTGACTAAAAATCCATAGACCATAATATGTTTACGACCAAATGCATCAACCAGGAATCCCCACAGAAACGATGTTATAATCATTCCTGAAAAACGAAATGAATTCTATTTCATTAAAGATATGCAATGGATTTTTCATTACGTAGAAGCTCATTATAAATCGCTTAAAACTGCTATATAATATTTATCAATACCTGGACTATTTTTATCATTCTCGTGAATACTTCAATATACACTCGAAAAAAATATTTACCCATCGTAGATGACGATTCACTTCGATAACGAATCACGAGAGCGTCGCGCAAAAAATATGCTTTACTATTCGTTCAGTAACCGAAATGAAATATTACTTTCAATTTATCTTGAACTAAATCTGAAAAGTAAACTGTATCAAGTGCAGTGACATGTTGATATGCGTCATATAAAGTTACCGTTTATTCTGATATAACGATACATAGGCCTATCTTGAGGATTTTTTCATAACTGCTACTATGCAAAAAGTGTTATGAGCAAACATTATCATGTTATTTTTTTTATCATTTTTTAGATTATCATCTATTTTAATCTAAATCAATGATTGTCAATCGTATCGCTAGTATATGACTATCTATTCTATCGAAGAATATTATATGGCCACTGTTTTTTAAAATTGCTTGAAATCTCACGCGCGATGTGACAAAGCCATTTACGTAATTGCTGTTGCCAACTTTTTATTGTCTGATCCGACAACAATAATACCGTACGTTCAGTGCTAAGCCGATCGGTTCCAGATGAGAACAGCGGATGTTCAGGTTACCAAGAAGCATTAATACATCGCTAACCAATAATCGTCTACTTATTGTGCTTCTTGTAGAATAAAGTTCTAGTTACTCTGATAAAACGTTGATTCTCCTTATCTATGTAGCGTTGCAATTGAAAAATAAATCCAGTATGTTGAAAAAGAACTTTAATTATCTAATGCTACTATTAATTAAGCTTCGGATCAACAAGTTTAGTATATAAAATCTACTTTAATTTCTTATTGAACATTTATTTTATTGCAGTTTAATTTATTTTTTCATAAATTTTAATGGTCGTCAAAAAGCACTTTATCTGTTATAAATTATCCCAAATAAAAAGCTCACCTGCAAAAGACATAGAATTGAGCAGACCCTTGTCGAACATGGTGAGTTTGAGGTCGCATTCTGCCGATGGTAGAACATAGGACATGGAGGTTGAGCCATAGACGTTCGCCCAGCAAACGGGAATCATAGCCATCAGCAGCAGGTAGTTGAATTTTCCATTGCCTGAGGGAATACCAGTAGCAATTCATATGAAAGAAGGCATTGAAACGATTTTGTTCTTATATTGAATGTTAATTTGAAAGTTTGGTAAGATGACCGCGACAGAGCACACTGTCAAAAGATTTCCTATGCGTAGTGCAACAGGAAAGAATTGATTGGCATGAGCCATTGTCAATGACTCATACTCGTTCAAAATAAAATCCTATTATTTATTATCTTTGAGACTTTCAACAACGTGCCCTATTTTTTGCATTCTTCAAATTATAAGAAATATTCAGAAATAAAATTTGGCATCAAATTATTAGGAATTATTAAAATACCTTCATTTCAAGACAATTTGAAAAATAATAAGATCTGCCATCACTGCTTGGGCAATATAATTTACGAAAATTCATTGAAAAAAATGTGAATAATTTCAAAGTGCCTTTTTGAGATAAAGGTTAATTGATTTTACTTACGAATTTCACAATAATTGCAAGAAGTCTACAATGCTATTGACATGCAGAGTAGAGGTATCAAGCGATAACGATATATATATATATACATCGAGATATATAGGTTAATCGTAAAGGTGCGATAGGACACAAGTAGATTAAATGGATTATGTTTGTAAATCTACATAATTGTTTTACCAGTACATTACCGTATGTGTGGGCAAATTGAAAAGTCAACTGTTGGAAAACACACACGACAGAGCCCTGAATAATCAATGACCCACATAATGCTTATCCTATTAAAATTTAATTTTATTAAGAATCGCATCCACGATATATGGACAATTTTTTTGTTTGTTTCAATACGTGAATAACTCGCCCGTGATAATTCGTCCAATGGAGTTATTCACGCGCTGATTGAGTCAGGTTGTGAAGACGAGATAAGTTGCGAATCTCGTCGATAAAAATTAAGAATTTTCAAGCAAAATTTGCGTAAAATACAAAAGTGTCATTTAGAGAAATGTTTTCGGGTTTTCTCTTATCTATGTGACTTGGGATGCAGTTTTTCAATATTTCAAAGCGTTAATTTACTTTGTATAATAATTTTTTGGCTCTTACAATGTTTTTGTTGGCAACTCCAAATAAAAATCACAGAACAAAAATATTGCTTTACCGTTTAGCAATGAGATTGAGCATATATATATATATATATATATATATATATATATATATATATATATATATATATATATATATATATATATATATATATATATATATATATATATATATATATATATATATATATACACACACATACATATATATTAATAAGAGTGATTTTGATTTTAAGTAAAAAACAGTAATGAAGGCATCGGTTAATAAAAATGTTGCAACTTTTGAAATTAGTACAGTTAAGTTAAACACACAATCGTCGGATGTATACTTAAGTTAGTAAGATAAGATGTAAAAATAGTGAAATGTTATATGAAGGAGCATCAAGTTACCTGTCAATTCGATCGCCCTTTCGAAATCTACGGGCCCTTCGTCAGACTCAGACTTTTGTCCATTACCTTTAAAAAGAAAAGAGAAACACGTTGCGATCAGCAAACACTTGTAAAACTTGTAAACACACTTTGGTCAGAAGCTCGCGCATATGGTGTGCAAACACAGGGAATACGAAGGACACCAAGCCACGGGGCAAACGAGCAAGCGAGGCAAGCTCGGCAGAGGAAAGGATCCTCGGAAAATACTAACCGTCATGCTTCACAGATGACTTCATCACATATCCCGTTGCCAAATCACGTGAAATATATCCGCGGGCTCGCTATCTTTTTTGGTGGCTGTCGCGTGCAATGCAAATATAATATCCAAAGAGTCGTCGGAGCCAAGCGAGAACGAGAGCGCGCACGCGGCAAGCAAAAGTCTGACTACGATACACCAGCAAAGACCGAGAGCTCTCGACGCGCAAGAAAGGTGTGAAGCGGCAACAAAATGCACTCGCGAAGCACTGGTGGGGCTACAACTTTAGATTCGCTTGCTCTCTTTCTCTCTCTCTCTCTCGCAATAAATCCGACGACGATCGCGGCTTTTCTCTCGATTCGTCTGTTTTCCCTTCCGTACTCCGTGAAATTCCAGGTACGAATGAGAGGGCTCCCGTCGCCGAGCGTTTTTTAAATGCACCTCCCCCACGAATCATCGCAGCCTCGTCACTGATAACAGGTGTACATTTCCAAAGCACCTTTAGGAAAGTCGCCATTTCGCTTTTTTCTCTCTCCTAGCTTTGCCACTCGATTATTTGTTTTATTTGACGTGTCTTGACGAGTGCATTGTTCGACTGGCATCTGTCTTTGGCGTACACACACTGGAAAATTTTCGAGAACAGGGGTTGTTGTTTGTCCGCATATAGTACCTGTTGATTTTCCGATGAGGCGTAATGATAAGATTGATATCGATGCGCGATTCTCCGTACGCTCGTGTCCATTTTTACGTATCGAATCTATTTCGAGATGTGTCATAAGACGGTAGTTCGTCGGAATCTTTATCTCTCGCTTCGCTTCTATCGCACCGTGTGCTCGCGGCTATACGCTTTTGCCTCATTCCCGAAAGACCAAATGACCGCAAGCCTTAACAGTCATAGGCTAATAAATGTAATAGAACTTTTTAATAATCAGAGCTCGAGCTTAAAATAGAGCCGGACGATGTAAAAATAAATATTATAACCTGTTTGTTGGCCAGTCCCCTTTCCAAAACATTCCAATTATTTTTATTATTTGCATACTAATCCGGATGCTACGTTTAATTTATGACAGCTTAAGAATTGGCTGTCGAGTGCTTCACTCTCGGCAGTCGGCATAATTGTAAATTAGTCATGCGCGAATCGGTTGCAGAAAACAAGCATTATGGGCAAACTTAAGCAAGATAACGTCTCAACTACTACAGCCACTCATGCCGTACAGTTACTCTCTCCAAATTTGCCACTTCATATATTTCTTTACCAGTTCATAGATTCTCGATAGTTTTGCATTCAAATTTTAAGTTGGTCTATATCTATACACTAGCATCATTCTTTACCATATTTTTCCTTCCGAATCGATGAGATATTTATAATAGATCTTATAGATATAACGTAAGAAAAATGCTCGATTACTAACTCTACTTATATGAATCGAAGAAAATCTGTTTCAAAGTAATTTAATTAAGTATCAAGTTCTTGATAATTCGATTGATATAGCTTGTGATGATGTGTCCCACATATATTTTTCGCTTTACACATTTCAGAACATCGTCTGCGCGATGTTTAGCTGATAAGATAATCGTGTACAAATAAATAAATTAATTAAAGCTTTATACTTTTTTCGAAAATATACATAAAGTTAATTTATACCGTTGAAATATGCAAACTCGACCAGCGAATAAAGATTATATCACCGGTCGACGCAATGCACTTGAAATGCAAAATTTTACAACATTTTGGGAATGTGAAAATTATAAGCAAGAGCCACTAAAATATCTGCTTACGCAGCGATCTGTGATGCTATCCACAACACGGGTCAGATGTTAAAAATATTGAAATTGGTTGTTTAGTCCGATAAGCGCATTGCTAACTGAAAAAAAAATTCCAACATTTTTCTGAGGATTTCAAGCCTCATCGCGGACTGATAAGTAAATTTCCCACGTGTATTGGACTCGTGATTCGCCAATAAGTAAATCTAGACATCACTGAATAACTATAGAGATTATTGATTGGCTTAACGTTGATTAAAAAGTAGCTCGTGCGTTCGCCCGCCTTCTGTCATTAGCAATACCTGCTGTTTAAGAAATCTTTTCTCGCTCGCGACTCAAAATGCGCTTCTTTACTTATTTAGATCAGACTTGAAATCGATAAATAATGCACTCAAATGATAAAACATCACATGATCTTGCGATAAGGGAATATCGAATGAGAACTTCTCTCTTAACTTTTCCATGTCCTTTGATTACTTACTCGCAAGCTTCTAAAAAGTATATTGGGGAGTTATGTGGGATATCGCGCTATATTTGATCTTGGTAGGTAACGCGGAAACACTTGTTATTGATGATACCGTAATTTCGCGGAAAGTTTCAGATGAAATCGAGATAGAACGTTTTTTATCATTTTTCGAAATCATTTAAATGTCAACAATTATGTACTTGACTCATCTGCAATAATTCTTCATTTTAGCCACTACATGACGAAATCACTTGTCTGAACTTGTAGACTGTTTAATCATTCACGTTAAGTTTATTCAACTGGACTCTTAGGAAATTACGATAAACAAAAAAAAGGTAAGCTCTGCTTATCCTGTGATGTAATTTTGCACGTGAGAGCATTAACTTTTTTATCGAAGCAAAATGTTATCCATATCGTATCATGAATTCTCATAGTACGAAAAGTAAGGATATTTACTTTTTGTATAAAGCCATTGACATTAAGCATTGCTTGTGAAAAATATGTTCATTGGTCTCACAGATTCCCACGTGAAATTAATGCGAATAAATGTAAACATTATATCCAGATATGTTGAAAGTTAAATATTAATTTACGCGTTTATTTATATTAATTATTTATAACCAATACAATAAACGCGTACAAATTTGCTGATATGCATACGTAATCTACCGCTTAAAAACTATTACATCAAAGGAAAAAATTACACTATATTACACCATAGAAAAAATGCATGAAATCGTAACTCTGTGCATTATTGCAGGCATGTATACTTGAATTGAGCTTTAAGATGATTTTTCCACGCTACCGAACAATAACAATGCTCGTGCAACGCGGAGTAATTAATTGGAAGTATCAGCGAATGAACGTGTTGAAAGAAAAGTTATTGAACCGATAGACGACATGCGTCAATGTTACCTCAAGCTTACGTACCACAAACAATAACATACAGCGGTAAAAAGCGACACAGATACATAAAAGCATGTGCGTCCCTCGTTCGGAAGAAAACCTCGTTGTAAAATAAGAGTATACAACGAGTGCGTGGAAGATACCCGAAGCGGGGAGCTCTTTGATAGAAAAAATATGTCGTCGTTCGACGTCTGAGAAAACAACGAAATTTTATGTTCGATCTTACCACAGATAAGATCTTGTCGACGACGTCGAGACGTTTCTATATTCAATTATCGAAACAGTCCTTCCAGCAGTTGATCAATAATTATATCGCTAATCGCGTAAACGCACAGGTGCATGTGCTTTATTTTTCAATTCGATTGTTAGAATTAGACTATCTACTGATAAGTTTCTTTTCATTATTTGTAAATACGCTTATAAAAGACAAATATTGGAGGTCGTATTCTATGGAACCTTCAAATCCGTTCTGTCTGTAATGTCGTACGCAACAACATTCCATTCGTCGCGGTAACAACTATTCTTTCATTATTTCATGGTTCTAATGTTATGATGATCATTTGACGATAACCAAAATAAGCTGGTAAAACATCAAACTATTCCTACTCGATAGTAACAAGTTTTCTTTATATTTTCGCGTACCTTGTTACATTAGTTATGATTTTGTTTCATTTTTCTAATATCCCCTGGAGATCAAATGTCAACTGTTTTTTTAATATCAGATATTATCAAATACCTATAAATTATTCGCTGAATCGACAATATTTAATTTTTGGTTATTTTTAGCGGTGGCATGATAAAAAGAATAATCAATACTTAGTTTTTAATTACTTGGAAGTCTTGATTCATTATTAATGGAAAATTTTTTTCACTCGCATGATATTCAGCGAATCCAAATAAGTAGTACACGCGCCATTTTTTAAAGAAATTTTTTGTATGCTTTTGCCTGTGACGAGCCATTTGTATAAACGTTAAAGTTTGGTATGACTCAAATGTACTTAACTATTGTAACTAGAAATGTCTTAAAAAACATTTATTTTTCATGTTAATCACACCCGAAAAAATTATCAGCAACAAGCAAAAATGTTAAAAATAACTTCGATATCAGTGCATCCTATTAAAAAAATTAAGCAGCTCATTAAAAAACAAATGGTTAGTTGTACAATGCAATCTATAATAAAGTAATAATTGTCAAAACGGACGTATTTACGAGAAATTTCCGAAAGTTTAATGAATGGTACATATATATTCGTAGATTGACGCGTTGACTGGGAAATAAAATACATTAAGGATAAAAAGAAAGAAAGAACGAAAATACATTTGACTTAATTTTTTGTACACGTGGGAGATACAAACTCTACATTAAAGTGATCAATTGTCATTTTTACTTAATGTTCATTTATATTTAATATTTTTAGAAAATGTTCGAAGGTGCTTCAAAAGTTATAATGATAATGAAAATAGACACATAATATTTGTACTGATGCCAATATTTTTGTTTTTCTGTTTATCAATTAAATACTTCTTTTTTAGTAAATAAAATGTACGTAAAAGAACTTTAACCTTGCATTTTTTTCTCCTGTCAAACGCAATTTTCTTATCAACATTTGTACCTCCTTAATAGAGCTTAATTAAGATATTTATTTTTGAGCAATTAGAGTACTTTACATCATGAGCATTTATAAATCTTGACTGTTTAAAGACAATCGATAAATCTTGAAGGAGCAATGAGATAAATTTCTTATGTCGGGCAAAAAATTTAAGGCATTCACGTAAAATGAAATATTACTCTTTATAAAATGCGTATTCTTTTTCCTTTTCGGTAAATTGAAAATTGGATCCAGTCTAGAATGATTAAAAAGATAAATGAATATCGCTCAATAAATCTTACGTTGAAACTGCGTGACTTTCCATTTTTTCTATATAATTGCAATTCATTGAAGTACGCAGTTACTATAGACGAGAATGACGTTACTCATTCGAGTAAGCGATTAAATGTATTGAATAATTTAACGTAATAGGAAATGAATATAATTAAATTATTAATGTACCAATTCAATATACTAAGCACTGATGGATAAATTATTACGATAGAGGATTTAATGTAGATAATATTTATCTCTGATACATTTATATTAGTTCACTTTTATAAATAGCATAAAATCATTTTTATAAAAGAAAAATCACAATGCTATTTTATTAGACCGATATTGGATTCTATTATCTATCTATTATTTCAAATTCAAGAACGTGTATATAAATGATTCATTGCGAACTGTAAAGAAGATAAAAAATATCATAGAATAAAATAATTATTTGGTTCGATCATCATCACTGTTTAAAACAATTTTTCAAATGTTTGTTTTTCGAAAAGTATTTTATGTCTTCGGACAAATAGTAAGACTGCTAAAAGTGATTGTAACTTGAGAAAGTTTGACGTAAGCCATACGCTTAAAAAGCTCTACGTGTAATTTATAAACAAACATATTTTATAAAAGTAGTCAAGAACGCTAAATTCGCTATTTATTATACGTGAAATTTTATAAATATTTTTTCATCAAAATATTGTTTTGGTTCTGCGACGCACACGCTGTTGTTGAAATGATCACACACTCAATCAATAAATAAAAACAATTAAGAGTATAAAAATAAACAAAATCTGTTTGTTACTATATTCTTATACTTATTATTATTAACTTATAAATTAATTACTTACGTTTAACTAATTATCAGTTAATATTATATATTTTCAATTGCCCCGCGTAAAACGTCGTAGTTAATTTTTTCATCGCTATACTCGATTATGGCGCTAAGTTCGCAATGTTTACAGTAAATAAAAAATTCTAAATATTTATTTAGCCGATTTCCTCAGTTTCTTTTTAAAAATGAAGTTTTTGATTGAGTTTTTAACTAGTTTTCTAAGCAAATAGTATTATGGTTTAAATGTTATATAAATTTATGTAATTGGTAATTAACTGAGTGACTATGACCAGTGTAAAGTCAGAGGTACAGTGGTCGCCAGTTCACCCAAATAAATTTATAACTTATGGAACTGAAATATGTTTGTATGAAATTGATCAAATTAAAGACGTTGTTAAGCCTTCTTGTACGTTATTTTTTAAGCGGAAATTTTTTATAACAATAAAGATATCGAGAAATAAATTTATATCCATATGTTGCTATACAGGTATCAAAGTTTCGGATACAACAATAGCACATCTTCTTGCTACTAATACGAGCCTTCATTATATTAAATGCATTGATATTTATCCTGTTCTTGAGCCAGATATCTTGTTAGCTGTAGGACAAGCAAACGGAAAAGTAGTATTAACTACCTTTGGTCCTACAACTTTTGACTCATCAGGTTTAGCTAGCAGAGAACTAGGTAATTCTTTTATTTTTGAATTTTTATTTCTAATATTTCTAATAAGAAATACAAAAATCAATTTCATCTTTTAGTGCCCAAACATGCTAGACAGTGTAATGAGGTTGCATGGAATCCTGTAGAATCAAACTATTTAGTATGTGGATTAGATAAATATCGCACTGACCAATCACTTTTATTATATGATATTTCGAAAGGTACTTTGAACTCAGAACGCGTGCTTCATTATAATTCTAGTCAACTAGAATCAGTTAGGCCAGTGTCTGAAGCTGGTGTTTCTGAAACAATTCATTCTTTAGCTTGGTTTAATAATGAGCCAAAATGTTTAGTAACTGGAGTTAATAATAAACAGTTAAAAATTGTTGACTTTAGAGGTAATATATTTTCTTTGTATCATATAGTATGCATGCTGTTATGTACTGTATCTTCAACATATGGTGTAATTTTAGACCCAGTAAAAATAGTCAATACAACACCTACAAAAGCTGTGTATAGTTTAGCAGTTAATCCACACAATGATTACCATTTAGTATCTCATGTAGATAATCAAATAACTATTTGGGATACAAGATATTTTGAAAAACCAGTCTTAACGTTATCTCAAGCACGCCAAGTTAGTAAAGTTCTCTGGTGTCCAACAAGACATAATTTACTTGGTTCACTGCAGAAAGACTCTGGTACAGAAATTAAATTTTAGTTACATGATGTTAACAAAAATTCTATTTATTACTTTTGATTAATTGGTTTCAGCATCATTATATCTTCATGATATACAACACTGTGGTCCTGGTGGAGAGGATACTGAACCAGGTGCTCTAGAAAGAACTATTGCTCCTCCATGGACAAATCCTTCCAGTTTCTCGTGGCATCCTTCACATGTAAATAGATTATTAGCTATTTCTCAACAAGGTGAAAATTATTTTTATTTAAATTCATCAATATTTTTGCAAATAGTTACAAGTTATATTTTCCATTCTAGCACTTTCATATACTTTGACTGATTATACTGTTTATGAAAGAATAACTTTAAATTGGTCAACTAGATCTCATCTCGTATGGAATCATGCCTCAAAGTCATTCAAATATATTTGTTGTAATGATAATATTTACAGAGCTCTTGATGATATTTCGATTTTGACGAAAAATCGAGCTTCAGCCGAATATGGATTACTGGTAAGTATAAATCTGCTTTTTTTTAAGAAAGGTTTCTAAATTTATTTGATTATAGCCAGAACTATCTCAAAATGGTGAATTAGCCGAAAATGACATACTAAAAAATTTATGGCAGTGGTTGTATCTAAGTCGTTCTTTGGTAGAAGATGGGACAATACCTAGTCCTGAAAATAAACATCCTGGTGTGAAGTATGTGACTTAATATTATTGGGCATAAATTTATTAATAAGAATAAAATAAAAAAATAAGCGGCAATTTCTATCATATTTTCAGAACTGTTTTGAAGATAGATGGACAAAATTCAAATGGAAGTTTTACAAAATCTGAAACTATGCATAGACATTGGTCAGATATTAGTTCTAATCATACAGCAAAAACATATAGGTATATATGAAAGCTTAATTTATGAATGTCTTTTTTATTACTCTATTCAAATAAAATATACAAAGTCACTTATTATTTCAGATCTCCAGATCGCGATAAAGCTCTCCAATTATGCGGTTGGCGTTTTGAAAAAGATACGAATGCTCCGTACAATAATTTATTTTTAGAAAAATTAGAAAGAGAAGGAGCATATGCCAGAGCTACTGCAATATCTGTGTTTAATTTGAATTTACGACAAGCTATAGAGATTTTGAATAGAGGTGCTAGTAAAATTTTTTCTCCAACTAATTTAAATATCGTTGCTATGGCATTATCTGGATTTACGGAAGATAAAAATAGCATGTGGCGCGAATTATGTTTAAAATCAAGATCTCAATTAACAGACCCGTACCTTCGAGCAACGTTTGCTTTTCTAACAGCTGACAATGACTCTTATGAAAATGTGCTTGTATGTAACATAATTAAAAAAAACAATTTTTTAATAGTGACAACGAGAATCATAAAATTCTGTGTTGTTTTCAGAATGAAAATGGAATGGCTGTGGAAGATAGAGTAGCCTTTGCATTAATGTTTTTATCTGATAGTAAGTTGTATGAATATTTGAAAAAGTTAACTCAAAAACTATGTGACGAAGGAAACCTTGCTGGATTTTTACTAACAGGTTTAAAAATAAAAGTTATATATTATATACAAAATGTAGTTATCTTTTGTATATTATTTATTGATTTACAGGCGCAAGTTTAGAAGGCATCCAATTATTTAACAGATATTTAGAAATAACTGGAGATGTACAAAGTTGTAGTTTAATAGCAATAAGAGCTTTATCTCCCAAATTGTTACAAGAAAATCAAGTTCAAATTTGGATTGAAAGGTAAATTTTCTGAGTATTTGTTGATAATGACCAGTATTTAATATTTCTAAACATTACAGTTATAGAGGTCTGTTAGATGCTTGGAAAATGTGGAATCAGAGAGCTCATTTTGATATTGCCATGAGAGCATCAGTTAATGAAAAGCCCCCACAGCAAATGTATATTTCTTGTAACTTTTGTGGTAAGAGTATATCTGCATTTATGCAAGGATTAAGTCGTGCTAGAGGTCCATTTGGTAGAATAGGAAGTACATCAAACAAGTTAAAAGTAAATAACTTACTTGATCATTTTGATTGTCTTTAGACTTACCAATGATTATATCTTTTTATAGATGACAGCATGTCCCAGTTGTCGAAAACCTTTGCCTAGGTGTGCTATATGTTTGATGCATATGGGAACTGTGAGTGGCTTACAGGTAACAACTGGAACTTCGGGTAGAAACGAAGAAGATAGCAAGTTAACTGAATTTAGTAACTGGTTTACATGGTGTCAAACTTGTAGACATGGCGGTCATGCTAATCACATTACACATTGGTTTCAGTAAGTTCAGTTATTTTATAATGTATTTAAATTTTTTATAGATTTTATGATATTCTAATTAATATTTCATTTATTTTAGACAACACTCAGAATGTCCTGTTACTTCTTGTACATGTAGATGTTTTTCTTTAGATGCATCATGTAAAGTAGGTGTAGGAGTTGTTTAAAATAATTCTTATGCAATTTTTTATTTTTTTGAACATTTCTTTTATTGATACAAATGTTTGTAAAAACGATTTAATATAAATTTAACTATTTTACAAATAGAAACTCGATTTTACATTTAACACCAGCTATCCTTACAGAATATACTTAGAATCATTAAATCATAATAACTTAATAAAATTTTGAATCAAACTATAGTTTTCAAAGTGGATCATCTTCAGCATTAATTTTCCATTTCTTGCTTTCAATGACAAGGAGAGTTGAGAGCAGTGCATTATACTTGTCAGTTTCTAAAATCAAGCAAAGTGATTGGTTAAATATTCTAATAAATAAAAATATGTGAACAAATTTCAAACATATTACCAAAATTATCAGACATTTCTGGTGGAATAATTATATATGACTTGCATGAAACAGTTGATCTTGACATTGCTGTTCCATAAACTTCAATATAGCCTTCAGCAACTTCATTAATGGGTTCTGGTAAGTTAACATTTACTAAAACATTATCAGTTGTTGACATTTCTATTCCTTTACCATTGGAACTGATCTGCAAAACCAATAAAACTAATTTAATCATATAGTTATGACAAATTTTTAAAAGATTGTTACAAGTGCATGCTATAATCTTATTTTTACACAATAAATCTTCACAATAAAAATTTGAAAGCAATAACTAAATGCACATTGATTAAAAACAGTTAATGTACAGTAAATAATAAGTCAATCAATTATCTTTTAATTGTTATATTTATTATTTTTATTTTTGATAAATTATAAAATTATTAAAACTCCACTAAATTTAAGCTACCACAGTAAAATTTCACAAGTTTTATAAATGCTATTATCTCAAAAAATTGTATCACGATAAAATAAGTCACGATAAATTAATAGTCTAGTTGAAATACTTAATATACGCAACTAGGATAACTTTTAATTCTTTGTGAAAATTAATTGAAATTAGAAAACATGGAATTTTTAACTAAAAAAATGGATTATCGGTATGTTTATAGTAAGGATATAACCTAGAATCATCAACAAGATATTTGCGAGTAACATGCGCATACCTTTTTTATTTGTCCAAGCAAGATCACATCTTTAGTAGTGTAATCGGTTAATTGCTTTCCAGTAATTCGCTTTGCGTTAACCATTGTTTTCTACTTTGAAAATAATTTTAATTACTTGCGAACCGCAAGTAAAGTTAAAATATTTTTATCGAAACTAGTAAATGGCGCGAAACTATATATAGAGTTGCTTAGTAGTGTATAGATATTGATAGGTAGAGATCCAAACGGAAAAATCGACACCATATTTATATTACTCGTTTGAAAAAATTTTATAATTTTTAATATAAAAATTATATGCGATGCTTTTTTACAAATAAATTTTACAAATATTTAATATACAATATAATTTTATAAATATTTTCCAAGGCAACGATGATAAATATAATAAGTTCATATGATAAGTTAATATAATATAATAAGTTCATTAAACAACAAACTATTGCAAGCTAATTAGTATAATTTTTTATTTGTGTCAAGGATTGCATAATAGTTGTCAATTCCAAATTTACAACTTACTGTAGATATTTTAATTATTTTCCAATGCATTTCTTACTGCAGTAAATCATAATATGCCAAGGTTAAGTAATCTTTAAAATAATACAAATTCTATTTATCATTTTATTAGCAAAATTTTAATATCTTAACAACAACTTCAACTATATACAAAACATACAACTTTATACTTTATATATATTTTTTATTTATTGCATGATTTCATAAGTGTCAATTTATTATACTTATTCGTCAACATTTTTTTTCTATTAAAAATATGTGATGTTTGATAAATACATTAGATAACTTATTTTCATTTTATTTGTTGCGATTCTTGTATGATAAAAATTTATTGCATGATTTCATAAGTGTCAATTTATTATACTTATTCGTCAACATTTTTTTTCTATTAAAAATATATGATGTTTTATAAATACATTGGGTAACTTATTTTCATTTTATTTGTTGTGATTCTTGTATGATAAAAATAATAAAAAATTTAAGCAGCTCTGGTAAAGTTAAATTATTAACTTTACCAGAGCCATTAAAATATTAATAAGAATTTGTAAATAAACTGTATAAGTTTAAATTACTTTTCTTTTTTATCAGACTTTATCTTTAGCTCTTTATCATTGGATTGAGAAGGATAAATGGCAAACAAAGATAGCTGAGCTAGAGATAACATCAATCCTACGAAATTCTGTAGCTGAAAAACAAAGAAAATTGTAATTAATATCTTCATCATCAATATTTGACCATAGTTGTTCAATTTTAATCATATCTTATAAACAAACTTACAATAATAAAAGAATTGTTTATAATTAAACCATAAATTAGCCATTGGAATGCAACAACTGTTCCCATAAAGATCAGAGGAAATGGAAGCATTGCAGTACTTTTAGTCCTAATAATTTCACCCTGCCAAGAAAGATAATTTTTTTTAATTGTAGTTTCTATTCATTGAATGATATTCAAATGCAAGTAGAACTCACCAAATTGAAAAGTGGTGATCCAATAAGAACCAAAAATAAAATCGTAGTCAAAATTCCATACCTGTATTCGACATGCTCTTTACTTTCGATTTGAGCATATCCTAGAACCAAAGCAACAAAGAGAGTTGCCTTGCCTAACTTGTTCATTACATCTGCCTATAATTTAAAAAGTGCATGTTAATTCCTACCTCTTTATATTTACATAATCTGATAATATAGATTGTACTTTATGAGGTGAATAGATGTAATATACAAGCATGTAGGCTACATTAGTAGCAACTCCAAACAAATTAATATTGATCATCGCAGGATCTTGGAGAATTAGTGCATACTTCAGCATAAGAACACACCTACACAAAGTTAAAATACCACAAATTCAATCCCACTAATTGCAATTGTAAGTCTTTACATCATAATAGCAAATAAAGATTAATAAATGAATTTACGAAAACTCACATGCCAATACCGCCTATAAATGGCATTGGATCGCATCCTTTCGCTGTACCTTTTTGATAAATGTCCTTGCAGATCAACCTATGGGTAAGGGTCATTAAAAATTAACGACGGAACGCTACTATGGAAAATCGAAGCACGAAGTATGCTAACAATTATTTAATGCTTTTGATCACAGTGAAAAGCAACAATCACTTACGTCCCAGTCAGCATGTGTGCCATGGTAGTGACGAAGGCGCAATTACCAACGATGTCTTTATAATTGTGTAAATACATAGTGATTTTTTATTGAGCGCCTATCAACTAATTACCGACAAATGAAACTCGCGAACACGCGAGTATAGTGCGTTTTAGTATGTTCCACGTGTTGCAGACGCAGCAACACTGCGAGTGTATCGCGGCTCAGCAGTTCAAAAATTCCTTACGGCTGCTATACCAGACGACCCTGAAAATTGATTGCGCGCCTTGCATGCGCGCATGTGGCAGACAGAGATAGATAGATGAGACGAGAATTTCTATCGGTTTCATTGACGTCGACTTATCGGAATTTTATCGTTAATTACTAATACTTCCATGTGGCAATTACTGTACACTCGGAGAAATTATTTCATTTCTTAATTGTTTTTAGTTGATCGCATTAATCCCATTCTATTTAGTTTTTGTATATTATAGAAAAAATGAAGTTAATGTATTGTATCGTGTATAATCAAACAGTAGATGCATTGTTTGCAAGCTCTAGTTCTAGTTTCAATCGTTAGAAATGCAGATTTTTACACTTAAAATGCATACTCAATGTAAACAGCTGAAAACAATGGAAATTTTAAGCTTTAAGTATAATATATACATGAATTTAATAAAAATAATTTGTATCGAATGATGATTCGTACAGCAAATTAAGAAAATACTATATTAAAAAAAGGATTTTTCGAAAGATGTACGTATAAAATCAATATCCATTCTCGGTATTCAGAACAAAATAACACATTTACCAAGGAAAATGAATCAGCATTTTTAGAATGTTAAACGATAGATGATATTAATGCAGTCGTTAGAAATCATTGATATACTTTTGATGTGAAAAATAAAAAATTCAATCGGTATTGAACAACGATCTGTGAATTTTAAAAAATTCCTATTTTTCATTCATAATATCAACTAAGAATGAAAACAAAAATATTAATTCAAATTGAAGATTTGTACATGACTTTTAACGTCATATTGCTGAATACGCGTGCGCAAACGGTCACCCTACTTTTATATACAGGAAATTGTTATTAGAGAGCGTGATAAATTATCCTCTTCATAGAAGCTAACTAAATGACTTTGCTTACAACAGTGATAGATTTGTTCTTTATCTAAAAGAAATCTTTCATGTATTGGCCACAAAGTCAATGTCTTTATACAATTGAATAACATTTAATAACATTTAAATTTGCTTGAGAGCAATAACATTTAAAAGAAAATGATTTTATTTGCTTGTTTCAAGTAACATCTTATGGTGAATAAAATTATGTATGTACACTGTGACAATTTTTTGTATTTTTACAGTGATGACTGTAATGCCATCATAAATACAAATTCAACTAGCAGTATCATGAATTAACGAAGAATCTTGGCTGGCTTAATGTTTTGCAGCTTTATCTGATGGTTTACTGTTTGCTGGTTTTACTTCTAGTGCTATTGTGGCATTTATGTCTTTTTCACAGTTTGAATATGCCAGTCCTAAGCCAAAAGCTGCTCCTGTCACAATAGGCCATTTTCCTGAAAAATGGCAATATAAAAATAAGCATATCATAATTTTATTGTATGAATCCAGATAAAACAGATTATATATGCAGTAAGAACAAAGAGCACTTAGATCACTCTTCTGTATATATTTAAAAAATTTAGTCCCTATTTTATTGCTGTTTATAAACACTAATGCTTTTTTATCTGCAGACCATAAAACACTTTATAAATATGTCAAGGTACTTTGATTTTAACTGCCAAACTAAGGTTTTTACAAAAGAAAAGTTGTTTACTTTCTGGAACTATTTAAATATATAAATTCAACTTATTACTAACGGTCTAAAACCACGACATTCAACACGAATTGTAATTTTGTAATATAATTACCGTAAAATATATAGGAAATTAATATTAACAATTATTTCTCGAGCAATTTAATTAAAGTGCATTCTGTCACGAGTAATGTCAACACTAACTAAAGTCAGCTGATAACCTTAGAAACAATTTAAGGTTATATCATGCTTTTCATGAATGAAAATGCAATTAATTTTCAAAAATACTTGTGCATCCAATAAAATCACAATTTAGTGATTTATTAAGTCATTGTAAAAACTTACTCCTGAAGAAGAGTAGTGACACAACAGACCCTAGGAAAATACCACCCCCTGTAAGATGTCAAAATAAGAGTAAATTAATTTCGGTGGATTTACTATTAGAATAAAAGTCTGTAATCGTTTAAACATGCAATTACCTAATTTAAATATAGCGTCCGCAAAGCAGCGGTCCCATTTTCGCCCAATTTCCTCCTCAGTCCAAGCTGTCCCAGCCATTTTTCCTGCAAAACGAGGGAGAGCGTGAAAACGTGTGTTACGTCATGGAGACACAACGCGCGGGCGTAATCTATCGATCGGTCGTGCAATCGTCAATGTGTACGTACAAAATTAACAATATCTGTATATTGATTAATTTTTTAGATTAACAAGAGTAGAGCTTTTGATAAGGTTCAACGATTGACCAATAGTAAGCAGAAAACTGAGAGCTGACTTTCAGTGGTTTCCATTTGCTGGGAGTTTTTTTCACGCACTCTTCGGAGCAAATTATGTCTTAATATTCTGTATCGGCGCAACGGTTGTTTTCTGCTAGATACGAAGGTCTCACCGGGTGTTGTTATATATTTCAAAAAGTGGTTGTTATTCACATGTCTTAGGTGATAGTTTTTGAAATTTTGAGTTTATTTTGATTTTGAACTTTGTTGCTGTTTCAAGTAAAGATGAAGACATTTTAGCAGTGAAATAAATTAGTGACGAATCATTTTTCACTTTGTTTGGGTTAGTGAAGACAGTAAATTTAAAAATGTAAATTTATCAAATGGTTTTTTTTATTTTAAACGATCGATTTTGACGATTCTCTTGGGTAACAGATCTTCATGTGTTTCTAACGACGTGGCAACAGTGTGAAGCCTCTACATCCCGACTGGAAATGCTAATTATACTTTTTCAATATATAACCTCATGCTGAAAGGTATAGTTGTTACTAAAGTGTTTAATTTAAAATAGTCAAATATAATATATATTTAGATGTAATCAATATGGCACATCGAGCTCTTATGGGAATATCAAAAAATTTGCCTAAAAGAGTATTCAAACAAATCAAACCATTCCAAAATCTATTAGTTTTAGATTTTGAAGCTACTTGTAAGAAGAGTGAAATTTTAAAACCACAAGAAATAATTGAATTCCCTTGTTTAGTTCTTTCCTGTGATGATTGGGAAGTGAAGGATGTTTTTCATAGATACGTCAAGCCAAAGGTACATGTAGAACTGTCAACTTTCTGTTCTGAATTAACAGGAATTACCACAGACACTTTAGAAGATGAACAACATTTTCCACAAGTGTTTTTAGACTTTTGTGAATGGATAAAAAGTGGACATTATTTTGATGAAAAAGATGAAAGTGCTTTTGTAACTTGTGGTGATTGGGATTTAAAGGTAATGCTACCTAATCAATGCCAATTAGAAAACATTAAAATACCTGATTATTTCGATGAATGGATTAATTTAAAAACATCTTTCTACACATTTACGAATTATTATCCTAAAAGTTTAAATGATATGTTAAGACACTTTAAGATGGAATTTAAAGGTAAAAGCCACTGTGGTCTTGATGATGCACATAATATAGCCAGAATCGTTCAAACATTAGGTAATAAATATAATAATAAATTTGTAATAACAACTAAAATTAATGAGTGATAACATGTATGAATTTAATGATTAAGTCTGTAAAAGTATGCATATCAAATAAATAATAAATGTATTTATATTCTTTTTTAATGCATTTTTAACGATTATCCTTGCCTTTCAGATGAATTTTAATAATGATACATTTGAATGGTTAAATATATATTTTAATGGATTAAATTAAAAAATAATCAAAAAATTGAAGGAAGATTGAAAGGTCTGTATTTATGAAATATTTATACAAGATATATAGGTATATTATTCAAAATAATTTTTATGAATTCAAAGAGACGTGTATTTCATGCCTGTCAATAATAAGACTACCCTAATAAATAATTGAAAATAATAATATTGAATTGTTTTACACTGACAAATATAACCCACTACAAAGTTTGAAAATAATAGAAACTTGTGAATGTTTATAATTTGAAAAAACCGCAATCTTTATATTTCAAAATACATATAGGACTACAAAAGTAAAAAAGTAATAAAAGGATAAAATTCTTATTCCTATTTCTACATACAATAAAAATATTATTCTTTGTACAATTGTTCTGGTGCTTTTAGTATACTTGAAAAATGGCAAGATTATACTAGATGAAAACTTTCAATTCTACTAAATTCTAAATTCTAATGCAATTAAGGCACTAAATAAAAACATTTTTCATAAAAATCATTCAGTTGGTAAAAAACTATCTCCTCCAAAATATGATTCATCGTTATCACTACACAAGGAGTGAAAGGCCTGTGACTCATCCATGTTATCATTAAGCATTGAAATTGTTTCATCTGCATGAACTTCTATTGTTAATTTTATTTCATTTTGAACAATTTCTTTACATAAGTCACCTAGATTTTGCTGAAATGGAATCATAATATTTCATTAAATATTTTCAAGTTTTCCTAAAGAATTATGTTCAGATGATGGACCTTACCACTGAATCATTAACCTTTCTCAAATCTTGAGGAAAAACTTCACCAGGGAAAGCTTTGGACAATGGATAAATTACTTCCTGAAATTCATCACTTTCCTCATTCATTGTGCCTTGTAATTGATTGCTATCTTTTAATTTATTGTACAATCTAACATAAATATGAAGTAGTAAATAAATTTTGTAATATAATATTTTATGGTATTTAACATGAATACACAACAGTTACCGTCTTATTCTCAATCTTGTTGGCTCATCACCATAAGTAACTTTTAATGTTCCAACATGAATTATACCACTTTGGTGAGCTGCAGCAAGATCATCCTTTCTAGGACGGTATTGTATAGTAATCCACTGAATTTGATTAGGAGCTAGTAATAATTCAGTCGGTTCCACAGCCCAACTTGTTATAGATGGATATAAAGCTAATAAATGTAAAATTTAATCTTAATTTTTACTAATTCACTTTTACTACTAAAAGTTACCTTTTGGTACAAGTTTTAATTTCGCAAAACTTGTTAAATTTCCAGTATTTTGTAACCGAAGTTTAGTATGTTGGATGCCATCAGGATTAATTTTTCCAAGTGAAAGCCACATTTGCCCACTAGTGTCTTTCACTGCTTCTATATCCATTTTGATATTTCCACCATGCCCAAACAACGATATCTAAATAGATATACGATCAATTCAAATATATCTTTGCTATTTTCTTCAATTGATTTTTGCTATTTAAATATGTCACTTACCATCTTTGTATGACCAGATGGTTCTCGAGTTACTCTTTGAGAATTGCAATACGAAAACGTTATTTTTCCCGACGCTGGTTTCGGAACGTGGGGAGCAAAAACTACTAATAAATTTCGACCTTCCATACCTTGAAGAGTTAAAGTAGCGACAATTGTAGTAGATTGTCTTTCTTTGAGAAGCTGAATAAAATTAAAAATTCATTATTAAAGAAAAACCATTAGCGTTAATTTATTTTATTAAATAAAAACATTGACTTATTGCCTTGAAGGTATTTCCATCTGATGTCACAGAAACTAAAAGTTTTATTTTATTATTGCTGGTGTTGCGAATGTTAATTTTTTTAATATCCGTCTTTCCAATCTTTATACTACCCCAAACTAAAGCGGTGTGTGAAGCTTTTATAGGTATAGGCACTCCCGGAATAGGTCCACCACCAGAAGCTGTACTACTTGGTGAATATCTACCTGATGTACCCGATCTGTAATAATATTGTTCTTAATTTTGAATCTGACCTCGGTTAATTTAGATTGCTAGTACGTGAGTGGTCATAATCGCGAATTATATAATCTACTCTATATTTCAATTTATTTTACCTATTAAATCCTAGACTATGAGGCGATACAGGAGAAGTAACATCCCTTAGTCGTTGAGGAGTTTCGCAACGTTGTAATTGATTAAAAATATCAGGATTAAGCTGTTCATTTTCAAGAATCTTTTCTCCAATCACAGAATAAAAAGACACTTTATTGCCTACTCTAAGTCTTAGCACAGCATACCTGCAATATTAAAATTAATGTAAATTATTGAATATTAAAAGTAATTTCAAATTTTTGAACTACACTCACTTTTCAATATCCGTTTTATTATTTTCTGGTTTATATGAAATTTGTAATGTTAATTTTTCGCCTCCATTGAGTACAATGTTGTTTGGGCAAATATAGAAATCTCTGCACTCAACTTGATTCTCTTTTGATTGCACTATATCTGCTGTAGCTGATACAGCAATGCTACCTGAATTTTTGAGAATGACCAATCTATCCATTCTGGGTGGTAGCAATAGTGGGAATTGTGTATCAATAATATCTAGTTTAGAAGATCCTATAGCTCCTTTTAAAGGTATTTCTTTAATAAGATACTCTTCGTGTTCTCTGAAGCTTATAAATATCCTCATACGTGCTTCAGCATTGTATAAACCTTTTTGCAGTACTTTTTCTGTTTGAGGGAATAAATTTCAATATTACCGAAAATCAAATTCAAAATATTTCGAGAATTAAGAAAAAAATATTACCTCCAAAAGATACAAGGGACATTCCTTTGAAATCAATGTTCATAGACATAGGCTGATTTGGCTTTAAAATAACTTGTGCTGATTCTTTTTGAGGAGATATATTAAAAGTATCATCAAGAAAATTACCAATGCTGAACAACTGAGGTTGATTCTAAAATTTTAGGACAAAAATATTATATTTTAAGAAAGTAGTTGTTTCGAAACTCAATGATGAGGTAATTTATAGAAACTTACTTGATAAATGTTTACTATAATCGGTATATCTATTGAATTTTTATTCTCAAAAGATATAGGTAAACTAGAATTTGTATCCTCGGTTATTGTTTCAAAATTGATAATAATATCGTCAAAAGGTACAGATATTCGTATATCTGGATCCTCTGGTACAAAACACATTAGGTGTTTTATAATCCAATTTGTTCTTGTTACCATATCAATGGAAGGTATATGGAAAGTAGCAATAGTCAGTTTACTCATTCTAAGCATTTTTACCTCGATCTAGTTTAAAAATTAAACAATATTAATATGAAGTGTTTAATACAAATTTAAAATAGTTATATTGACATAAAATACTTTGATCGATTTTGTTGCATCTGGTTCAATTAATATGTCATCCACAGGTAGTGTTAATTGGATGTTTTCTTTTTCTCCTTGAATCTGAACAAGTTTCAAATTACATATAATCCATCGATCTGTTCCGTTGTGCAGTTCGAATTCTGCTTCTTTCGGTATCCCAACTAAACAAGTACAGAGCTCTTGAGTGTTTTGACTAAGTGCAAATTTCCCTAAAATAAAAATCATGATCAGATCGTGACATGACATCAACAAAAACACAAATTAATAAATAAGGTGTATCTGATAATTACTTGTTTCAAATGAGTAATTTTTTAGAGAAGAATCAGTGATGTTAATTTCTTTTATCGTTGACTCATTTTTTGATAAAGTTGGATCACTAAGATCAGGTGGTATTGTATCATGAATTAAACTTGATTTATTGTTAATAGAAGTTGAACTGGATAATTTATTGGATTTTTCTGGCAGATGCGATAATTGCCGCAATCGTGGCGTAAGAGATTGTTCTGTTCTAGCCACACTAGCATTTGGACCTTAACATTATGAATGAATAAATTCAAATTAAACAGTGAATGATCAATCAATATGTAATAAAAAAATAATATATAAAAAATTACTTTTTAGTTCTGATGAAATTTGTTGGAAATTCAATACATTATCAGATTTATTTGAAGTTGGTTTGGTCGAATTTAGAGTAATATCATCAAGTTTCATGTCTATTAATTGCTGTAACTTAGCATGCATAAAATTTTCTTCGTTAGTTATTTCGTTCTGGTTTTCACCAGATATATCATTTATATTTTTGTTGCCCAAAGAAAATTTACTAGTGAGACTACTATTATTTCCTAAATCTTTTTCTGGTGTGTCATTAAAATAAGTTTTTAAGACTGGCAAAGATGTTCTAGTATTACTTGGTAGAAGAGTGTAGGTATCTCCAGCTAAATTATTGGTTTTAGCTCGTTGTTTCTTCTGTTTCTTGTATGCAAGAAGTTGATCAACTAACTTTCCAGGAGTTCCCGATTCTATTTCTTTCAAAGCCTGACCAATACTGGTAACACTCATTAGACTTGGTTCCTTTGTGCAATCTATACTCTTACTAGTTTTGTTTCCAGAAAGAAAAGATCCTATACATACAACAAAATATTTGAATACAATAACAAATCAAAAAACCTTTTTGGATACATAAGTACAAACCTTCTGTTAAATCAATGGTTCTATTAATAGTTTGATCAACCAGTGGTCGTAATGTACCCTTTCGTTGCGGGCTTTTTGAATTTAATCCAAAACTTGGTCTATCTGATGCACTGGTAATAGATAAATGACCTGTACCACCACACTTTCTTTGGAAATAATTTCCTACAGACACTCTTCCGCTATCTACTGTCAAATCAATATCTCCAATGATTCCAGAGAAGCAAGAAAGTTCTAAACGATCTTTTTCATTGTTATTATTACTATTATTATTTATAACTGGATGAACCAAGAATTTATTTTTTTTCCAAGAAATTTCATCAGCCAATATTTGGCTTCCAGCTTTGGAACCTGACATAAATTCTTCATCTCTGAATTGTGCCATCATCTCAGCTACATTAGTATTGTAACTGAAATCACTCAGACTTGTTTGAGGAAATGGTTCAGTTTTTTCTGGTGTCTTGTTCAGTTCAGATGAACGAGCACTTATTTCGTTAGGTGAAAAAACAATCTAAACAATATAGTATTATTTGTTTGACTACTTTTGTTATGTAAAAAGAGAATATTATCATTAAATATTTCAAACAATAAATGATAGTTTTTAAATATTACTCACACTTTCATCGGATACAATAGATTTCTGATCAAGATCATGTTTCTGCTTTTGTGATTGAGATGATAAGGGACATTGTGATTCTCTGATATTAGATAAGCGTTTGTGCAATAATGACTGTGAATCTATATTTGAAAGACAATTTTGTGAAGACTGTGAGGATCTTCCATTAGCAAGTCGTTTCTGTATACTGTATCTTTGTAAATTTGTGGAATTAATATCATTCTCTTTATCTACAAAAGTAAGTAAAGTATTAATTTAAGAATGCAATTGTAATCATTATTAATTTATAAAGGTTCTGAACATACTTGGTGGATTAATAAGCAAAGAGTCATGACACTTTTGTAACAATTCACGAGCACGGTCCCTTGTATAACATTCTGTACTCTTTTTACGTTCAAGATCTTTTTTAGGGCTATTTTGATTTCTAGGATCTTCCAAAGTACTGTCACCCAATACTGTCAATAAACAAACATTTATTTACAGCTATAACTCTTCTGATATTTATATGATATGAACAATAGTATGAGATACAATATTACATATGATGCTGATTAATATAAAATGAGAAAGTAATTACATGATGAAATATTCTGTATGATTCCAAGTGAAGATTCATCTGTGTTTTGTTCAGCATTGCTGTAGTCAAAATTTAGCTGTCTATGCTTGCTGTTTTGATCATCAAGAGTTGACCTACGTTTTCTCCCTTGCCTAACAAACGGAAAATCAAATCATTCACAGATGTACTCCCTAAATTCATGGAAAAATTTCAACATTTTGTTCGGTGCCTGAAAATACATCACCCTTGTTAACATCACAATACAATGAAACTCACTGAGATCGCCGGTCAACAGTGGAGGTAGCTTGTGGTAGTGGCGTACTGAGAATGGTGATATCCGTAAGATCGGGTGCTTTCTTAATAGCATAATTTTTATCTATTTCTTTCTCCATCGCCACGAGACAACGTGGGAATGTTGTCTACGGAATATTATTTTACCAATAACAAAATCGAAGCTAAAGGAAACGCAAAGTCAATGAAGTATTTTAAACTGCACCTCCAAAATCGTTCGGCGCGCGACGCCATCGGAGTAAAAACCGCAAATGTTACAGAACGCAGCGCTGGGATTCGTTAATTCAATCGGAGCGTGTGCGGTGTAGCCACATTTGATGTTTTTTTGAATTACTAGAACATTGAAATTACATTAAAAAAAAATGTTTTTACAAGTGTGACAATTGTTTTCATAATTTTTATAACCATCATCATCATTCTTAATAGTATATTTTTATTTATAAAGACGTTATTTCTTTTATTCAATAGTCCGTTATAAGCAATATGACAACGATGCGCAATAGCAGCCGGCACTTGGCAGAAAGGAAGCACATGTTTTAGAAAAAAATTAGAAGTATGTAGATACAGTTAGTGTGTTCTAAGTGAGGTTAAGAGTATTTTGATAGCATTTATAATTAAAAGAAAATAGTAAATTCTTGTTATTGTTGAGTGTAATTAAGATGAGTGAAATAAAATTGGAAGAGCCACGAAGTGAAAGTATAGATGATAAAAATACGGAAGAAATTATAAAGAATAATAAAGAAAAAAGTGGAGAAGATTTATATGGTTATTTGAAAAGAGATAATTTTACTACAGAAAAGTATAAAATCGAAGTAAGGGGATTACCAAAGTATTATGGAATCGGTGAATTTAGAAGATATTTGAATGAAAAGTTACAACTTGATGCAAATAAAATTAAGCCTCCTAAAAGAGGTAGTGGCTGGGCCTATATTTGTTTTCGTAGTGAGGAAGGTCGAGAAAAAGCAATCACTGCTCTTGATGGTACAGAATGGAAGAAATCAAAACTATCAGCTCGTGTAAGTATAATTAAAGTTAAATAAATCACAATAAAAATAACAGAATATATATTTGGTAGATAGCTAATCCTGCACCAGATCCTTACATGAAAAGGAAACTTGAAAGAAGAACTGAAACTAATAATAAAATATCAAAAATAGATGAAATTGAATCCCTTTCTTCTGAAGAGCGAATTAAATTAAGTACAATTCCTCTCTGTGATATGCCATATGCAGAACAAGTATGAAAGTCTCAAATATTTTCCAAAATAAATTTCGAAATGATTTAATCTTCTTTTTAGTTACAAGTAAAACAAAAAGACATGAGACAAGTTATTCTCAATTTAGGCCAAGAAATATCAAAGGTTAATAAAGATCTTTGTGAATGGTTCAACAAAGAAAGAAGTAAACATAATGAGTTACCTTTTGAATTAGGAGAGATCAAACATGCTAATGTTACGGAAGGATATAGAAACAAATGTGAATTCACAGTTGGTACGAAAATTGATGAGTTATAAAATTATTTATGTAAAAGAATATGAATTATTGTTGTTAAATATAAACTATTTTCTACTGATAGGTATGGACGTTCAAAATGAAAAGAAAATGATTGGCTTCAGACTTTCAAGTTATGCAGCTGGTTCCACTGCTGTGGGACCAATTGATCACCTGTGTCATATTCCTCAAAGAATGAAAACTGCTATAAAGGTATGAAAATATTTCATTCATCAATTGTAATTGCAAATTTCAATATGTATTTTTGTAGATATTAGAAAAATTTGTCAGGAACTCTGAATTAGATGTATTTGATCCAGTAACTCACAAAGGCTATTGGAGACAGGTTATGGCTAGAACAACTAGATTAGATCATTTAATGTTAATTATTGGTATTCATCCCCAAGATATGAAAGATGAATATAAGAAGAAATTACAAAATGATTTGAAAGAATTTTTTGAACAGGATTGTAATGCAGAAGCCAGAGTAACATCCTTGTACTTTCAAACAATTGAAAAGAAGTAAGTATTTTTAATTAACAAATTAGCAAATAATAGACATTTTTTTGTAAATTGAAACTTGTTTCAGAGGAGCTGGTGGTACAGGAGGTGGTACTGTGGAACACATAAGTGGAGCCACACATATAGAAGAAAATTTACTTGACATGACATTTAGAATATCTCCAGAAGCATTTTTCCAAATAAATACTCTAGGAGCTGAAGTTTTGTACAATACAGCCATTGAATTAGCTGAACCTTCAAAGGACACAACTTTGTTGGATGTTTGCTGTGGTACAGGAACAATAGGTCTTACTTTTGCAAAAGTAAGTTTTTCTAAATTAAATTTATATTTTGTTTTATAATAATAATCATTTTAATTTGATTTTACAGAGTTGTGATCAAGTTCTTGGTATAGAAATGATATCAAATGCTATAAATGATGCAAAAGTAAATGCTGAAATAAATAATATTACTAATACTGACTTCTTTGTTGGAAAAGCAGAAGACATACTAGTGCCTGTAATCAATAGAACAACAAAATCTAATATAACTGCTATTGTTGATCCACCAAGAGCAGGCTTACGTAAGTATTAAATTACAGTTTTTTACAAATAATTGAAATAAGTTTGAATGATTATTACAATTTTTGATGTTTTTTAGATCAAAAAGCACTTGTAGCACTTCGTAAAGCTAAAAAACTTAATAAACTAATTTACATTTCTTGTGACCCAAAGGCAGCAGTAAGGAATCTAGTTGATTTGGCTAGACCAAATTCAAAACAGTATTTTGGTGAACCATTGGTGCCTATAAAGGCTGTTCCTGTTGATATGTTTCCTCACACAAAACATTGTGAACTGGTTTTATATCTCAAAAGGTTTTCTCTTTTGAAAAAAACTACTAACGAAAAATAATAAATCGACATGTATAATATAGTATAAATAAATATTATAATCATTGACAACCAATTTTTAAAGAATAACTCGTGTGATTTCTTTCGAGCGGTAACAAAGCAATTTCATCTTGTTCCGAGTTTTTTTATGATGGGTTCCCAGAGACTCGTTGTATTTTGCATAAAATACCGATATCTAGGACATTTACCTCGTCCTTCGCTTTTTTCCTTGCGATAGGTGAGAGCGCAATAACGAATATAAAAAAAAAATTGGCCGGTACGCTACATCCTTTCTCGATCGATCAATTTAAAATAATATCGTAATAAAAAAATAATGAACATTAAATGAATATTATTTTTTAGTGATAATTAATTAATTAACCGGAGGTCGCGGAAACGTGTAATTGTCAAACACATGCATTGTCGCATAATGCGCTTGCTGCTCTGTTCTTGGACTCACACATTCTCACAAAATTCACACATAGGATACAGAGAGGAGAGCGCTCCCGGTTCTCCAGGTTGCTACGTGCTGATGTTCGGTAGAGAGTTCGTCGCTTGCACTTTTGCATCTTTCATAAGAGTGTATGAACGTATATGTATGTGTGTATATACATTCATACATACACACACACACATATCACGTTAGATGGAATTCACGTAATATAGTAAACTAGTGTTATACAAACTGACATGTAAAAAAATTGGAGAAATCGTCTTGATTCTTCGATTGATTAGTTAGATTGTAAAATAAAATTTAAGTTGGATCGTTTAAAGTTCCTTTTTATGATATAAAATCAAGCTGCAAAGATTTAAAAACAGTGTCGGGTAAAGATTTTAAACTATGTAAACAAAACTACCAGCAGAGCATTTTTTTTTTAAACCCACACACATCGTTTTCGCATTTCTTACGAAGGGGATACAAAATCACCCATCGGTTCCATTGCCTGTTGGCTCTTAAGTGCATCGCACTGTAGCCGCATCTTAAGGTGGTATATCCCCACTCCTTTATTGCTTGGTTTCACGAGATCGAGTTGTTGGGCGACAGGTAAGTATACAGAAACTACCTGTGCGGCAAGCAGCAGCCAGCGATCGATCTCTCACGCATTAACACACAAGATTTTACAGGACGCGTATGTACAAAGTGTTCTTTCTCTCCTTCGCGGAACGAGTTTACTTGACACGTTACGGGGTCGTTCCTTTTCTCTTGTTGTTGCGTCCAAGTAAAACCTGGAGTGACTGGAGATGGGTTGGTTAGACGAACCGCGATGTCGTGTGCACTGAGGTAAGGACAACAACCTAGAGAGCCAGGAGAGCTCGAACTAAGGATGGCCTTTCTCTGCCCGGTGCGTATACGCCGAGGCAAGAAGAAGAAACGTAAGTATTGACTTTTTCCTGATTTTGTTGAAATTTGAATTATTTACGTACGTGATTTGTTTTGGAGTATTATATAAGTTTAATCGATAGTTGTGCAGTGTCAGAACGGTGCTCGTCTGCCAAAGATTGAAATTACCACCTGTTGATTTTCATGATATTTCGTGGTTGCATTGTTGTAATAGCTTTGATAACAATCTAATTAGTTGATAAACTTTTAATGAAAAGCGATATAGTTTAATATAAATACTGATAGAAGCAATTTTATTTTTAAGAAGAAATGTGATTTTTGTTTGAATGAAATATTTGCAGCTAGGGTACACAATTTTACATTAGAGAAAGATGGACTTAGTGGACCAGGAATGGGTCTGTCCTCAAGAGTGCCATCACTGCCAGGCCGTATTACTGGAAGTGCAAGTATTGAAACTCTTGTGAGAGTTGGTATTGAGAAGGAAAATGGTCTTTCACCTGACAGTAAAATGGTTATTGTACATGATTTTACTCCATGTGTTGATGATGAACTTGAAGTTAAGAGAGGCCAGGTAAAATGTTATTATTTTTGCAAATATTTTTATCCAATGTGGATTATTTGTCTTAAATAAAATATATTTTGTAGGTGGTTAATGTATTATATAGAGAAAATGACTGGGTATATGTTATTGCTGCTGATACTCGAATGGAAGGTTTTGTACCCCATTCGTACTGTGCTCCATACACATCACAATTAGCAGAATCAACATTAGCTTTAATAAATAATGTTAAGAAAAAATTGCCTCGTTCCATGGATGACACAGATCTGGTGTGTTCAGGCAGATTACAGAGCATAGATAATCAGCAAACGGATACTGGTTCAGCTTCCGATTGTGAAAGTTATGCTCGCAACATCACAACTGCTGATATCAATGTTAATCAATCTATTTCTCAGTCACAGAATTCCATTCAAACGACGCAATCTCAGGCTGATGTCCACCCTTTTTTCAAGGTAAATTCACACAATATTAAAAACCTCTTTTTTAATTATGTAAAAAGTAAAAAATAAAAATATTAAATTACAGGATCCATCAGCTGGTAGATATATAGTTTTGTACACATTTGTAGCGCGAGACGAGAACGATGTGAGTGTAGAACGAGGAGAATTTGTGACCGTGCTTAACAGAGACGATCCAGATTGGTTTTGGGTACTTCGCCATTGCGATGGAAACGAAGGTTTTGTACCATCAGGGTTTGTATATCCTGGCCACGTACTTCACTCCTATGCTACCACCGGTACAACAACGACAACGACCACATCGGTTTCCGGAGAACAACACAGTTTGGGTACTACACCGCATCCTTTTTATTGATTTCCACAATTAAAGCGAACAAATACAATTTTTTTTCCAACCACGAGTTAACGAAATGAACATACGAAAATTTGGCAGGTGCAAGCAATGGTAACGCGATGAGTAGCAACGAACAGCAACAGAAGGATACCCGTGACTTCCGGGATGAGGCAACGGGTACAGAGTTGGTGGTACTGTACGATTATAAGGCGCAGGCGCCAGACGATCTGTCGGTCAGGCGAGCTGACTGGATTTACGCGGACCTTGGCAACCAGACCGTCGACGGATGGCTCTGGGCATATGCACCCAAAACTCGAAAGTACGGCTTTATTCCAAAAGCTTACGCTAGGCCTCCTGCCATGACTAGCCTTTAAGCTTCTCCTTGTACTCTTTTTTTATACATACTGAAAATGTTTATATAAGCGTATTTTATAATATAATTATTGCAAACGTATAGCAATCTTGTGGGGTTTATTAATTGTGTTCATTTTTAATATTTTGAAGATGTTAGTGTATGGTGACGTTGATATTAAGATTTTCACAACCGGATGCGATGTGACTGATGAAGCCATCATGCAGTATGACGCAATCACCAGTGAGAAATACTTCACGAGGTTGCTGCGCTGTACGTAGTGAGTTTATTGGACCCGTATAAGTCAGTGATCGAAATGCTGTTTCCCCGTTGATACTGTCAATAGCCTACCATAATATGATTACATTTTTTTTTCAAATCGTGATTTATGGTTACTTCTTACGTGATTGAAATAGTATACCTGGATACTACAACAAAGTGCGCCGGTGGTAGCATTACCGATATCGAGACCTGCCACCCAAGTTATAACTACGTCTCGATCATCGTTATGATTATTTTCATTGGAGATTTTTGAAGCATTACATCGTAAACGTGCTGCAAGAATAGGTAACGGTAATCGATTTTTGTATCGAGTATGCACGTGATTGCCGTTGAACTGTCTTGCTGCTGGTCCTCTGTCATTTTTAATTATATTAAAATTCTACCAATCAACAAATTTGCTTTGCGCAGTTATACACTTACGATAATTTTCTAGAGACGAGTAATAGCGCGAGGCAGCGACTCGAATCGTAAATCAAACCGTCGAAATTAACAATGAGCGTACTTTTTTCGCCGGGATCAACACTGAGAATCGGCACCTCTGGATGATCAAATAGAAAATGATTTGTCAGAGCCGAAAATGCGACGTTTACTGCACAGTCTAGCCTTGGACATTGAATTGGTCGTCGCGAACATTCAGAAATCATTTGACTGTTGATCTGTGTTCTTGGCGGTGACTCGTGTTGTGCTACGTCACAGTAGCTTCGATGCCTTGATACTAAATTCTTCTGATATTAGGTCCATAATCTTGCCATTAGAAATTTAAATGTACTTACAGCGCACTGATCGTTCATCTTCGGTTTCATCCCAGTGCTCGTTATAATGAGATACATTTGATTGAGATGCACTAATTGGTACATTAGTGCTGTGTTTATCCCAACAATGTCGTAAGCCAGCCACTCGATTTCGGCTTTTCGGTTTAATGCTTTTAATGCTGCTTGTTCTGGAGACGCTCGATGCTGCTTCTATCGCTAAATTATAATGAGCTTCCGTTGCCGCGCATAGCACGCAGTTCATGTCTAAATTTTACGAAGTTAACGAAACGCAGCAAATCATATTAATTATTTTCATTAAATTTCACAAATTATAAATTTAGATAGAATTACCTAATTGGATGGCGAATCTCACGATACATTGATGGCATAAAAGATGTCCATCTGAGCACAAAAGAGCTTTTTCAAAATTGGCCGGACTGGCGTCTTGACTTGTGATAGAGTATCGACACACGCTACAAACTCCCATCCTCGCATCAGCATATCGCATTGTTTCCAATTTGAATGTCACGTCTCTCAGCTCATTTTCATCCTCTTCTTCCTCTTCACAGTCATCGTTGTCGTCGTCTTCGTATTCCGTAAGTTCAACTGTTCTGTGACTTCCGGTTTCGTGCAAATTTCTCAACTCTTCGATTAATTGTGGATTTTGTCCTTCGTTATTCGGCTATATCGTAAAAAGATTTTTTCAATAAAGTGTTTCTCCTAAGGAACCTAACCAATATTTCAAATCAACGATACACACCAAATATCTCAACCAACCTTGTATAGCGAACTCTTGGGTGTATTGTAATCGCGTTGTAATGACTCCAACTGTTGTTCCATGGTTTAACAAGTTTGCTAAGTTTTGATACTTTTGAAGCCAATTATTGATGTGGAAACGAATTGTTGATACATTCTTACGAGATGTCAAATTTCGTCAACCAAGGCCGTGCATGTTCTTGCACGGGCATATGCTTCGTGTGTGCATGCACATTAAAAATTTGAAAAAGAGAAAGAATGGTAGTGAAAAATCGGAAAAAGGCGAGTAAACAATTGGCCAGAAGATTTTGCGAATGTGTGAATAACAATGACAGGCTGAGTGCTTTTGGGTTAGACACTGTTTTCTAGACGAGGACCACGATGAATTTTGACGGAAACAAAAATGAGAGCTTTGCGATGCGTGTCTCGCTTCAGTCGTTTATATTTTACATTTTCCTATTAAAAAAGCAACTGTTTATAAGAATAAACAATAACACGAGGCTACATAAATCTACAATATTGTTATTTAATACAAAATTTCATTATAATGGACGAATTTTTACATCAGAGCTGCAAAACAAAAACATATTCACATCGCCGTCGTTATTGATATCAGGTAAATGAATTTCGAAGAGAGTCAAAGTTTAATTGCACAGCCGAAATCCCTTGAACCAGCGACTCAGTCGACCCTAATGACTATCGAGCGAGAGTAATCGGTAAAGCCAGACTCGCCAATGACCGTACCGTTAGAGAGCTTCTCTTCGTAGAGAAAGCGTTCCTTTCCCAATCCCCTGGAGTCTCCATTATTGCTGTATCCAAAGACATAAGTTCCCTGGGGATAATACATGCTTACGAAATTTCATCTCGTCCACGCGAATAAATGAGTTGAAAGTTAGTTCAAGCATGACATGCCGTCGATTCATTGTATAGTATATACTCAGTCGAATTTACGTTTGTTTAGCTAATGCTATAAGCCGTGGCTTCTAATTCCGAGTTATTAGGCGCAACTGCGGCTTCGATGACAATAAGCCGACAGTGGTAGTTGTACAGCGGCATGCTGCCTGGTGCGTCTTGAACTTGCGGAACAATCGCAGCTTTGCCGACTTCTACTTTGGCGTACTTTGACGAGCGCTATACCTTTTACGCCCATGCCGGAAACTCTAACTTAGCCGTCCTACTTTAGCTCGATAAAGAGCTTTTAGTTGCATGCGTACGATGCTATTGTTTTAGACCGACTAGAGCTTGCAAGCTTTCAAGTCCAAAGTAATAGTCAATAACAAATTTTTTCTTTTGTTCAATAACTGATTTTACCTTTTAACCATGTTCTTTCTTTTAATCCAAATTTCTAGCTGGAAACGACAGTCTTTTCAAAATCGAATAGAAGGGTTAAATGATGTTTAGCGAGCGCGTGTCTTGATTTGGAACGTGTGAAGCTTCCATAATAGGAAATGTAACAGTAAATGTAACAGTAGAGAGTAGAAGAATCCTATGGATGCTCGTAATATGTAGTCACGAGTTATCATCCCCACCCTAGGAGAAAATTATGTTCCATAGCTTCCAATTATTTCCATCAACAGTCGTGGGTTGAATACTTTCTTTTCTTTTTCGTAACACCCGAAGGAAACTGACTCGACTTTTTGAAGCTTATCCCGAGGAGAAAGGATTTATCGCCTTTTTTGGAATCCGATTCTTTAGAAAGCTGTAAAAGAATTCCAGCCGAGCAAATGACCAAGTTTGTTTTCATTTTTTTGCAAAAGTACATAGCTATTTTTTTGAAAAATACTGAGGAATCTATCTCATCAAATTCGTTTTCAAATTGATAGTTGACGAATTTATTGATTTCAAGCGATATTTGTTTTTGATGCCCTCGCTGAATTTGAGTTAGATGTCGTCCAAATCGAAGGTCAAATTTCTAGTGTGACCCCTATACAACGTTCTCTTGGTTCTCCACCATTAAGTAAATCGGATTTTTGCAGCAAAAGAGAAAATAACATTACCCGTGGATCCTTGAATCTATCGTCTTTGTAAGCTCGTTTATACGCTGGAAAAAAGGAAAGCTCTTTTTTTGGCTTCCGTTATCTTGTGAGTATATTGAATTTCTCTCATCACTCTTGTCCTTGTGTGAAAGGGGAAACGAACAGATGTAGCAATGACCTAGCGATTTTCGTCGATACAGTAAAATTTGATTTCTTGAGGAGTCATGATTGAATTTCGGTTTGAAAGAATATCGTATTGCACTTACTTAAAAAATACTTATTATTATATGAAGGAGTACTAATGATAAAACGGATTTCATGATATTTTGTGTTTATTATTATTGATATCTACAAAAGTAATACAAACTTAAAAGCATGTTGACTATTCATGCGCAGAAAAAAGTAAAAGATAAAATAGTAGAAACGACATTGTAAACAATCCGATATAAAAACACGTTAATTTAGCTCAACAAAAAATTATTCTAAATTATTTACTAAATTTTGCGAAATAGATTTATTATCACTTACGAGATGTGAATGTTTAAATAAATATTTTAAGTGACTATTAACAATATAAATTTTCAGATTATATATTTTAATGTATTTGTTCGAAAAATATTCCGTAAAAAATTAACTTACACACCATTTGTAAATTATTTAATTACAGAAAAATTTGGCAATTTCACGCTCTAAAAATGCGTCTTGTCCTAAATTGCTGACTGTGTAAAGTACACATAGCTTATAAGCTATGCAACGATAGCAACAATTTTTTTAGTTTTATCTTTACAAGAAAGTAACTCTAGTTTAGAGATATGAATATGAATTAGTTACAATCAAATGATGAGGTGACGATGACTTAAGACTACACGTTAACAATAATTTTGATTCCACATAACTCGGGTTTTATCTACAATCTTGAACAATAAATGATTCTCCAATGTTTACTCCAAATGAGCAACACATTAGAAAATTAATTATTGTTTGCCCTGCAAATTTTTCGCAGGAACCATCAAACGAATTATCTCTTAATTATTTTACAATTACAACAATTTGTATACATTATAACAGTGATCTCACAGTTAAATAAGACCTTTAAAAAGTATTCCAACAAAACCATATAAAAATCTAACAGTCGTTCAAGTAATGCTCAATCGCTTAGACGCCAATTTTAATGGAGTCTTATAAATATTTTTCATACTTTCTTCTTTTGGCAAGAATAAAGTGAAATATTTTGATTTATTAACGAATCGGTTTATTTTTAAATTTATATGTTAGAATAAAAAAAATTCTTAATATTCTACACTATTTTTTTATTTTTCGATCCACGATCTACTAAAATTCGTTGCTGCGATAAAAAAAATTAGCAAAGGAACTTTGTATGCAATTTGTGCCTAATCAAATTGCTTATGAATAAAAGTATTTCTTGTCATATTATGCTGAAAATTAATGAAATAATTATTGTTATTCTATTTGAACACAGCGAGTTATATAAAAATCGAAGCTACAAGGGAAGTTACGTAATTCAAACATACAGGCCTTGTATGAGATTGCATTAGGCTAAATAGTGAGTTGGCAAATTTGAACGTCTTTTATAAAATCTTTCAATTGAATATTATGTCATCACAATTGCACTATTCGAAAGATATCGAATAAATTTTAACTGTCTCCGACCAGCTTATGTCTAGCGTTTGCCAGTTTTTCCACACTGATTGCTTGAATGTTACCTAAACTTGACTTGTCAAGTAGAGTTTTCAAATGCTGCTTTTCGTTAAGATTAACCAAACTGCAGCTTTTGTCCTTGGATGGTATGAGAGCGGTGGATTTTTGGAAAAATGAGAGTAATGGCAGTTCCTTGGTTTTATATGATAAATCATCCGACTGCGGAACACTGTGAAACTTTTTGCCAGCATCACTTAAATGGTCATTCAAAGAATATGCGAAAGTCGATGAAGATAGGGGCTTAATTTTAACGGGTGTCGAATCTAAGCTATGAGTCGTTTTAGACACATTTTGTACTTGAGTATTTTCTATGGATAGCTGAAATGGTCGTACGGGAGATTGTATTTTGGCTAGTGAAGCAGTAGCTGTGCTCGGTGTCCTGCACGAAATCTCGTGAGTATTGACCTTATCGACTTCATTTTTATGACTACTAGCCTCAATTTGTTCTCTATTTATAATATTTTCTTGTGTGCAGTTTGTAATAGCTTTTTTCTCATTGGTTGGATATGGATTATGTAAGCTACTGGTACCCTGAGTATTATGTGGCTTGGATTTGCTAAATGAAAAAGATCCCATATTCACTGGGCTATTGCTCAGAGATTTGGTTAAGCTGTTCTTGAGTGCTAACTTTGATCGATTAATTATTGAATTGATCGGGCTTTGAGTCAGCGATTGCCAACCCTGATAAATGTCGTCGAGTTGCTTGCGACGATCGTTCTTATCGTTTTTTAATACTTTTTCGTTAGGTACAGCGTTCACGCTATCTTCCTTATAATTTGTGACTTTTACAGTCTTTAAATCACTATTATTTATACTGTCAGTTTTATCACTTTCACAAATTATATACGGCAAGTTATTCAACTTTTCCATACTGGCTTGCAATTCCAATTCCCAATTACTGGTTGTCGACTCGCTGCCGTCAACGGATCTAACGCTAAGATTATCAACTTTTTGTTTCAAGTCTCTGATATCCTGTAATATTTTAAAATGAATTTAGTAAAGTTCATCTATAAATTGTTTGGAAAAATATAAATTTAATTTTAATCTTACTTCAAAGTCTTGACTTCTATCATCAATATCTTGTTCACTGCTTGCATACGAGTTCACTCTATTGATTCTCATCTTGTTCAGTTCTTCTTGATAATTTAAGCTCTCATTTGGAGTAACAAGCTCAGCTCCTACCCCAGGCTCTCGCGGTCCGTTAGTAATAATATCTGCAAAAATAAAAATACTTTATTAAAAAACCAAAAGATAAAATATATCAAATTCTTTAAATAATTCACCATAATCTCTTCTTTTTTCATGTATTTGATTACTTATATCTTCCAAGGCACGCAGACTTCTTGCATAAGAACATTTAGCATCTTTCACCGCTTTTTTCAAGCAATCCACAACTTCTTTCTGTATTGTTAACTTCTGATCACATTGAGCTTTAAAATCGAAAAAGGGTTGTGCCTTATGAATAGATCTTCGATATTTTTCTTCTAGCTGTTGTACTTTTTTTTCTGCTTCATGGAAAAGGAGAGTTCTTCTTTGATGTTCTCGAGCACATTCTGCCTTTTGCTTTTCTGCTTCCATCACCTGATCTCAACAAAATGATGTTAGATCATAATTTCAGTTTTTTTTGAAGTTTTTACCTTTTGTGTTGCATGATTGAGATGTTCTTGCCATGCTTGATCAAAATTCCATTCATGCTGATGTGACAAAAAACGAGTTTCTGCTAATGCAACAGTTTCTTTTGCTGCGTCATGGACTACATTAGCTTTTTGATACAGTTGAGCTTGTTGTTGACATTTCAGCTGAAATAATTAATTTATAATATATTAGAATAACAAAATGAAAAAAGTAAATTCTTTCTAAGAAATATGAAATAATTTACTCTGGCTTGATGTGCAACTGTGCAAGCTTCAAAGTAACATCTTGCTTTATCAATGCAATTGCTACCCAATTTATTCATCAATTCCTTTAATCGATTTGTGGACTCTGATAATAACTGACCATAGGCAGTGTTAGCTTCCTGAAAGTAGATCATCATAATTTTAATAAAATTTTGACTCTAACAAATCAGTTGCATTAATATATTAACATCCCATTAGAGAGTCAAAAAAGTATAAATTTAAATATCTCAATTAGTTTTTTAATTTTGGCATATCACTTACGTCCAACTCAATTTCAAGTTTGTTAATATCATCTGTGGCATTGTTTAGATTTTCTAACTCGATCTGTAAAAAGAAATACATTGCCAATGTTAGTTATTTAACCTTAATATAGCATAATGAGTAGATAAGCATTAAATATGACTCAACTTGACACCACATTACAGAACAATGGACTGTAGAGTAATGTCATGTAGTATAGAATGAAACTAAACACTGCTTTTATGTATTTCTGAATAACAGGTGAATATTCAACAATGGAAAAATATTCAGATGATTCAGTTAATGACTTATATAAAAAGATTATAACATTTATTTTATTTTTTAGGAATAGTGCTTATTTGTTTTCTTTGCGATAAAATTATTAAATTAAATTAGAATATCATTAAAAATAACATTGATGTTTTTCTCGTTAAATTATAATAATTGATACTTTAATATTAGAATGAGTTTGTTTTTATTTGCAAGTATTGAATAGTATATGTTAGTCAAAGTAATTGTTTTTAAATAAGTGGGACAAGGTACCAGGCAGTATCAAGCTACGCAAAAACCAAACTCTACCTCCCACGTATCTTCTACAACCATCGCGCAGATGTCATATGCAAATAGAGAATGCAAATCAACTGTTAAGTTGTCACAAAAAAATCACGAAAAGAAAATGAGAAAAACGAGTTAGAATACAAAGTAAAAAATTGAAAATCAAAACAATCGCCACACCTGAATACGGGGATCCAAAGGCCCGTCGGCGTCGTCCACGATGTTCATACTTCGTATCCACCGACATCTAATTACAATAATGCACCTGATCACATCTCCACGCACTCACGATATTTTAAGCGCTTCGGCAGTGCAAATATCAAGTTTAAAATAAGCATTTTTGAAGTTGCCAATAGATCGTGCAATGCGACGCACTACGACTGAAGACGAGTCGACTCCATTTTGATGTTGGCTTTTTTAGTGCGTCGCTCACTCTCTCGCTCGCTCATTCCTTGTATATATACATATACTTATATACATATACTTTTATATATATATATATATGTTATATATATACATACATTGTAGAAGGGAGGCGAGACCGGGAGACCGCGAGACCGCCATTGATACACTCGCAATATTGCAGGCTGCAGAGTGCAGCGTAAGGTATCGGTGCATTTAAGTTAGGTTATAGTTAACGGGTTAAGTTAGACTACTTATGACCTAACTGAATTTTGTTTTTTTCAAACAATGAAGTAAGTATTTTCGATTTTTTGCGTAAGACGATCGTCATATTGATGACAGTAATCTTATTTATAACTGTATCCACAAATACTTATTTGTAATTTTATCTTTCTCAACATTGCATAAGAATGTACAAAGTTGTAAAATGATAATGAGTGATATAAAAATATAGATATAATATCTTTTTGATATGTCGCTAGGCAAATGAAAAAAATGTATTGTATATATTCCGTATCAATAACAATTCAATTAAATGTTTACATGATTTATTTGAATCTGATGAAAGGAATTTTGAAAAAATATTTAACTTAATTAAACATTATTAATGCAGTAAGAAACAGTAAAAAAGCAATATTAAAGCCATTTGGAAAGCAAAGACGGAATTCATTGCGATTGATTGCTACATATACATAGCTTCTGTGTTACAATTCGAATCCGCCATCAATCGAACGGTGAATCGATCGTTTTCTCGTTGAAATGAATGACGTTAATTGTCCATGGCGAAAGCTGAATTCATTCAGGCTCAAGCAATTGCTCTGCCATTTTAAGCTCGACTCATTTTCTTGGGAGTCGGTATTTCGCACGGCGGGTGGGAAAGAAGTTAAGAGGATAAAGAAGACGGGGGAAGAAAAGATCTCGCGTGCGATGCCAGCTACGGAAATGAAGGTGAGCCGTTGGCATAGAGTGGAAATGGTCTCGTTTTATTTTATTGGTAATGCTTAATAGTAAGTGCACGTGGCTTAAAATACGTCATTATTTTGTTTATATTCGCAGGTTTATTAGCCATGAAATCCTTTTTCTTTCATTCGTCAATCTACAATTTATTAAAAGCTCGTCGACACTGTGGCAAACTTTTGTTTGGTCGGGTTTGAGCTCGGCGGCTCATTAATTCACCATTTGTTTCTTTTTGGAGCGAAAGAGGAAAATTCTTTCATAAGAAGTTATCTGGAAAACCGATCTATGCAAAGTAATAAAAACTCTGGTGCGGCGGCGAAAAAAGATAAAGAAATCTCGTTAAATGCGTGCGATTGACCGCGAAGCTGCTGACAAATTAGTATTACTTGCAGGTGGAGAGCTGCAGAAAGATCTTTCTCACTCCTCCCATCTCAGTTTCAATATCCAATTCTAAAACGAATCGAAAATTTTTACCCGTCTCTAGCCCTAACGTTTTACTGCTTTGCGGGCGGTGGTTTGCGTTAGGATCTACATGTTCCACTAATTAATTGTTAGTCACATTTCCTATTTGTTTTTTTCATTGAGAAAATGCTTGTTTTGTTTAAAATATACTTCTAGTCGAAATAAATAAATTTAGGTATATCAGAAGGTATTATTTAATAATGCTTGTAAGTAATGTAAAAATGTTCATTCGATATGTTTTTTAATGTTATTTGTAACTAACAATAAGAGACTTTATGTTCGGACCGATGAATTTAATAAAATTTTTCATCTGGTGGGAACAATCTGAGCTGTTTAACCATTAAATAGTGATTATTTTTAAGCTCAACATTTACTATGACATACTAACATCGGACTTGAACAACTGCTGGCTCAAAAATTTCATAAATATTTCTAAACATGTATACACTTAAAAATAGAATGTTTTCCAGATTTGAAGTAGCGTGACGTAGAACAATTATCCAACGTAAATTTACGGCAGACTTCCAAGACGGAAGCATGCGTTTGTTAAATTGAGAATTTCCGCGTTACAATAAATCGTAGCAACTTGAACAATTAAACAGTGAGCGCAACAAGCAACATCGCGAGCGAGCACATAAAGTTGAAAGCTGCGTGTTGTAACGCCTGTGCGCGTCCATTGGTGTTTGCGCTCGTTCAGTCGGAATGATTGCCATGCGTTTATGCGGCTGCTACTGCAGTTTTTAACTTTCTGCATACATACGTTGCCAGCAACAAAGCTTGTTGTTTGACGGGGACGTTCTATTGACGCTTTTATTGTCGCGCGCATTCAAGTCAATTTGCAAAATGATTTCCATCCATGAAACATACGCGTCAATTAACTAAGATACGGTAGAACAAATATGAACACAAGATACATTTTGAAATCACAATGAGTCACTTGGCCACTACCTTTTTCATGTCAAGGGAGTTCCATGGCACTCGAAAATCAGCCTTTTCCTCCTCAAATTGTTTTATTCTGTTTTGTGTGTTGTATGGTGTATGGCTTGATAAAAACTAAAGCATTGCGCTTTTACTTATTGCTACAAAAGCAGCGCAATTAAAAATTACTAAGCAAGTTTTCACTTAAAATCCATTAGTAAAATTAAAGGCGTTTGTCTTTTTGTAGTATGGCAAACTCGTACATGTATTTGTTTTTTCTCTCCCGATAATGTGTACAGTTAATCATTTATTACTTTTGTTTATAATGACTGATTGGATAAGAGCAAATTTTCTTGGTTGTTGATCAAAAGGGATCAAAAGAATCGGGGTATATTTTGCTTTCACTGTGTTTGCGAATTAATTATAGACAATATATAATGGCTAAAGAAAAAGATCATACTTTCTGTTTTATCTAGTGTCTATTATTTGTTGGTATATGCATTTTTTAGTAGTTTTAATACATCAGCAGAATAGTAAACAAAATGGTTAACAATATAATTATAAAAAATATTACACTTACGATAATTTACAAAAATAGTACGATATTCATATTTCACGGGAGGTGTATAGGCCAAAAAGGTACAAGTAAAAGTATTTGTAGAAAAACCTCGTATACCGAAAATGCATCTCCCGGGTATTAAGACCAAAAACTATCAGTTACTAGCCAATAAAAGCTGTGAATTGAAATTATGTGGCAGAAGGAACGGTCATAAAAGTTTTGACTCAAAATCCATATTCTCTATAGATGAAAGTATAAATGCCAACAACCGAAATTAAAGTTGAAGCAACTTTTGTAAATAGGTGACTAGACAAAGTTTGAATGGATCTGTTTGTTGTATAAGAAGCTTGTTTATGAAATGATTTACTGAATTGTATTTTCCGTAATGTTAAATGACTGCATTGTGAAAAAGCTCTACTCGTAGACGTTAATTTCATGGATTCAGAGCGAATATCAAAGTTTTATGAAAAATGTAAAAAAAAATCTAATCGAAGTTTATTGATTTATTTTTCAAAAAAGGATATACAACTATTGTCTTGCAAAGGCGAGCGAATTTTTCGGAACGTCCGTAAATTTTAGACATAAAACCGCTATATATTTTTGTTTATTGTGAAAGAAATACCCAGACTGACTGATAAATCAAAGAGTAACATTTATTGATCCGAAAACAGAAGTAACTTGTTTCTTCATCGTAGTAAAAAAAAGGAATACGGAGTATTTCATTTTTTTGTCATTTTATTTCAAAGTACGTACGTTCAATTGATTATGTTGATTAAATCAAGTAATTGCCCAATCTGGACGATGAAAATTTTCGAACAAACACTCGTACTTTTATTTTACTTTTGTTCTTCCGTTTGGATACTTCGTTATTACTTTTGAACAAAAGTGCATTTGTTTTTGAAGTTTCCAGTTGTAGATTAAATTTTTTATTTATTTTGTATAAAGCAATAAAGCATCACCCTGCATTAATAAACAAATAAAATAATATATGTAAAAAATTAATGGCACTTGATGAAGTATAGGAAATGTATAAAATATAGGAGTCACCAAATAAATAGTACAAGAACGATAATCTGACAACTTTCACCTGTAAGCTTCTTTATTTATCATCAGTAACAATCATCACAAAACCCATTTTTTGCGTGCGTATACTATATTAGTGGCTTGTAAATACAGAAAAGATATTTCCTAACTGGACGATCTTCCCCCGCGAGATAGGAAAAAACACGAAACTTGCAATATCCTTATCCAGTATCGCGTTTTTTACGAGTTTCACTCTGAGAAAACACTGCCTCATTGTCGATACATGACAGAGCATATAGCACAGAACTGCGAGTTTTTATTATTTATATGGTGGACGTGCGGTACAGACGAAGTTCTCTCTCTCTCTTTCGACTTTCTTTTTCTTCCTGGGCGACCAAGAGACGAAAAAGTATCTATATCGAGGTATCCATGTTGTGTGCGGCTGCAACGTCGTAGGTTACGGAAGAGGTCTAAGTAGTTTTCGAGCTTCACTGAAGTAAGTATAAGCCTCAGTTCGCGGAAAGTATTGATACTGAAAGTTACATTAAGGAAAGTTAACCTACGCGCGCAACGCCAAGGATACTTACTTCAAAACAGACAGCTGGCTTGCGCGCATATAGGGACGCTTTGCCTCGGCTGAAAATCAAGTTTTCTCTACGTTCATTCGGAGTGTTATTAAAGTTTCATTCAGTTTCATCAAGATTTTCAGCCGAATATTGCGTGCCAATTTGTCATCTCAAGAATGGACAGCGATATTGCACTCGAAAACCTCGTTTGGTTCATTCTCCTTGTCCCTTATTTCAGATCTTGCGGACGACGCATTTCTTTGTGCGCTCCTCATATTCGATACTCTAAATCGAGAGACACTTTTATTTGAGACTATACTGTTAATTACTTCTAGGGATTTCATGTTTTTAAGCTTATTTCAGCCGTTTCAAGTAGCATATTATTATAAAACTGAAATGTTAAATCGGCTAATTAACCGTAAACTCGAACTCGTTACGTCATGTAGAACGATTCTACTATCTGAGCGCAGCCTTTACGTAGAACGTAGGATCTGAACGATGGGCACTTACACTTGGCGAAACTCGAGGATATAAGTGTATCTCGTGTAATTATTCCTTGCAATTACCATGATGGAGCTTTCATTGCCATAAGCTCGCGAAGGTACTGTTATATTGAGTTTTGGTTATACACTAACAGGAATATTTTCATATTTACACTTTCAGTCACGTTTAGTAGAGATAAAAATAAGAAAACAATCGTATATTTGTCGTATGGTACAATTATTATTTGCAACAGTTATAGAATTTTACATTCGTTTTTTTTTGTCTCATTTGCGTACATATACATATTTTTGATAAAATCCATTTTTGTTTTTGTTTTCTCAACGTTCGCTTATTTTAACAGTATCACAAAAACAATTTAGGATAGTTTTTATATACGTACAAAGAGTATTCGCATATAAATAGTACATTTAGAATTGTTCGTGGATAACGAGAGGTTTTTGTACATCTCAGTTTTTTCTGTTGATTCGTTACTTTGGAAAGTCCATCAACGTGTTGAAGGCTATATGGGTTCTCGATGATTTTATCTTCGCATGATATATACATAATAGGTGATCGGTAGCGCTATTTATTTCTTTAGTTAGCCAATCACAGAATATTTTGATAATACTTATTTACTTTATTATATAGTTTCGTTCAACGAAAGCTCTTTTGCTGTTCTATAAATCAGACTAATGCAATCATTAAAAAATTATAGTGTATTAACATACAGTACTAAGTACCTTATTGCCATTTATATTCATTTTCTCTTACTTTTTTTATTGTTTTGTTGAAAAATAGTTTGTAGTTATAATCATCAAAACAGTTGTTGACGAGTGTTTTATAGTTTGTTTCCGATAGGAAAGTAGAAATGGAATGTGAATGAAGGCAACTTGTTACTTTAATTTAGATGAGGAATTTACAGAAAACGATCTACAGCTGCATGGAACACGAAGATTGCTTTCAAAAATAAAGGTCTTATGTTTTTTGATTATTTATAGATTGGTGTGAAAACCTGTTGCCCTGCAAGTTTTTACTGCATAGCTAAAAACATTTCTTTATTTGTTGGAGTATTATTTACAGTGCTTCAGTTTCTAATGACTTGAGACTTCGTATTTCAATTTTTTACATTTTTTAATATATGCATGCCTACATTCATCTCAGTTTTAGTGCCAGAGAAGCACAATTGGTTCGGTATGTTTAACCTTGTAATTGTAAAAATTATAAAATTTCAATTACAAATTTTTTATATGAATGAGAAATTTATATTGACTATAAATAATTACCTTCCAATCGCGAGTTCGTAATTTATCAACCTATGTAACATGGAACTGATTATACAAAATTTAGAAATGCATTCACCAACAATTTTGAATAATCATTCAAACACCATATTATGTACAACGACGAGTTTATATATCAATCTCTAAATCTTTCAATTTTTTTGAACGCCACCTTCAAGAGATGTCAACGAGAAAAAAAGGTTAAATATAAGTATCTTTATTCTTCCTCGGCGAGTTTATTCTTTGCAAGTGTGTTCCAGGTAAGCAGAAATTATGACACCTCGATACATTATACATTTCGACTACCTAGTATTTTAGTCCCTTTTCTGTGTGTACGCCTGCGGTTGACGGAAGAGTTTAGTTTGTCTTTATACTACACTCTGGTTGGACAGAGAGATCGAGGATGTAAAAGAAATACGCTCTGACGAAAACATTTTTAGCGAATATTTTCTCACAATCTCTTTTCCTTTAACGAAATTTTCAAATATGGCTTCTTTTTCTTTCAGAATACTCGTAATGCCACTAATTGTGTTAGTGGTTTGCAATTAATCAATCGAATCCTACTGAGCAATTTTTATTTACTTAAAAATTTCCACATATGTTTCGAAAACTCTTCGTGTTTTCTTGTTCGCGATATCTAAAGCAACGAATAAAAATTATAATCAATTATATCGAAATCACAAAGTACATGTCTCACCATTCATTAAATAATTCATGCATAATTCGCACTTTTGCAGTTAGTTAAATACCTCTCAATACATTAATGTCAATACATTTAGTAAGCACACCAAATGGAGATTAATTGTGTAAAAATTGAAAAGCAAGCCAAGACTTGTGCAAACAATTAAATACATTTTTTAATTGAACTTTCAACACCTACAATTCTTGCGGTATCGTATTTAGAACGATAAAAGTCAATATTGTGATAAATGTACATCGATAATTTTACTTTCATGCTAGAAGATATCTAGCGAGAGTCAGAATGAACAAACGGTGGTTCAGTGGCTTTGGAGGGATTGAAGTACTTAGAACATTAAAGATAGGGATAAGAAATTGGGTTGGGCCGTGAAGTCAAAGTGAAAGGAAAACATGAATAGACAGCAATAAGGTGACTCAAACCGCAAGATATGTGTGTGCGTATGGAAGCTATTGATTAGGCTAATAATTACGTTGTCGTTTTTTCGGATGCGTACGATCCGAGATTTGTTAAAAAACGACTGTGTTAACTATGCCCACAGAAGTCTTAAAGCTGCTTTTCAACTTAATAGTATCGTAGACTTTATTTAGACTGTATTTGTTATTATAGATATGGAGCGTCTCGGAAAATGCAAGTTTCGGTTTGTTGTTTTCGCCATCTAATAATTCAACTTTATCAAAATTAATATTGTGTTTCTCTTCCAACGTATGTTGTGCTAATATTGATTTACTATCATTGTTTTCTAAATAGAGTTTGCGTTAATTTCTACATTTATGTAGTATTCGAGTTATTTTTTCAACGAATGATATATTGCAATTCTGATAATTGATTTCATAAATGACTTTGCACATAGAGCTATTTATTCTTGCCTAATATAATAAACTTAGAAAATTTATTAATTCATTTGTTAATGACATAATAATTTTTTATCTATTATCTTTTGTTCAGTGTGTATGCAGTGTAATCTATGTTGTATGGTTTTTGGGCTAATGTCGTCAGGCTAACCGTTATTTTTTAGTAACTTTTTCACCAATTTTATATTATGAGTATGATATTTGAAATGCGATAATCTGATAGCTCTATCAACAAGATTGTAAGAGATAGCCTTCGTATCGTAAAAGGAATGATGTGATTGGAAATGTATGAATCTTCTAGAAAAAGTATATTTCTATATGAATCAGTACAGTGACTACTGTCATTGTGATAATATGGCTTGTACCGCAAACTCGGTCAAATTTAATAGCTCTCGCTTTTAAGTAGTTTATCTAACAATACGGAATAGATTTCGATTGTTTAATTGGTTTACCTTGGAAACTCTTTCGACATAGTTAACATTAACATATGAGCTAATAATATTTTTTTAATCTACACATGAAGATTTTAATATAAACGTTTACGCCTCTCGACACCAATAAAAAAATACGTAAAAAAACATTAATTATAAAGTGATTTGTTGGAATGATTCTTCAATATGATAATTTATACACAAGCATTTCGTATAAAAATAATTGAAAGTTCGTTTCATACGATCACTGAATATTACTGAATGAAATAAAACAAAGAATGAAAGTAAAACGAAAATAAACATTGGCTTTCGGTAGCGGCACTTCTTTCAGGCTAATTATTTCGATATGTACACGACTGGGAAGATGTATACTTAAGAGGTAAGGCGCGCCGTATAGAACATCGTAGAAAAGACATCGGCATTTTGATAATTTGATAGAGCTTGCGCTTCGTTGCGAAGCTTCGTCTCGTTTGGTTTGGCTGCTGTACTATATCTACGATAGGGGATTCATTTGCATCAGTCGTATGCGCTGAATAAGTTTGAGTTTCCTTGTCCTTTGGTTTGGCGAGCCGAGAGAAGAGTATTTTGATGAAAATTCTTTGCGCTTGAAACTGCAAACTCGGCTCGATCGTTGCCGGCCTCTCGCCTCTTCTAGCGCGTTTTATGGCGATGCAGATAAATCCGGCGCCGCTTTTATTGCGCCGCGATCATCCGACTCTTCTTCTTTCTTCTCGCTTTTACGCGCGTTCGCGCGAGGCTTTAGCTCGGGCATTACGCACGCGCCACAGGTTGTTTTACGGGAGCTAAATCTGAATGTTTTATGGGCCAAAGAGCTGAAGCTTGCCTCGCTGCCACTCTCGCCTTTCTCTCCTGCGATTCTTCTGCTGACTCATGATTAATTATTCAAATGCCGGCAGTTTCTTTATTGCCTCGCTTTCTCGCGAAATGATCACGAGAATCGGCATGCTTGCGTCAATTTGGATGGAAAGCATGCCGAAAAGTAGGTTGTCGGTTGTCACAGGAGAAGAAAAGGCCCGCGCCCGAGCTCCATTCGGCATAAATCCGTTGGAAAACGTTTCTTTTTGACTCTGAAGCTGAAACATCAAACACATCGAAACTAAGCAGCGCGTACAAAAGACGGCAAAGCTGGAAGCTGGCGCGTCGCGCTCAGAACATTACCGAGCCAAATGGAAAGCGAGAAGAAAGCGGTAGCGGCAGAAATTCGTGAAAGCTGCAGCAGCGCGCGCGAGTATAGGCGTGTGTCCCTCTTTTCCGCCGTCCTAGTCGAGAACGAGTCTGTGCACTCTCAAAAGGCTCGTTGGCGTCTCTGGCGACTACGCCGGCTGCGACGACCGTTGATCGTGCGAATGGCAGTATTCGGTAAACTCGGCTCGTCGTTATTACGCACGCGAGGCGAGAGGGCCGTCAGATACACCCAATCCTACATGTAGTGGCGCACACGTAGGCGCCGATTCACTCCACGACGATGTCTGCACAGGATCTTCTTGAAGGCGTTGCGAAATTCCGGCGAGAAGACCGTGTAGATGATCGGGTTGAGGGTCGAGTTGAAGTACCTGCCGATCAACATCGGACAATCAAGCTCCTTTTATCACTTGGAATGATCACGGTACGTGATATTTCGTGCATATTTACGATAAAGCCGTCTGTTTAAATTTCAGTGTTTAATGTAACATCAGCCATAAGAAATAAATTGTCACTAATTTTAAACACTTTTATACCATTAAATTCAGAGATAATGTATTTCTTATAGGTGACGTCACATTTGCACACTCAAACCGTTTAAATTTAAACACATGGGATTTTCAGATTTTGCCGTGATTGGCACCAATGGATATACATTGTAATCAGTTCCATCCAGCAAGATATTTCAATAATATTCACGGAATTTCAGCGTTGCAACTGATGTCTGTATTAATTAACTATGAGTTACACGAAATACCGTAAATTATTCATAGCCGATTGAATCCCGCAGCGTCATTGAAAGCAAAATGTTGGCCTGAAATGTATTTTTTACATTCCTGTCATAAACAAGCTTATAACATATTTTACGAGTCAAGTGTCGGTGCTTAAGCGAGCCATATCATTAAAGGCTAATGAATAACATTAATTAACTTGGATAAATAAACGGTTGCTTTTACATCGTTTCCCAGTATCAATTAAGAGGATGAAAACAGTCACATTGAACTTACCCCAACCACTGTAGGAAGGCAATTAAATAGGGGTTGATGTAGCAGTCCGTGCAGGCCGACATAACGATGGCCAAGACGAAAAAAGGCAGCCAACAGACGACGAAAGCACCCGTGATAATGGCAAGTGTTTTCGCCGCTTTGCGCTCTCGTTTCGAGTCAGCGGTGACTTTCTTACGACGTGTAAGTGTTGGTCGTGGTGACGCCTCCATCGTCGATGGTTCTGGTTCCAAGCCATTGTGATACGATGTCTTCTCGGGTGATGTATTCGTCGAGCTTACGTTCGTGAATGCTGTTGTGGTTGTCTCTACTTAACAGACACAAAACCATATTTTTCTTTCGTTTGATCACTCAAAATTTTCAAAGCAATTAAAGCAGAGAAAGCAATTATTTTGTTAATTATTGCGCTGGTTGGGTGCTTTCTTAATTCAGTGAACCGGTAGAAGAGTTTTTAAAGGACTGCAAAGAGATTCAAATTAAATGAAAAATGTTTCCCTAAAAAAGATAAGCGTATAGTGTATATACATCGAAAGGATAACATTGGAATATATCAAATCACGTTACTCAAAATCGGTGAAGCTCGCGTAAAAAAAATACAATTAGTGCAGCAACGTGCGCGACAAAACGAATCGAAAAAATAACGATGAAAAACTTTTTTTCCATACGTTGAGTCACACGTATATACAATCGCGATAAAAAAAGTGATGCGCAATACGACGATTACTTGGTTGATCGATTCCATATCGGGTTCGGCTTGAGTTTATTAACATGCGTTTTCGGTCGCGCAAATCGAACGTTTACCATCCAAAAGCCCCTAGAGCACGTGGAGCAAACATATAATAGCACAGGTACATATACGAAGTATCACAACCGAACACGGATCCTTGGGATTTCGAAAGTCGAGTATCGCATACAGCCAATTATAAGCTCTAGGGTAATCAATGTTTACTGGCGCTGCTTGCATCAATTAATAGCAAAAGCTAATTGCTATCGGTCGAAGTAAAGCGATACTCTCACCATTAACGTATCATGTGTTACTACTCGGATACATTACTACAATTCCGTTAATGAATTTATGCTTTCCGAAGAATCATCGTTACTGGCGTTTTACGGTGAGCACCATAACAATCAGCATTGAATGGCAAATCGTAAAATCATTGGACCAAATAGCGCATTTAAAGTCGAAACGTGAAAATCAACGTAGCTTACGAATCCGGTGCCGACACCTCTTGTCCAGGCTATTGCTGTTGAACAAAAGCCAGGCGCGGCTATGCGCTCTGTCTATGCACGTGTGCCACTTACCGGATATGGTAGGCAGAGGTCGGCCGATAACTGCTACGACGGCTGCGGCGATACCGCCGGAAGCTTGGGCTTGGGCAAGTGCACCGCCCACGGCGTGACTGCTACCCATCTGCCTCGGTGGTCCGCCCATCGGTCGCGTCGCTGTAAATCCACATACGCATGCATTACGATTCGAAAGCTGCTCCATTCTGTCTCTCTGACTATTGTTTGCCATGTGGATTTATGGCTAGGAGCAAATAAATGATGGTTTTGGAAGGCCCATTCTCTGACGCGCCAAGACTTATTGCTTTGCTGCTGGGAATTGAGTCGTCAGGCGCTTATGTCAGATGTCATAGGTGCAGTTCGAGCGGAACACGGCCGGAGCAGTGTTTTGTTAGGCACGAGTCAAACGAACACTGGATGTCGGCGATAGAACGGGCGTGTTACGTGGAGTAAATCGAGTTTGGTCAGGCATCTGCCGTCGATATCGATTGTTCTGCGTAAGCTATGTGCGAATGCAATAAATACCTTGTGGATTTACAGGCTGACCGGGTCTTTTCCTAATGCGCTTCCTCGCAGTTTGAAATATCCTCCAGTAGAGGATAAGTATGACACAGAGTGGCAGGTAAAAGGACGATGACGTCGCGAATATCTGAAGCAATAAAATTGTATACGCTCGTTATCTCACGTTTTGTTCTTCCTACAAGTAGTTGATAAATATCACTAAGGATAATTATTTCCTTTTTCTTATCTACTTGGTTTTCAATATTTTCCAGTTTATCTCAACTATTAAGATTACCTGATAATAAACATCTTGGCTGACCACGCACTTTTTTTCTTTGTTAACGCGATCCTCCCATAAAGGATCCTTCCAACCGAGGAGCGGCGCTATGCAAACGAGAAATGCAACCAGCCATACCACAATTATCATCATGCCTATGCGACGTCCTGTTCTTTGGTGGATGTAATCGATGTTCGTCACCGCCCAGTACCTGCAAATCATCATCGAAATAATGTTATTCAGTCTACTTTTTGAATTTTGAAAATATAAGATAAGCGCTTATTTCAGCATATGTTTGTACGTCGAAAACTAAAATGTTTAAATAAACGTACACGTCTAATCGATTTTTGTCGTCAAATAGGACAAAAGATATGAAAGAATCTCATCTTTCTAGTATTTATTATTACATAAATCAAAGTATAGCTGATCAATAAAAGATCTCAAAAAAATTAATAACTATAGTATTAATAACTACCTAGAAAGCTTGCTTATCTACCTCCGAGGCATCTGACAATTCACTCTGTAAAGCTATCAAAACACTTAAACAGCTATAAAAGTTTTCCCCCTTCTATCTTAAAAACCGATAAAACGTGGACTAGAATAAATACTGATAAAGCTACCACTTTTCCTGAACACCTAGAAAATGTATTTAACCCTCCGCAACCAAGTATAATAAGAGAAGAAGAACTTACGCTCCTAAGTGATACGAAAGTGAGCAACGGTAAGAAATATATATATTTTATAGTTTATAAAAGCAAAATAAATAAATACCAAAATCGCCAAATTTACAAACAAAAAGAGCCCTAGACACGATAATATAAATAGAAAGATACTTAAAGAACCATCTTTAAAAGCAAAAATTACAATAGTGATAAACGAAATACTTAGTCTAAATTACTGTCTTGCTGTGTGGAAAGTTGCAATAATTATACTTTATTTCTAAACCAGGTAAACTACCTGAGCTTGTTTCGTCATATAGACCAATTAGCCTGTTGTCAATACTCTAAAAATTCTGAAAAATATAATACAAAAAAGCAGACTAAATAAAGTATTGCTAGAACAGTACAAAATACCTGATCATTACTTCGGTTTTCTAAATAAACACCTTAGGATCGAACAAATAAACAGGCTCACTATTGAAATCAAAAATACTATTTAAAGAAGCAAATACGGCATTGTAGTATTTCTTGATGTAGCTCGAACTTTTGATAGTCAGGGATAAAGGTTAATTATACAAACTTAATAAAATTCTATCAAATAAACGATATTTACGATATTCATAACTAAATTGTAAAGAATTCGTTGTTAAATTAAATAATGAAATCGCTAAGTTGTACCCGATAAAAGCAGGCATTCTTCAAGGAAGCATTCTTGGTTTCATATTATACTTAATTTACATCCATGATCTAAACATGGAGAACATTAAACACCTCTATGTATGCTAACCATACAGCTATTCTAACACCCCACTCAAATCCAACAAAGGTCTTTAGTAATATGCCGAAATATTTAGACAAGGCATTACTGTCGTTTAGGAAATAGAGGATATTAATAAAAGAAACCAAGTGAATTCAGGTAACCTACACCTTAGAAAAGAAATCTGTTTTCAGTACACTCTTAAACAACCAACAAATACCGTGGTATTGATCTGGGGAGGATGTAAACGTATAGAAAGTAAAAGAAGAAATAAAAAGCAACTTTAACAAAATATACCAACCAACTAGAAGAACACCCTAATAATTTAATGTATGGTGAAAAGTTTAATGCTCACGATACTAATACTCTTCAGTTTCAACAAAACACTATTTATATGCATCTAAAGCAAGCTCTTTAAAATAAACATTTTGGTACTAATCAATAGTGAAGTATCTTCGCGTAATGTAGACTCGAAACAAAATTATAAAAGTTATTAAATCATTTACCTATTGTTCACCGACAGATTGTAAATTAAATTGGATAATAAAAAAAATATTCATTATTAGAGAAAATTTTAATAAATTTTTCAAGACGGTATTATTTCATGATTGAAAAATATCCCAAGAACGTTTGCCAAAATTCAATATTTGTTAATTCTTCTCTTTGAACTCGGACATATCGTACGAATTACAGCAGTATAGTTAGTAATGCGTCAAAAGCGGAATTCCAATTGAATTTCACACGAAAGATTGTGCCACAATTTTTTGCATGAAACGACTTTGACAAATTCAAAATGAAATTCTCAGAGTGCAAAAAGGAAAAGTGTCTACGTGTGCATCAAACGACGTTGAAAGTAATTCTTGAAAGATTTACGTCAAGAATGAATTTCCCTAGCACAAAATTTCGATGTCGTCTCCTGTACAATACAATTATCACCGCGCCGCGCGCGCGAGTCGGTGCGCGCTTGAAACTGAAGCTCTTGCACTTGCAACGTTGACAAAACCTAAGCTAAAACTCCAGAACAAGTTGCCACTTGCATATGCACTCTCTGGAGTGTTTCGTGTCATTTACAACTTTTTTCTACATGTGGAAAATTTACTCGCTGATATTTTGGCGACATCGATAACGAAGCTAGTTTACTTGAACGTGGATTAGGCGATTGATCGGGAGACAGGAGACGTAGGGTATTGTTAAGGCACAATGGAAGGCCATTGTGTGCTGTCGTGACTTTGGAGATGCTAGTTGAAGTTTGTTTCAGCGATGCTTGCTTGCTTCTGTGTATATGTGTGCTTGAGCAAGCTCGATATCTCCGAGCTTGCAAGTTTTTTACGCTGCAGTTTCCATCGAGATAGGAGACGTGTGTGCCGTTGTATACCGAGAAAATAAACAAAGGCAAAACACTGAGAGATTGTAGTATGCTGATAATAACTTTTGTTGATTGATTTGAGCGAGCATTTAATGTCGTGTCAAGCTCATGAGAAGATGTGCTGTATGTGAAAAGTATACGCTCAATAATAATTACTCTGTGATAAAAACTTTGATAAAATTGCTCATCTTTGCAAGCTAGGTATTTCTTACAGGATTGACGAACGTGAAAACTGATAGGCCTCTTCGGCGTAACTTTGCAATTTGGTTTGAACTTCGGCATCTGTCGCTGTCGCAAGTTTCGAAATAACGCTTTGACTTGCACTTATCCATCAGCATAAGTCATTATTTACATTTGAAACTGCCTAGAAGCGTATTAAATCGCGAGAGACAGAGTGTAACGATGACAAGGTCAAAAGCAGCAGTGGAAATATCCGTAAAATTTTCTATAACCACAGAAGCGAAGCGAGCAAGCACGCGGAGACATTGAAATCGGTCGTAGATCGTCCTCGTCCCGTATGCAAGCTCCGCCGTGTCAAGCCCACAAATCCATCTCTAGGTATAGTAGTAGGTCAGAGTGCTAGTCATTCGTGTCATCTGCGGGCTCGATCCGCGCGCGCGCAGACAGCTGAATACTCGGCCGCCCGAACAAAGAGCCTACTTAATGCGCAAACTAATTACTTCGGGTGCCTATCAAATGCGCGACCTTTAGTGTGTCTGCGCCAATTGCATAATCAATGAGTCATATTGGCGATGTGCGCTAAATCAAGTCAAAATCGACTACTTCCGGATTTACTACGCGAATTCACTCTTAAATCTGAAAATTGAATCGCTCGGCTAATACGCTGAGACGGTTTCACGCACGTATTATGCAGAGTAGTTTTCATTGAAAAATTCATCGATAACGTTCGCACGCCGATGTCTTTGTTTCGGTATAATGTTATAATGCTATAAGGATAAAGTAAGAATGAAAGAGCGAGGATCGATGGTGGTGTAGCTATTCGGCTTGCGCTCAGCGAAACCGCTGAACGTTTGACGTCAAGCAATTATGCCGGCGGCGCATTCTGCGAGACAATGGGATCAGCGATGCGCGTGCCTATGCCACACTTTAGCGCCTTTTCCCTGCCAGCGTGGACGCGATACTGTCGCGCAGATTTCCGCCGGCGGAAATTGCGATTTTCATTGGGCAACGCTTGCGTTGCTTGTATCTCGTTTTAAGTTAGACGATACTTTAATGCATTTGCCCCGGCAGGATTTATAAGATTATTATGTCCCCCGGCTCTCTGTAAAGTTTCGTAATGAGGTGGCATGTCGTACGCACTAAACTTGACTCGGTCGAGCGTGTCATCTCAGCTACCACCTCATTGTTTTAATTCTTTTGTGCAGTCCGTCGAAATTCACGCTCTGACGTTGACTTTCGTGCGCTTATGACTTTAGAGACAATGGAAAGTAAATGTCTCGTTCGCAATGAGGGTTGTGGCATAATTTTATTGCGCCAAGGAGCTACCATGCGCCTTTTCTTTATTGGAAGATGAATGGAAGAGCAACCAAGTGCTTAATTGGCCGACACGGCAAAATGTTTATCTTAATGTAATTGAAAGTTCTCGTTTTCAATTTAAACGTCACTGTGGCTTTCTAGACTGCTCAATATATACTTTTCAAAGTAAAAGCCCTTTGCATTTCCCCCAGTGACATTGACGAACTGCGTCGTCTTTCCCTTCAGCTCCGCTCGCAAGGACTTTAATGTTTTATTCTTTCGCTGACGTCAACTTGACCGGGGGCGAGAATGAGATTGCAGATAAGCGAGGAAAGTTTGCCTGTGCATGTAGCACTGCCAAAAGTAATTAATACATTACACCGATCTTTACTAGCTACCGTCGTCTACACAGATTATTCTTGAATCCCAGTGTTAATTAAACACCGACCCACTTTTGGATACATACATGCTTTGGTCAAACTAAAACTACTCTTCTCTCTCTCTCTCTCTCTCTCTCTCTCTCTCTCTCTCTCTCTCTCTCTCTCTCGTTTGATTGAATCGTATAAGAATTAACACACCGGCATTTTCCTCGCTTTGGAAATGAGATTTTTTCCGTAACGTTGACTGTTCGCATTTTATCCATTCAATTCAATTAAAAGAATTTTCATTTTATTTTTTTAACACGAGGTATTTGCAGCGTAAACGACGTTGAATGTACGAAACGCCGATAGGATTTGCGCAGTGAGTTGAATTTAAGAGAGCGGAAATGTTCGCTGTAACTTCGTTAATTGGTTTGTATCTGTTGATCTGCCTCGCCGAGCATTTTCCACGGGATTTTCAGTAATAAGATTTTATTTCATTGCACTGCATTCACATATAGACTTTGTTTTGCATACGTCGTAATAGTACTAAGCAGATTTTCGTTAATATAGAATTTTACTGTTTGTTTATGC